CCAAGACAATATCCCTGAGAATAAGGAGGGCTGGGGATTCCACAGTATGAAGGTGTCATTTCAACAGCATTGCACTGTGTCCTTGTAATTAACTTTCTAGGTTGTTCTGGAAACTACCATTATGTTTTACCTATACTTGTCCTGCTGATTGAATGACCTCAGCTTGAGAGGCAAATGTCAGGCAAGCTGGGTGGTATTAAACTTGGAGTTAAAAGCTCTGGGCCCCTGTCCATGGTTTAGTGGAAGGATATCCATTCCTGGTGTGCTGGAGATCATCCATGGCATAACCCAAATGCACACGTGGCCCGGGATATCTGAACAGTGGTGCGTAATTGTGCTTGATAAATGAGAAGCACCAGTGGCTCATGCCTGGAGTCCTGGTACCAGGGACTTGACATTCTCTTTGCATCTCACATCCACATGTCCCCTGTAGACCACCTCTGAGTGGGTCGTTTGTTTCTCCCTTTATCCTGCCACCTCACAACTGGCTAGACTTTGGTTCAGCAAGTCATTTCCTAGGTAGTACAGAGGGTCAACTTGTTATAGGGCAGCCCCGATACAAAACGGGGTGCCTGACTGTGGGTCCTCACCCGCGCGCTTAAAAGGACTTATCAATGCTCTACTGCAGGCACAATCGAAAGGTCAATAAAAGGTTTATTTACAAGGGAAGGGGAAATGAGGAAATGTACAGCTCAGGGAGAAAAGTGGGAGACAAAGTTTTAAATGAGTCCTACCCGATCTGCCGATCTGGAATCCCAAATGGCACGCTGAGAGCTGGCCGCCAGCCAGGAGCCGTGAAGCCAGGAGGCGAGCGACAGAGCGAGAGACCCCAAGGCCCACGTGTTTGGTTTTTATATCCAACCTGGCTGCCCAACTCCACCCTCAGGTCCCAGCCACCTTCCCTTTGGTGGTGATGGGATTTGTCTTTCCCAATGTCCTGATGGCTTTAGTCTGGAGTGGGGGTGGGGTCCACAAAGCCTGTATGGGATTAGCGCAGGACATCCTTTCCCCCTAACAAACTCACACTTAAGATACAAATGACCAGAGCAGCTTTGTGTCAAGCACAACCTGGCCCCCTTCCCCGAGGGAGGTAGTCTGGGCAAATGCCTTCCAGAGGGGATTCTTACAGTCCAGGACTTCATTCTCCTTGAGAAAAGGATCCAGTGGTCAGATAAACTTGGAAACAGCATGTAGCTGTGGATCCTTCCTTTGGAGACTCAGAGTACAGTAGGAAGCTTGGGGAAACCCTGCTGACAACAGCTCTGTTTAACTTGGCTTGAGCTGCATTTTCTGTATGAGCCATCTATGTCCAGTGATAGACACCGTGACAGTGCTGGCTTAGGTCTTGTGAACTGTCCAGTGCCACTGGCTTTATCACTCTCTCCCAGTCCAGCAGCTCCCAAGCCCTGTGCATTGGCATCAAGAACCACCTGGAGATGAGTAAGTGAACATGTCAGTCAGCTGACTGACTAGACATTCTGATTTACTCAGTCTGGAGAGAGGCCTGGAGATCTCAATGTCAATGCACCCAAGGTAACAGAACTTTAAATAATAATAGTTCTAAACAAAACTAGCAGGGGGAACTCCATGGTGGCTCAAGGGGTTAAGTCACAGCACTATGAAGCTATCCACAGCCACTGCAGCATGAGTTCGATCCCAGGCCAGGGAAGTGACCCACATGGTGTAGCAGACCTCTCCTGTCTCACCCGCTGCTCCCCTCAGCAGTGTGTTTCAGTCAATCTGACTGTTCTGCTCCCCACTCAGTCTCTGGTGAATCCTCTTCCCCCCCACTCCACCCCTCTGGCCTGTACCCCAGTTCTTGTATGCATAAATAAATCTTTTTTTTTTAAAGAAATAAAATGGAAGCATACTCTTTATGCTCACACAGCTTGCATCGCCCAAGGCTGAGCAGTCAGTGTCCTACTTAAATAGCCATGTTCTTTGGTCTGCACCACATGGCCTCTCCCGGGGTCACCCCTCTCTTAGTCCAGAAATGCCCATTACTGTTACTGCTGGGGAGTCAGCAAACTACTGTGAAATTAACAAACACAAGGAAGGCCCTCTAAAGTCCCTATCAGCAAAAACATCCCCAAGTGATGTAACTCAAAGTTGTGAAGATAAAGAAACACTTTGAGAACTGCATTAGGTGTAAAGATTCAGGGTTAACACTGCTTTGTTTATGTTGAAAAGCACTCTTTAATTAATGCTGCACAATTCCTGAGCATCCAGCCTTCAGTTTGCTTCCTCTTAAACTAATGGTAACACCAAGTATGCAAGTGATAACTCTTCAAGCCAGTATAAGGTAGAAATTAGCTCCTAGAAAGAATTGAAGAGCTAATGTGCTATCTATAGATCCCATAATAGAGCTCTCCTCCCAAGTAAATTCCCTCAAACAGCACTGAAAATATATTCCACCAAATAGCTGCTGTCACTAGATCTCAGGGCTAAATGTGCTTCCCAATGGATGATCAGGAGACAGTACACAGGATTCAGTACTGGCTGCAGCTAAGAAATTCCACACTTATATCTGAAAATTGTCCATGATAATTTTCCCACTTTCCCTCAAATCAGGAATGAAAAAAAGACCCATCTATGAAATCTGCAAGATGTACACCAGGTTGCAGGCCACAGAGGCCATTTGGAAGGGTTTGACTGCCGCCTTGTGGTCAAAGTGTGCATTACTGCCGAAGCAAGGGTCAGCATAACCTGTGCACGGCTCTAAGTCACCTGTTTTATGACAAGAATACTTGTGACATCGTTTGACATGCCCTAATAAGCTAAAGAGAAGAAAGGTATTGAAGAGCCTAGCAGTAGCTTTTGGTGGTAATGAATTATTTTTAAACAACTGGTTTCTCCAAGGCAATCATATCTGAGCTGATTTGTTTATATGCTCCTAGTTTAGGAAAAGCAGGACACTTTCAAATCCCCTCTTCACTATGTTTCAAAGGAAAATATTTTGTAACTGCAAGAAACTGCAGAACCATTTCTCCACTTGCCTTCCCCCATCCCCAACAAATCCCTCTTTCCTTCAACCATTATATGTAATATATGTAAATGTCCTATTTAAGTTCCTTCACAAAGAAAGTCCTACATCCAATCCATCTGTTACTTTGTAGCTATGTGGCTTTGAACAAGTTCTTCAAATTATTTGCTCTCTGTTAAAACACTTAGAAGAATGCTTTTACATTTTTAAATGATTTGTGTTTGATCAACAATTAATATGGGACAGAAAACACAGTGGCCCATAAAGCTTACTTTAGCTTTCCGCAATAGGAAGTACACAGTATAATCTCTTGATGTCCTTTAAAACAAAATAGTCCCAAAATAGATGACTGGATCAAGAAGATGTGGTACATATACACAATGGAATTTTACTCAGCATTCAAAAAAGATAAAATCATGCCATTTGCAGCAACATGGATGGAGCTGGAAGGGTTCATGCTCAGCGAAATAAGCCAGAAAGAAAAAGAAAAATACCGGATGGTCTCACTCATAACAGGAATCTAGAAAACTTAAATAAGGGACCGGGAAAAAGACTAATTATAATAAAGTAAAAATCAAAATCAACAAGCAACTATAAACCAGAGACACAATAGGGGGAGGGGAAAGGAGTAGGATCAAAACAAGGGTGGTGGGAATTGTATGGGGACTATAACCATGATGAAAATGCATAAATAGTGCAAAAATGATGTAAAAAATATATAAAATTTTTTAAAATTTAAAAAAATAAAACAAATAGTCTGAATCCAATGACATCTTGGTTGGCAGGCGGTAGGTGGGAGAGTAGAACAAGCCAGTGTCACCACAGTTGCCCTTCAGGAGCCACAGAGGCCCCATCCCCCTGTAGTCCTGAGCACTGGGACTGTTGGCTGCCGATGGGCCCCAGATCCACAGCCAGGTCCTCTCCAGAAATGCTCTCAGCTAACGAGAAGCTGAATGTCAGGCTTTTCTGCCCTCCCGCCATCAGGATAGATGATGGATCCTTGGGGTCCTGAATGCATGCCTGATGGCGGGCACCTGGAGTAGGGTGTGGGCAGATGTAGATGGGATTCACCTGGGCTGAAACTGGGCTTTTAGGGGCGGTGTTGCAGGGACGCCAGCAGAAGCCGAGAGAAGAGAAGCAGTAGAAGCCGAGAAAGAAGCAGAGAAGCAGAAGCAGAAGAACCACGAGAACAAGGCCACCAGAGAACTCCCGAGAGCCCAGACAGAGTGAAGACTTGCTGGGGGCCCGGGAGGCTGGCAAGCCTCCCGGGCCCCCAGCACCCCTGCCAGCTGTGTACCCGGTAAATCCCAATAAAAGACCTGCAAAAGCCACTGAGGACTCGGACTCCTCCTTTACCCGGTCTGCATGGGATCATAGAAAACCTGCTCCTGTGGTCTTCCTGCCCCTACACCAGGATTACACCCCTATGTGGAATGGCCCATTTTTATGACGCATTGATATGAGGGTCCCTTACCTTTTCTGTGGGCCGGTCTGGGCCAGTCCGAAGGCGCCAGCTCCACAGCTGCCTGGCTGAGGCCTCACCTGCAACAGCTGCAGCTCATCTCCTCCACCCAACATGGCCCCTGGTGGCTTCACAGATGCTGATCATCAGCCCCTCCCCATAAGCCACCTGCAAACAATTCTCCATCCCAAACTGTTTTCCCCAGGGCGCAGCCTCAGGTCATGCCTCCTTCGAACCCTGACTCCAGTGCTACTGGAGAGGACTCTCTGAACACACCACATGAGTGTGCCAGGCCCACATCACCCCAGAACTCTACACCCCTCCTCCCTTGCCTTCCTCATGGCATGCATATGCCAGCATATTTGACTATTTTGCTTAATATTTGTCTCCTCTGCCAGAATGCAAGGGCTTTGTTTTATTCATGGCTGTATCCCCAGAACCTAGAATAGCAACTGGCACTGAGTTGCTCAGTTAATGTTTATTGAGCAAGCAAGTGTGTGAATGAATGGAAGGCTATGGAATCAGAAGACCAATAATCTTCAGGGAAGTCTCTTAAACAGTATCTGATTTTATTTGCATGAAAAAAGGAACATTCTTATGTGATTTTTGTGAGACTTATACAATGTAACCTATGTGAAAGATCATATAATAAGCTGCTAAATGAATGTAAAGTGTATTTTTTGTTTACATGAGTTTATAAGTGAGACACTTTAATTTTTATAATCCGGAGCTACCAGATGAGCAAAAAAGACACAGGAAAACCTTGAAAATGGACCTGATATTAAAATAAAATACAAAGATTTATTCCAAAGCCTTATCCAAAATGTACAAACAATGAAATGCATCTCTTTTAAAGACTCGATCAGTAAAAAGAGTAGTCTTTACATTTAATTTTTATAATAATTTGGAAACTTTCTTTTGCTCCCATGAAAAAGTCTCTTAAAAGTTAATTCCAGAAAATGTCAAATGTACATTCTTGCTTATATAAAACATATCCTCTTTCAATGCAAAATAGTCAACTGTAACAGCTTTACAAAGAAACTGTTCTCAATTTCAGAAATCTTCATTCGTCTATAGGATCACATTTCCACACGCTTTCTCAATGAGGTAAGAAGATAAATGATGAAGCTCTTTTTTTTTTTTTCAGGTGATTTTTTCAGATCTCTCTCTCCGACTAAAAGTGCAACACTACTTATCCAATTCCTTTCCTGTGGAATATTTTTGCACTAATTACTCAGTTTTTGTAGAAGGAAAAGCAGTGATAGCTATCATCAAAAAATTCATATGTTGTAATTCTTTCTTAGACAATTTAAGATACAAATTGAAGCTACTGCCACAGTGATTCACTATTTTCTTTACAGATGTTTTAATAAATATTCCTAAAGTCTAGGAGACTGTTCATAACCCCTTAAAGCAGGGGTTAGCTAACTTGTTCTGTAAAGGTCAGATAATAAATATTTTAGATTTCTTAGGTCACTTCCCTATTGTATATTCTTTTTATTTACAATTCTAAAACATGAAAAAATGTTACTTCTGCTGTAATTTACTAATCCCTTATTTAAAAAATAGAAATTGTTTTTCTCTAGATTAGACTACTCAAGTGTTAATACAATGTAAACTTCACATTTTTCAGTAAAATATATCCATGGTTTTTGACTACTAGACTGAGGGTTCATGACGAGTAAGAAACAAATCCCATTCAAAGAGTGGGATTTCATATATTCTCCTTAATCAATGGCACTTTCTTAGGTCTTTACAGGGAAAAACTCTTTTCCTGGGGTAACTTGAAGTCTGCAAACTCAAAGGTTGGAATACTTCCATGCTAAAAGAGGTAGACACATACACAGTGGTCTAGGCAGTGACGTGCACAATGGAAACCACTATTTGATACATATATTCAACACAAAACTCCCCATGGCTAAGAAGAAATCAGTTAGAAGGTATACAAAATCACCCCGGAGAATATTCTAGTTTGTTTTTATCATTACGCAGTTGTTCCATTTTGGGGACATGTGATTTGCATATGAAATATATGAACATAATTTACTGTAACAGTATGGTTTATCCAGGTTAGTAGTGCTAAAAAGATATGGCAGAGAATTGTGTGGGAATTTGGACTCTGATAGAGTAAAACAATCTTTCATAATACTACTTGATGTATCACATGACCCAGTAGCTTGGACTCACATTAGCTGAGTGTGTGTGTGTGTGTGTATGTGTGTGTAGTGCCTTTTTCCTTTCTCTACCACAGTGGTATGAGCAAATTATGGCAAACAAAAGAACTATTGTGAATGGACTCAGATATATCATAATATATATCATAAACAAGTTGGAAGTCTCTGGAATTCCAGTCACAAGGTACTCTACGAAAACATTTATAAATTCTAAAGCTAAGAAAGTTGAAAACTTTGGTATCCCTAAGAAAACTCAACTATACCAGCAAGCCCACACCCCGTTTTCAAACTATAAAAAGTACAGTTTTCAGTGCAAAAATAGTATCTCGATAAATAGCAATGACACAAAAGTTATATAAAACAGTTGAAAACTATGAAACACATAAGTAATATCCTGAAGTCATGTTTTGGCATAGAAAAGGTCATTTGAGGGCTAAGAAATAACACGTTATTTTACTGATTTCACTGTGAGTCTGGTGGAACATTTAAATACTCCCTCTCTGCACACAGACTCAGACATTTACAGCTCATCATGCTTTCTCTTAAATGGCCACTTTGGGTGTCGTGATACGTGGTCTGCAGCCTGAAGGACAAGATGCATAAATTCTTCTACATCAAAAGCGTAGTTGGTGAACTTTGGATGCTCCCCTAACGTTGGGTGGTGGCCCTGCAAAAACAAACCAAAACCTACATCTCTAAGTATAGAGGACAAGATTCTTCGTAGAGGAAAGAAATTATTTTACTTTGGCCAGAGCAGCTATTTTAATTTACGCTCAATGTCAGAGGCTGAGACCGGCCAGTTTTTTCAATAAAGGCCAGATAATACATTTCTTCAGCTCTGTGAACCACACAGCCTCTGCCACAATTACTCAACTTGCCCCTGAAGTGCACAGGCAGCCACTGGAAACACAGAGACAGAGAAGCAAGCCTGGGCCTAATGCAACTTTATCTTGAAACCAGATGTGGGTGAGAACAGGCCCCCAAGCAGGTGCTCTGTACAACTTGCTGACCCCTCCTATATATAATTCAAAAGATCTTTCTAGGCCCAAATTTCACAAAATTGTCTTATCAACATAAAGACACAGAGTGATTCATTTCCTTTGTCATTTGTCAGTGTGAAATAAACTATTCCACCGAAGAGTATCTCTCTGGATTGAAGTTCAATGACAATTTTGCATATTAGTAAGTAGATACTTGAAATCAATTAAAAAGGAAAATAAGTGGGCCTCCCTGGTAGCCTAGGGATTAAGTCTCAGTGCTATCACCACTATGGCCTGAGTTTGATCTCTGGCCAGGGAGATGACCCACATGGCACAGCAGACCTCTTCTGTCGTGTCTGCTGCTCCCCTCAGCAGAGTATTTCAGTAGATCTGCCAGTTCTTCTCCCCACTCTTGTTTCTGGTGAATCCTTCAAACCCTGCCCTCACCTCTGGCCTACACCCAGCTCTTCTACGCAGAAATAAGTAAAATTAAAAAAAAAACTTAAAAAGTAAAATAAGGTCAATTTTGTCACGGAACATTACCTTATCTTTTTTTAAAAGATTTATTTATTTATGCATACAAGAACTGGGGTACAGACCAGAGGTGTGGGGGGTGAGAGGATTCACCAGAGACAGAGCGGGGAACACAACAGGCAGATTGACTGAAATACAATGCTGAGGGGAGCAGTGGGTGAGACAGGAGAGGTCTGCTGCACCATATGGGTAGCTCCCTGGCTGAGGATCTAACTCATAATGCAGTGGCTGCGAATAGCTTCATAGGTTGCTTCTTAACCCCTGCGCCACCAGGGAGGCCTGAACATTACCTTATCTTGAGGGAAGACTTTGTTCTGCCTTCGCCAAGTGATGTAGTGGATGCCCCTCAGCCTGGCCAGGTCCAAGTAGCAGCGCTCATCTTCACAGTTGTACCTGAGGACACAAGCACAGCCCTGCTTCAGGCGCGCTCTGAGGCTCTGCCCAGAGCATTTCTTGGAAGAAACGCATGCCCCAACATCTTCCAAACAAAAGGCTTTTTAAACAGCCAATAAGACTGAGGTAGATTATTCTTAAAAATATTGTTATAACTACCTTAACTTTTTTTTTTAAGATTTATTTATCTATTTATACAAACACTGGGTACAGTCAGAGACACTGGAGGGTGAGAGAATTCACCAGAGCGAGAGTGGAGAGTAGAACAGGCAGAGTGACGAAGTATACTGCTGAGGGGAGTAACGGGTGTCATGAGAGGCCATGTGGGACCCTCACCTGGCGGCCGGGGATCGAACCAGTGCTGCAGAGGCTGCGGGCAGCTTCGCAACCCAGCGCTCAACCGCTGCGCCACCGGGGAGGCCCACTATCTTAACTTTTAAAGATTTATTTATGTATTTATACAAGTACAGTCAGAAGCATGGGAGGGTGAGAGAATTCACCAGAGCCAGAGCAGGGAGCAGAGCAGGCAGACTGATGAAATACACTGCAGAGGGGAGCAGCGGGTGGCGGGAGAGGTCTGCGCACCATGTGGGACCCTCGCCCCACGGCCGGGGATGGAACCAGCGCTGCAGAGGCTGCGGGCAGCTTCGCAACCCAGCGCTCAACCGCTGCGCCACCGTGGGTGGCGTGGGAGGCCCCATTACCTTAACTTTTATAACACAGATTAGGATCAAGGAATGGAGATTGAGCCTTACCAATAGCGCAGACTGCCTGTGAACTAGGTATTATCTCCTGACAATCTGGGCTGTGTATTTATGGACGTGGACTTGGGTAGGTAACACACCCAAGGTGTGGACTTGGGTAGGTAACACACCCAAGGTCACTAGCAGCTAGTGAGGCAGAAACTGAACCCAGATCTGTCAAACTCCAATGCCTGAACTTGCTTGCATTTCTCCTATGCTCTCCTTCCTCCCTTTATTCCCACTCTGCCTCCCCACCCCCATCTCTAGGAGAAATAAAGTATTGAGAGAGAATCCACAATTATCTGTTTCTCTAACATATATATTTAAATGTCTTTTCAGGTCATTGGAAGTTCATGACAACTTTTTTCTAAGTAGTATCTCATTTAAATACTGAGTCAAGTTATTTTGAAAGTGAAATCATAAATCAAGAAGTTTGTATGCAAAGTAGGGAAGTCAGGTGGCAGTAATACTATTGGTGTGTCAAGAACTGAAGACAGGGTCTGGTGACCAAAGAATTATTAAGGCAGAGAAGCCCATAACTCCATGACCAGTCATCAAGTTCAAGGAGGAGGAGCCCCTGGGTCAATCATTTCCAACTTGAGGGCCTCTTTCCTGTGTATGAAGTCTGTGAGCACTGAGGAAAGTTTGGCTTGTGTTTTGGAGCTGTGTTCTTAGTAGTTTCATAGTTTCTGAAACTCCTTAATTGTGGTAGTAAATAGATAACATAAAATGTATCACCCTAACCATTTTTAAGTTAACAGTTCAGTAGTATTAAGTATATTTTCACTGTTGTTAGCTGATCTCCAGAACTTTCCCATCTTGCAAAATTAAAACTCTGTACCCATTAAACATCAGTTCCCAACTTCTCACCAGTTCCCCTCTCCTGGGCTCCCATTCTACTTTCTGACTCTATGAGTTTGACTACTCTAGATATCTCATATAAGTGAAATGACACAGCATTTGTCTTTTTTGTGGATAGCTTATTTCACCTAGCACGTCCTCAAAGTTTCACCCATATTGTAGCATATAATAGGATTTCCTTTTGAAGACTGAATAATATTCCATTGGATGTGTGTTTATGTGTGTGCGTGTGTGTGTGTGTACATAGATCACATTTTGCTTGTTTATCTATTGATGGACATTTGTTTCTGAATCTTTGCAACTGTGAATAGTACTGCTATAAACATGGATGTGTGACATTGTGACATAACAGCTTGCTTTTACACAATAATTGCACTGATGCAGGGAGATGTTCACTGTTTGAAGAGCACACAGGAACAAATTAGGGTAAGGGAAATCATAGGTTTGTTCCATTGCATGTTGAGATGGGGTTAGGAAGGTAGCTTGCTTGCTAAATGCAGTGGCAGGCTGCAAATTCTACATTTTTGGCTTTAGGTCTTTTTTTCTTTCTAGATGCTTATACGATATACCTTCCCTATAATGATTAAATATTAAGTCTTAAGCCTTTTGTTGCTCTGAAGGAAAGCCTCAGCATGCAAAAAAAGCACTACATGCTGTCTTAATGTTAAGAATGTCTCCAAATACTTACAATTCAAACACAGTTGCCCAGTCTGGAAGGAAAAGTAAGTGGGTAAGACCAGCTCCATGCATTCCAATAAATATGTCAGTGTTATGAGTGATCCTTAGCTGGTCTAAAAACCCAAGTTCTCTGTGAACAGAAAAACAACAAAAGACAGATGGGAAGAAGAGAGAAAGTATTAAGTTGAGTTTGTTCATGGTACATAGCAATAAATGTCTTTCTTGGCTTAAGTCACATTCCACCATGAATTTTTGCTAATTCCAAGCTGACTACAGTAATTAATAATTTAATTACATAATGATTTAACATTTTTAAAGTAACTTCACCTTTAAAAAAGTTAAATGCATTTATTTTTGTACCACTTTTTATTGCAGTGACACTGGTTTTTGATACCATATATAATTTAGGGGTATAGGGTCACACCTTACAGATGTTACCATGCCATGTCTTTCAGCAAGCACCCAGAAATTCATTTACTTTAGAAGGAGACTGTTATAGCTGTCTAAATTGGAAAATCAGTAGCTCATGCCATAAGCAAAACTATACAAATATATGCAAACTAAAAACTATTATTCAAATCAAGGTAGATACTATCTCAGGGCAAAGGTCTAAGCCTGAGACGCACTCTCTATGAAAAAAGTGAAATCAATAAGTGTTTAAGAGATGGTAGGATATACTAATATCAGACTGAAAAGTATTTACTTAAGATAACAAAAGGATGTTGAAAAATAGAACAAATTCCTCCTTGTATAATCTAAAGTATTCAATATAGTCTCGGTGTACCTAAAATCACCTCAGATACCACCTTGACAACTGACTAATACACAATTTCCCACATATTGGGATTGAACAAGTGTCCTTTGTGTTTAAGACAGTGAAAGATGTGCAAACTCAATGCCAAAATTCTCACTGAACGGAGTCTTGGACGAAATGCCAGTGTACACACAACACTCTGGACAGACATAATGGAATCAGATCTCCCGATCCCATTTACCCAAATTCAAGCAAAATAAAGGACCAAGAGTGGGCTATTACTTACTTATACTTGTAATCGACAATTTGGACTTCAAAGGTAGATACTGTTTTCAGTGCGTTTACAAGCTAGGGGAAAAAAAAACAGCGTCACTGAAAATTTCTTTTCCTTCCTTCTTTTTGGTTTTACATTTTCTCTGAGTCCTAAAATTTCTTATTTTCTTTTTTTTTTTTAAGATTTATTTATTTATACAACAACGGGGAATAGCCCAGATGTGTGGGATGGTGAGAGGATTCACCAGAGACAGAGCGGGGAACAGAACAGGCAAACTGACTGAAATACACTGGTGAGGGGAGCAGCGGGCGAGACAGGAGAGGTCTGCCCCACCATGTGGGTTGCTCTGCTGCTGGCAGGGATCGAACCAGCACTGCAGAGGCTGCGGACAGCTTCACAGCACTGCACTCAACCGCCTGCACCACCAGGGAGGCCCTAAAATTTCTTATTTTCATATGAAATATTCTTCAAGAATTAAATATCTGTCAGCACTACTGTTTTGACTTTAGTTGAATTCAGAAGGAGGCTTCACCCCAGCGTTGTGGAGAGGGTAATAGGAGAAGATTCATGGGCTAGTACAAGGCACACAAAGAGTTAGGTCCTACTAGAACTGTCTGCTAGCTGCTCCTTCAACTTTCAACATATATTTGTTGGGCACTACTGTGTTCCAGAAATTACATTGAGGGTTTTCTTCCCATCCATTATCTCATTTCAGACAAACCACAAGTGCTTTAGACCTCATCTTCTCAAAATAGTAGGTTCTTGGCAGAAAAACACTTTCAGTATTTCTACACAGAAAAAAATCATTCTTTAACAAACAGAAAGTAGCATACTTAATCTATTATCAGCAACACAGTTGTGGTTCTCTATGTCTGTCACAACTAGTACATTTTAAACCCAAACGGCTGATCACCCTCATTCAGGAATATCAGCACTTATATCCTGTTTCTGGTGTTCTACACAAGACTGCACCAAGAATGGTTACAAGAGCAACATTGATTGAACACTTAAATTGCTCTGGCATCTCTACATGACTTAATCCTCATAAAAATCTTACCAAGAAAGTGTTATTATTACTATGCCCACTTTATTAATGATACAATAGAGGTTTAGAGAAATTTAATAACTTTCCCCAGATTTCCCAGCTAGAAAATGGCAGCACTGAAATTAAATTGAGGTCACCTGACCCCAGAACTTGTGTTTTCAGCCGGTGTACTTGACTCTTCTACTTACAAAAAACAACAGGCAGTGACCAAAATCCAGTCCTTTTCTTCCCATTGTGAGCACACACACACACACACACACACACACACAGAGTCATAACATTTCAGTTTCTCTCTAGATAGTCTCTATACTCCCACAAATACGTGCTCACATCAAGGATTTGGAGGAGTGAGGATAGACAATTAGAATTCCACTTTCCGGAAAAGAAATTAATCAGGTAGCTTGACCCTGGTCTTGTAACAACACAGGCCCATCAAGTGTTCTGAGGGTCCTGCGGCACGTGTGTGCTTCCAGGGATTTCCAGTCACTGCACAGACATGGCTGTATCCCTCCTGACATGACTGTTCTAACCCTGAGGTCAGGTAGCATTGCACAAGCCATCACAAATGAGGGCATGTGGGTTTTATTACCTATTCATGAGTCAAGGAAGAGTCCAACATCCTTCTCTGCCTGGTTGCTGTCTTTTCAAGTGATCGCCAATCCAAAGGAAGAAAGCAGTCACTTGGGGGCCCTTTGTAGCGGAATTATCAAATCTCATCTTTGGAAAATCTTATTTGGGCAATCTGTGTGACTACATCTAAAAACCGGGATGGGGCCTCCCTGCTGGCACAAGGGGTTAAGTACCGCACTATGAAGCAATCCGCAGCCTTTGCAGCATGAGTTCGAACCCCAGCCGGCCCTACCCACATGGTAGAGACCTCTCCTGTCTCGCCCGCTGCTTCCCTCAGTAGTGTATTTCAGTCAGTCTGCCTGTTCTGCTCCCCACTCTGTCTCTGGTGAATCTCTCACCTGCCGCATCTCTGGCCTGTACCCTAGCTCTTGTATGCATAAATAAATAAATCTTAAAAAAAAATAGAATAAAAACTGCAATGGCTGCACTTAGCTTACTTTGGCATTGCCTCTCCACTGGACATCTCAGTGGCTTGATGCTGGTTTTTAGCCCATCCTGTCACAACAGACTGAGAACCATGGTTGGTCAGCCTCCTCCAAGACATTCTTTGTAAGAGCAGAAGAGCACACTGGGTAGGAAGCTGCTTGGACCTTGATACCTTGGCTCACATCGCATTCCTCTGCTCACACCTGTATGACCCTAGGCTTATTTTTCAGCCTCTAAAACTCAGTGTCCTTGTCTAGTAAAGGAATAATAATAAAATATCTACCTCATGGGTGTCCTGAGAGAGTTGGAGGACATGCATGGGGAGCACAGAGTAATATTACTGGCACATAATTAACTCTATCAATATATACTATGGATCTGCTAGCTAATGAGGTTTCCCAACCATCTAACCCAACATTGCATTACTTGACACATTTTAATTTCCTTTAAAGAAAGTATATATACACAAATTGTTCATTTCTTCCATCCATAAAGCTTACAATCAATGTATCATTACACCATATGTTCATGGCCTTCATAATCCATATGGGTCTCAGGAAGAGGTGCTAATTACACAATTTTGATCAGCCCATTAGGCATACAAATTAATCTGAGAAAAACATTTTACCCATCAAAGTCTGGTCCTTATCTCCCACCTACTGTTTTCCCCATATCAATCCCTCTGAACTACTCATGCTCAGGCGGATGGACTGAAATACACTGCTAAGAGGAGCAGCGGGGAGACAGGAAAGGTCTGCTGTGCCATGTGGGTAGCTCCCTGGCCTGGGATTGAACTCATGTCACAGTGGCTGGCAATAGCTTGATAGTGCTGAGACTTTAACCCCTGTGTAATTAAGGAGGCCCCAAGGGGGCAACCAGTTTCTAAGACACATAGTTATGAAACGGATGGGGTCTCTTCCAACCTAATCTGCTGCTGGATGCTGCCAGTGCTGCATCAGCCATTTCTGAAAGATACGGTCACATTTTTGTTACTAGTTTATCTAGAGACAAAATGTTTGGCAATCTCTGACAATAAAGGTAGGGTTCAGAGACAGCTTTCTGCCTGTTATCACTGAGTTGGAGCAGATGAATGTTTATAATAAAGCAAAGCTAGTTTGGGTAACTGTGGTTTAGTGACTTCTAGGTAGAAATTCAAAGCCAATAAATGAAGTGGGCATAGCCATCAAACTTTTTCTAAAAGCTAATGATTTCAAACCAAAGCATTTAATGCAATGTGAAAATATAAGGCACATCATCATAAGAAGTTAAATTCAATACAATGATATTTAAGATGCATACCAAAAACTAACCTCATTTTGGTTTAGTATCTTCCGGTATTCTGTGCTCCGTGCAAGAATGGTGACTCGGATTTTTCCATCCTGTAATCAAAAGGAAAAGTCAAGATAATGCCATATATGCCTGGATAGACGAATGAGTACCTGAAACTAAAATGTGATTTTCACAGACTTGAAGCTCAATAAGGACACATTTAAGAAACTATTATTTTTTTGGCCCGATTCCTTCACAGTTCTGTCAGGGGGAAAAAACACACTCATTTTAGCTACAGAAGACAAAAGCTAAAAAGACAAAAGGAGGGAAAAAGCAAATTCTTCCACTGTGGCTTAGCTTATCTTCACAAGTTGCTGACATCTGATTTTGAATTCCTCTAAGTTAGAAAATGTTAACACAGAAAACACTGTCTTCTGATAATTTCTTTTTCTGCAGAGGTGGTATTGATTTTTATTAGGTGTGAAAAGTCAAGCCCATCTCAGAATCCATAATGTAGTCATTACCTTGGGTCCCTCTTGTGTGATGTTCAGTCTGTATAGTACGTGTTGGGAAAATGCCCTGAATAATCCAGTATTTTGACAGCCAGATATCTAAAATAAAAATAATAATTTACATTATGATGAATATGTCCACATTATTATTTCAGATGTTCTCAAGTCATATATAAATGTTATCTTTAAACCTTATCAAGAGTAAATTCTATTAATATGAATCTTCAACAATAGACAACATACTTACCAGGGGGGTGTTATAGAACAGTCCATATCTCATGCGGGGGAGTAATGAAAAAATAGCTTCCTTAAAACATACCTAAGATCAAAGAAATTTTAAAAGATAATACAATTTGTATCCTTCACACCAAAACAGCGCTTATGGTTAAAGAAAATAAATTTTAACTAACCTCTATTTTATATTAAAATATTTCAAACAGCAAACTATGCCACTCAAATGAAATAACATATTTTTGGAAAAGTTACGGGAAATAGTTACTTTTTTTTAAATTTTATTTACTTTTGCATGGAAGAACTGGGGTACAGGCCAGAAGTATGGGGGATGTGAGGATTCAACAGAGACAGAGTGGGGAACAGGACAGGCAGATCTACTGAAATACACTGCTAAGGGGAGCAGCAGGAAAGACAGGAAAGGTCTGCTGTGCCATGTCGGTTAGCTCCCTGGCCAGGGATCGAACTCAGGCCACAGAGGTGATAAGGCTGACTTAACCCCGAGGCCACCTGGGAGGCCCCAGGAGGTAGTTTCTAAAACCTACATGTTCACAACACTGAGGATTCTAGTTATAAAAAGAAACAAAGAAGTGAGAAATCAATGGAAATAGCTAATAGAAGCTCATTAACATTTGATGGGTGAATCAATCTGCAATGTTAGTTTCAGTATAGTTTACAGTACCCTTTTGGAATCATAAGTTTTCAGATGTATAACATCATAATCAGTAAATGCTTTCCATGTGTCTGAAAACAGGTCACCATATCCATAGGAGCTCTGAAAGTGGAAACAAAAATACATTAGGGCAATAAGAGGGTACAACATGGTTTGTCAAAAAGGCAACAAAATGCCTGACTTAGCTTGTAAGTGTTAAGAATTAATGATCCTAGGGCCTCCCTGGTGGTGCAGCAGGTTGAGAGCAGCACAGTGAAGCTGTCTGCAGCCTCTGCAGCACGGTTTGATTCCTGGCTGGCCAGGGAGAAACCCACATGGCGTGGCAGACCTCTCCTGTTTTGCCCTCAGTGGTGCTTTTGGTCCATCTACCTGTTCTTCTCCCCACTCTGTCTTTGGTGGAGTCTCTCACCCTCCCTTGCTCCTGGCCTGTACCCCCGTTCTTGTATAAATAAATAAATATTTTAAAAAAATTAACGATCCTAAATAAGTTCATAAAATCCAGGGATGAAAAATAGATTTCTTTTTTTTTTTTAAGATTGATTTATTTATACAAGAACCGGGGTACAGGCCAGATGTGCAGAAGGGTGAGAGGATTCACCAGAGACAGTGTGGGGAACAGAACAGGCAGACTGGCAGAAATACACTGCTGAGGGGAGCAGCGGGCAAGACAGGAGAGGTCTGCCTCATCATGTGGGTTGTTCCATGGCTGGCGGGGATCGAACTGGTACTGCAGAGGCTGCGGAAAGCTTCACAGAGCTGCGCTCAACCACTGGCGTCACCGGGGAGGCCCAAAAAATAGATTTCCATCTTGGGTCTGAGCAAGTACCTAATTTAATATAATAGCATCAGAAATGATATTCACGATTATAACTTGAGTCTACTAAGTGTTTTGTTTTACTACTTTTGTCCATTTTATTCCCATGTCTTTGAAAAGTAGTTGCAGGCATTTCTTCTATGTATTTTCTATCCAAAATCAGAGCTAAACAAACTGTATCCATATGCCATCATTTGTACACACTCTGAATATGCTCAGTGGGCAAAATGCATCAGAGTAAAGGGAATATGCTTTTGGAAAGAAATTTCCATCAAGAAAATGCCTTGGAGGTTTCTAACATTCACAATACAATGTATATAATTATGAAATGATGTCCTCCTCGAATGATTAATGTGATAATCCCCCACTAACAGTAATAATAATAGCATCTTGCATACTTCCTAAACCCCAGGCACACTTCTACGCACTTGACATTATTAACATATTAAACCATCCCTTAAACACGATGAACTAGGTAATGTCACTATCTCCATTTTACAGATGAGCAAACTGAAACACAATTTTAAGTAATTTGCCAAAACTCTGGAGCTACTTTGTTTGTAGAACTGGGATAAAATCCAGTCTCTTTGGTTCCGGACTCCAAGCTGGTAACCTGTACAGCAGCAGCTGCCTCTCAGCAGGAACTAGTTCTTCCTAGTACATTTACCAAATATATTTCACACTTGAAAAGTGGAAATTAATTATGTGTTCCATCAGCCAAAGGAAAGACATCAATTTATTGTAAAATGGAATAACTGAAATTGAAAAATTCATCCAGAAGAAGAAATATGCACTGCAGGATTCCATTTGAGGCCTGCAGTTGGTTATATGTTATATTCATTGTTTGTGTCTTTTTATCTTTATAGCATGTGTTGTTCTTTTTATCTTTATAGCATGTGCAGCATTGCTTCATTCAAGTTCTTACCAGCAAAAGAAAAAGTCAGTGACCACACAATATCTTAACTCTCTTCATTCAACCCATGGTGTTCTGTGGGCCTGAACTGTGCAGCAACTGGATTGTTTCAGATCCTGAAAACTTTGTGCAGATATTAGTGTTATTTCAAAGTTGTTGAGAACTGTTAGAAGTGGCGATGAAAAAAATACTTTCCTTACATATTTCTCCAGTGTTGTTCTAATAAAGGTTTTTCTCAACACCATCAGAAATGAAGGATCCCTATTCTAACTCAATAGTAAGTAACAGGCAATTAAAGGAAGTAATTACAGTTTCTTGAGATAACATTCTGATAAAATAAGAAACCTTTAAAAGGTAAATTTAATAAAATACTGCAGTCCTGACTGATCTCTTCTCAGGGAAATCATGTATTATTCAGTAATAAGCATCTCTAGAAGCTTCTTTCCCATGCCCCTCAACTTCAAATTATCTGCTGCAGGGGAAGGAGAGATCTCTTTCTATTCTTGCTTAAAGGATATTTAGATCTTCTCAAAGATGACACAAAATTTCCTCCTGTGTCTGTCTCAAATTTATTTTTTTTACAAAGATTTATTTATGCATATAAGAACTGGGGTACAGGCCAGAGGTGCAGAGGGTGAGAGGATTCACCAGAGACAGAGTGGGGAACAGAACAGGAAGACTGACTGAAACACACTGTTGAGGGGAGCAGCGGGTGAGGCAGGAGAGTACTGCTGTGCTATGTGGGTTGCTCCCTGGCTGAGGATTGAACTTGTGCTGCAGAGGCTGCAGATAGCCACCAGGGAGGCCCTGTCTCAAATTTAAACATGCTCAAACATAACATGCAACTTAGAAATTTCACGTACAGGAATCTGTCCTATAGTAACGCCACAATGGGCATGTAAAGGGGGTGTTCACACTGCAGCATTTCAGTAAATAACAAAGACTTGGAAGCAAATGAAATATGATTGGGATGGGGGAGAGACAAAGGCACACTGAGTCATACATCTGATGGCTATAGAACGCATTGTACTGCTGAAAAGGTGGCACTCCCAAGTGTTCTGGCTTGGAAAGATGTCCATGATATAATATTTTTAACAATATGAGAAAGTATATTTTCTATCAGGATATAAACATATCTTTAGGCAAATCATATATAGCATATATAGCAAATCATATATAGCATAATAAAATATTTTATAAATATAAATCCTTGTCTAAATTTTATGGAAGGCTATGTCTATCCAGTTATTAAAATTTAATTTTAAAATAGTCTTGCAAGAGACTCTCACACATAACTGCAGTTACCTTTGGGAGAAATGGAATTGGAGAAATGGAAGGAGACTTCTGTATTATTTGAACTCATTATAACCAGGCATCACTTGAATAATTAAAAAGAATAATAAAGCCATGCTACTTTCTAGCATAAGAAAACATGGACAGTTTGCAGTAAGTCAACCAAGGCAACTCTTCTGTGCCCAGAAGTGTCCCTTAATGCATCCTTGAAGGGTACTGGCTGTGCCTATCCCACTGCGGAAGCTGTGTGCCTGAAGAGTGGTGAGCTGCCGAACTTTGAGAGCAGGAGCGGGAACACTCCATGAACTTCTCTGAGGGAACAGCTGTAAAATGTCACTAAGATCAGGGCCTCCCTGGTGGTGTAAGGGTTAAGCACAGCACTGTGAAGCTATCTGCAGCATCTGCAGCACAAGTTTGATGACCAGCCAGGGAGCTAAACCACATGGCCCAGCAGACCTCTCCTGTCTTGCCCGCTGCTCTCCTCAGCAGTGTATTTCAGTCAGTCTGCCTGTTCTGTTCCCCACTCTGTCTCTGGCGAATCTTCTCATCCCCCCACACCTCTAGCCTGTACTCCCGTTATTGTATGCATAAATAAATAAACCTTTTTTAAAAATGTCGCTAAGATCAGAATTGCAGTCACAGCCACTCGGCTCTTCTCCTGGACACAGCGCATACAGCAACAGCATCCCCCGGGGATGCAGCATTGCTTCATTCAAGTTCTTACCAGCAAAAGAAAAAGTCAGTGACCACACAATATCTTAACTCTCTTCATGCAACCCATGGTGTTCTGTGGCCTGAACTGTGCAGCAACTGGATTGTTTGGAGAACAAGAACCTCTCTGATCAAGTATGCACAGATCAAGATTTGACCAAGGTTTCAAATCAATACAAAGAGGGTAGAAAAGGAGGGAGGCACAGGGCAGCCAACATGCTTAGTTACACTCATCCTGCCTGTCTGTGGAGTCAAGGTCAGACTGCCCTAAAAACATGTTCCCAATTTACAGAATAACCGATGAGTGTCATGGTGAGAGAAAACTATTTACTCCATCCCAGCAGGCATAGAGAAGGGCTTGATTTAACTTAGTCCTCCTGTATGAGATGTGGAAAAGCATGCAACAAGGTACAAGAAAATTTCTGGAAGGTGTCTGGAAATTTTTTTGTCAAACAGGTTCCTCAGGAAACTATAGAAAATAGATCAAGCACTGTGATTTCAGAGCACAGCACAGGGGTCAGACTACCTGGACTGAAATCATGGATCTTACCCCTCACTGACTGTGTTATCTTAGACACTTCTTAGACAATGTCTGCTAATCAGAATCTAGTTTCCTTCTCTGTAAAATCAGCTAAAAAACAAAACAAAACAAAACACCACAACAAAAACCCATGGAGGGTTGTAAGCATTCAGTGAGATAAAACCAGGTATAATTAGACCATGAAAAACACAAGTGAATTATGAGTTAATCATTGCAGATCTTGATAGCTGGAGATTGTGGCCTAGAAGCATTCATCCAAAAAAGAAAAGAAAGGAACTGTTGTTCCCTTTGCTAATGGAAACATTTTCAAGAAACGAAACTGTGGTGGCAGCAAAACTGGAACATGAAGGAAACATAAATGCAAAGAAGGAACCAAAAGAGAGCATGAACATGCCAAGAATTGTGGAACCAGTTCTCAGCAGACTTCAAATCTCACTACAGGTTAAAGAGCAGTAATAGTGAAAACCTCTACGCAGCTCTACTGCAAGCCTCAGATCTATGAACAAAAAAACCTTAGTAAACCATGTCCCCTTCTGCATGAGAATTTGATCTTCAGTTAACTATCTGACTCTGCTCTCTGGAAAGGATAGCCTGTGTCAACTACACTTCTAGGTACCATTGCTTTTAACTAAAAAAAGCATCTAATGGGAAAATTGTATATGTACTGAGAGAGAGTACAATAACATTTCTGACTGTCTGCGTCTCTTATGGGGACCTTGGAGCTTTGCTGATGCAGGTATTCCAGGAGATGTTGGTCCCTTTGGCACCTGAGCCTCCTATGCCTGTTCCAGATGGGTCCCATCTTTTTTGTACCCAAGCTGAGCTGCTTGGGTTGCTAGAAGGACTCCCTGTAAGAAAGGCCCAGTGCTTCTCTGCCAGAAAGCTGTGGTTCCCCCATAATGTCACTCTGAAGAGACATGCCAAGGGAGGGACCCATGAGTACATGGGAGTTACATTTAGCTAAATCATGGATGACCTTCAGGTGGGTCAGTTTCCCAGGTTAGGCAGTAAATATACTGTTCTCAGCCTTGTTGTCATAAGATGCATGTGCTATGTGCCAGGCATTGTGACTTGCCACATACAACATGGAACACCTTCAAAATGACACCATTACAATGTGGACATTATAATTACTCCATTTCACAGTTGAGTGTCCTGGGACAACTCCTGGGGTTACCTTGACAGGTGGAAGAGATAGAGAAAAATGAGAGAAAAGGCAGACAAAGAGATGGGGGGCAGGAATGAGGAGGGGAAAACTGGACTAAGAACAAATAAGCAAATAACGATGTAATTCAACATATAGATGCGTGTGCTTAAGACACGTGCTATGTAACAAGCTGATACACACAACACAATTGGTGCAAAGCAAATAGCAACAGGGAAGCTATAATTTAGCAAAGCAGACACTGACTACAATAGACCAAACTGTAAAAAGAGGCAAACTCTCTAACAGGCTTCATGTCAGAGTCATGGAAGTTAAGCGGATGACAGTCTTCAAAGTCGACATAAAGGGTAAACAGCACATGCATTTGGTCTTTGGAATTCCACCTACCCAAAGGGGCAAAGAAATCTTCCACCATCTCATTCTACAATTGAAAGAACAAAGGTACATACATATGTCTCTGCCCATATATATATTACATGTAAATGCTTCTCCACAGATATTCATATGCATGTGCATATATATGCAGGTTGGATTGTGTGCCAGGCTATATTAACAGATATCTCTTAGAACATTTTATTTCACAACATCAGGGTTTCACATTTATTGAGCAAGTCAAAGGCAGTTTTAAAGCAGAAACACATTCTTACTTACAGTGTCCCACATCACGATGTATACATCTGTATTGAATGAATTATTAACGTGTTGGGTAATATAAAGGTTGATAAAATCACAAAAGTGGTGATACATGTTAACACCTAGTATAGGAAAAAAAGAAATCTATGTTAATTAACCCCAAAGAACAAATGATTTGATAAGTTTTATTCTATCCCATCTATTTCTAGTGTGATGATCTTTTAGCTAAAATAATGGGAGAATAGGCCTCCCTGGTGGCACAAGGGGTTAAGCCTCAGCACTACGAAGCTATCTCCAGCCACTGCAGATTGAGTTCGATCCCCAGCCAGAGAGCTAACCCATGAGGCACAGCAGAACTTTCCTGTCTCACCCGCTGCTCCCCTCAGCAGTGTATTTCAGTTGATCTGCCTGTTCTGCTCCCACCAGAGGGTGAATCCTCTCACTGCCCAGACCTCTGGCCTATACCCCAGCTCTTGTATGCATAAATATATAAAAAGAAATCTTTAAAAAATAAAATAAATGGGGAAAACAATAAGAGTTCTTCCAAACATGAAATAATCCACACATAGATTACAGATTGAATGGGTAGAAATATTACTTTAAAATTGATTATTTAGGAATTATGAATGCATTTTCCCATATACACTAAGTAGCAAATGATCATTAAGTTTCCAGGAAAAAATAACATAAGTCTATTAAACTCAAATGAGATAGAATTATAGAAGCATGAAGACTAATTGTTGTACTTTATGACATCTTATGTTTTAAATCAATTAAGTAACATCCCTTCATTATAGAAGTATTGGCAAAGATTGAAACTGTTAACATTTTGGAATTTTTCATTCCTGTTTCTTTTTTCCATACTTAATCATTACTTACAATATTGCTTTTTGGGAAAATATTAACTATCATTTCAAAGGGCTTCATGCCCCATATTCTACTTGAAGGAGCATGAACTTTGGAGTCAGAAGAACTGGCTTGAATCCCAGTTCAGCCATTCATGAGCAGTGTTCTCAGTAAGTTTGTAAAGTTTCCAGTCTTTAGCTTCTCTACTAGAAGTAAGGAAATATTATACTTAGGTGCCAGTTTTGTTAGGAAAGATTAAATGATAATACATCCAAAAGTACCCAGCCCGCTGCCTAACACCTGGTGAAGCCTTAGTGAAGACCTAAGTTTGGGAGGTCACACAGAGTTGATAAAAATGCAGAACTACTATTTGCAATCTCCTAAGTCTGTCTTTAAAAAAAAAGCTGAACATGTACTATTGACTTAGGCATACAGTATCCAGTATTCAACCGGGAAACACATCTAAACAAGATGAAATTCCAACAACTGGCGTTTCAAGTATGCATTTTATAGGAGGGTGAAAGTTAACTGAAAGAAAAACAGTGACTCTCAAATGCAGACTATAAATTATTCTGATTTCATTCCCATCGTGAAGAATGAGTGTGTCAGAAAATTAGAATTTTAAAAAAAGAAACCTCCATTCTTTTTAGACTGGTATTTGAAAAGAATGTTTGGAAGGGCTTCTTTTATCACCCAGAAAAATCTTGCCAAAAGCCTATATTCAAATAAACAAGAAAAAGCAAATTCTATTATAACACATGTCCTCCCAGGTTAGCTACACTGCACATTAGGTCTCTCATGTATCATTCACTGAATTCCTAACATTTCTTGAGAAACTCAGTAGGCACAAAATAGCTCTTGTTGCCAGGAGAATTTATAAATGAGAAAACATAGGCTCTGTCCTCAAGGGCCTCCAGTGAGTCTTGTTCTATGGAATGCTCATCTCTCAAGGTAAGCACTAATATAAAAAGAAAAATAGAATGGCAGCCTAAGAAGAAAAAAGTAGACTTATGGGTCCTCCCTGGTGGCGCAAGGGGTTAAGCACAACACTGTGAGGCTATCCATAGCCTCTGCAGCACGAGTTGGGTCCCAGGCCATCCAGGGAGCTACCCACATGACGCAGCAGACCTCTGCTGGCTTGCCTGCTGCTCCCCTCAGAAGTGAATTTGGGTCAGTCTGCCTGCTCTGTTCCCCATTCTGTCTCTGGTGAATCCTCTCACCCCCACCCTCCCCTCCCCCCACACCTCTGGCCTGTACCCCAGTTCTTGCATGCGTAAATAAATAAATCTTTTTTTATAAAGTAGACTTAGGAATATAGGAAAGAAATGGCACGCCCACATCAGCCTATTATTCCTATTTTAATACTTCATTGCATACGTATCTAAGTAAAATTACATATTCATATTCTTGAACAGGAAGATCACAGTTTTCTTTGCCCTTTTTAAGTCTTCATATTTTAAAAATTAGTCAGGACAATGAACATAGCATTTTTACCTGCTCTTATTTTAAAAATCTAAACCTGCCTGATTTCTAAAAATAAAACTTTGTAATATAAGAATAATGACTTCAGAAAGCAGGGCACATTAAAAATATAATCAATAACTTAGAGTGATTCTGAAACAGTCAATACTTCATGATAAGCCCAGCCTCTCATGAATTCTGATTATGATGTGGCGTGGTAATAACCATTCCTCATAATTAGATAATGAAGGAAAATTTGTGTTTCTCCTCTCAGGATGACTAGTATATAAAGTAAAAGCTGAGCTTGCAAGTTGTCAGGAATTAAGGGCATAAATAGAAAAATAATTTTTTTTTTTTTTAAAGATTTATTTATTTATCTATTCAAGCACTGGGTACAGTCAGAAGCGTGGGAGGGTGAGAGAATTCACCAGAGCCAGAGGGGAGAACAGAGCAGGCAGAAGGACCAAGGTACACTGCTGAGGGGAGCAGCGGGCGGCAGGAGAGGTCCGCGCGCCATGTGGGACCCTCCTCCGGTGGCCGGGGAGCAGCCGGGGATCGAACTGGCGCTGCAGAGGCCGCAGGCAGCTTCACAACCCAGCGCTCAACCGCTGCGCCACCGGGGAGGCCCTAGAAAAATAATTTTTTTAAAAAAATACTGCAGTGCTAGCAGAAATCAAAAGAATAATCAGAAACTACTATGAACAGTTATATGGAAACAAGTTCAACAATCTAGAGGAAATGGACAAATTCCTACAACTCTACAATCACCCAAAGCTAGATAAAGAAGAAATAGAACACCTAACAGACCAATTACAGGCAGCGAAATTGAAATGGTTATCAAAAAACTCCCCAAAAACAAAAGCCCAGGACCTGATGGATTTACAAATGAATTCTACCAAACGTCCAGAAACGAATTAGTGCCTATCCTTCACAAACTCTTCCAAAAAATTGAGAAGGAAGAGATAATACCAAACACGTTCTATGAAGCCAACATTACACTAATACCAAAACTGAACAAGGACAACACAAAAAAAGAAAACTACAGGCCAATCTCCCTAATGAACACTGATGCAAAAATTCTCAATAAAATTTTGGCTATCAAAATCCAACAATGTATCCATAAGATAATTCACCACGACCAAGTAGGATTCATTCCAGGAACACAAGGATGGTTCAACATCCAAAAATCAATCAACGTTATCTAACACATCAACAAAATAAAAAAACCATATGATAATATCAATAGATGCCGAGAAAGCTTTCGACAAAGTGCAACACCCATTCATGATAAAAGCCCTTGAAATTCTTGGGATACAAGGAACATACCTCAACATCAGAAAGGCCATATATGGCAAGCCAACAGCCAGTATCATTCTCAATGGTGAAAAGCTGAAAGCATTTCCATTAAGATCTGGAATAAGACAAGGATATCCATTCTCACCACTGCTTTTCAATATAATACTGGAAGTCCTAGACAGAGCAATAAGACAAGAGAAAGACATACAAGGAACCCAAATAGGAAAAGAAGAAGTAAAACTATCACTATTTGAAGATGATATGATAATATACATAGAGAACCCCAAAAACTCCACAGAAAAACTAATTCAACTCATCAATCAGTTCAGTAAAGTGGCAGGATACAAAATCAACATGCAAAAGTCAGTAGCCTTCCTATACACAAACAATAAATCTGAAGAAGAAGAAATCAAAAAAAAACATCCCTTTTATTACTGAAACAAAAAAATCAAATACTTGGGGATAAGTCTAACAAAAGAGGTAAAGGACCTATACAAAGAAAACTATAAAACACTGTTAAAAGAAATAGAAGAAGACACAAAGAAATGGAAAGACATCCCCTGCTCATGGATTGGAAGAATAAACATTATTAAAATGGCCATCCTACCAAAAGCAATATACAGATTCAATGCTATTCCAATAAAAATTTCAATGTCATTCTTCAAAGAAATAAAACAATTATTGATGAAATTCATATGGATTCACCAAAACCCCCAAAGAGCCAAAGCTCTCCTGAAAAAAAAAAGAAGGGAATGGAGGCATCACACTCCCAGACTTCAAACTATACTACAGAGCCATAATCATCAAAACTGCATGGTGTTGGAACAAGAACAGACACATGGACCAATGGAACCAAATAGAAAATCCAGAAATAAACCCACAGATTTATAGTCAACTAATCTTTGACAAAGGAGCAAAGAATATGCATTGGAGCAAAGAAAGTTTGTTCAATAAATGGTGCTGGGAAAACTGGGTCGCTACATGCAAAAGAATGAAGCTTGACTACTACCTAACACCATGCACAAAATCCAACTCAAAATGGATTAAAGAACTAGACATAAGACCTGAAACCATAAAATACATAGAAGGAAATATAGGCGAAACACTACATGAAATGCACATCAAAGACATCTTTACTGACACATCACCCAAAGCAGTGATAGTGAAGAAAAGATAAACAGCTGGGACTACATCAAATTAAAGAGCTTCTGAACAGCAAAAGAGACAATAACCAAAACAAAGAGAAACCCCACCGACTGGGAGAACATTTTTGCACACAACACTAATGATAAAGGACTGATCACAAAAATCTACAAGGAGCTGATGAGACTCAACAAAAACAAAGAAAATAATCCAGTCAAAAAATGGGCAGAAGAGCTAAAAAGAAACTTCTCTGAAGAGGAAATGTAAATGGCCAACAGGCATATAAAAAATGTTCAACATGACTTGTAATCAGGGAAACGCAAATCAAAACTACAATGAGATACCATCTTACACCAGTGAGAATGGCACATATTAAAAAAACTAGCAACAACAAATGTTGGCGAGGGTGTGGAGAAAAAGGAACTCTCCTGCACTGTTGGTGGGAGTGCAAACTGGTCCAACCACTATGGAAAGCTGTGTGGAGATTTCTTGACCTACTAAAGATAGAGCTTCCATATGATCCAGCAATTCCACTCCGAGGTATTTACCCAAAGGACACAGAAACATCAATTCCAAAGAGCACCTGCACCCCTATGTTTATAGCTGCACTATTTACAATAGCTAAGCTTTGGAAACAGCCCAGATGCCCAAAAATAGATGACTGGATCAAGAAGATGTGATATATATACACAATGGAATATTACTCAGCATTCAAAAAAGATAAACACATGCCATTTGAAGCAACATGGATGGAGCTGGAAGGGATCATGCTCAGCGAAATAAGCCAGAAAGAAAAAGAAAAATACTGAATGGTCTCACTCATAGCAGGAATCTAGAAAACTTAAATAAGGGATCAGGAAAAAGAATAATTATAAGAAAGAAAATATCAAAATCAACAAACTATGAGCCAGAGACACTCTATGTGGGGTGAGGGGCAGGTAAAGGAGGGCTTGGGGTCAAAATAAGGGGGTTATAATTGTATGGGGAATATAAAAATAAAATTTAAATTAAAAAAATACTGCAGTGCTAACTTTAGAAGAATTTTAAGTTCATTTTAGTCATGAGAACCATAGCTAAAAGTTTGCCAAAAGAGGTGAAGGGCATCCACATGCCCTTGTACATGCCGCAGTGCACATATGGCTTTTACTTAAAAAAATTTATTTTAGGGCCTCCCTGGTGGCACAGGAGGTTGAGTGAAGCACTGTGAAGTTGTCCGCAGCCTCTGCAGCCCGGGTTCTATCCCAGCTGGCCAGGGAGATGCCCGCATGGCTTGACAGCCCTCTCCTGTCTCGCCTGCTGCTCCCCTCAGCAGTGTATTTCGGTCAGTCTGCCTGTTCTGCTCCCCGCTCTGTCTCTGGTGAATCCTCTCACCCTCTTGCAAGTCTGGCCTGTGCCCCAGTTATTGTATGCATTAATAGATAAATCTTAAAAAAAAAAAGACTTAAAAAATTTATTTTAAAGCAGCACAAATCTAAATTAAATGACTAGAGAAACCAGATGGGGTAAATTGAGTTATAAAAGGTATATATATGTTGCCTCCTCTCATCTTTGATTTTTTAAAAGATTTATTTATTTATGCATATAAGAACTGGCCTGTAGACCAGAGGTAGGGGAGTAGGCAGGAGTGAAAGGATTCACCAGAGAGAGTGGGGAGCAGAACAGGCAGATCTACTGAAATACACTGCTGAGGGAAGCAGCGAGTGAGACATGTGGGCTGTGCCATGTGGCTTGCTTCCTGGCCAGCCAGGGATTGAACTTGTGCTGCAGTGGCTGGCAACAGATTGATAGCACTGTGTCTTTAACCCCTGCGTCACCAGGGAGGCCCCCATCTGCGACTGTTGATTCATTCACTTGTCATAAATTTGAAGGTTTCTTCTAAAATATCAAAGGTAAAAAATAATGGGGATTTCAAACAAGGTCACTTCTTCAGAGAAGAAAGTCAGAAGAGGGCCTCCCCAGTGGCACAGCGGTTGAGCACTGGGCTGCAAAGCTGCCCACAGCCTCTGCAGTGCTGGTTCAATACCGGGCCACTGGCGAGGGTCCCACATGGCCCTCAGACCTCTCCTGCCGCGCCTGCTACTCTCCTCAGCAGTGTATTTCGTCAGTCTGCCTGTTCTGCTCCCCGCAATGGCTCTGGTGAATTCTCTCAACCTCCCACGCATCTGACTGTACCCAGTGCTTATATAAATAAAAAAATAAATCTTTTAAAAAAAAAAAGAAAGTCAGAAGCAAATCCACTGTTATATTTCCCAAAAAGTCATAGGAAATCAATACATACTACAACGAAAAAGAAATCAGATCTCATCAACCTAAATAAATAAAATGAATAAACATCTCACCTGCATCTAATTTCATGAAGTAGGTTGGCTTATCAATAACCATGTCACAATTACCATCTTCAATAGGTCTGAAGTTGAGCTGAGTATAGCTTTGCAACTCAGCAAACCTGGAATTACGAATTGGCAGATGCTTTCAAAACTATTTTCCTGAACTTCTTAGCGCAATATCATAACTTAGGGTTTATTAAGTAGGGAAATTTTACTTCAAGTATAAACTATAATGGAGACATATAAAACTTCTTAAACATACCAACATATATACAACTTGATACTGATTTTAATGTTGAGAAAAGGGGAAAATTTGTTTTTTTAAATTCAGCCTAATGTACATGATAAACTAGGAACTTTCCAAAGGAGAAATTTACATAGTGAGTTAGGTTAAATAGTGTACCAATAAAGTCAGAAGATTCAGAAAAGTTTCCAATACTCCTAGGAAGCTCAGTTTGATTCAAGAACTTTTTGTACAGATTTTTTGATTCTGAGAAAGGTGGCATTCCAGGAACTATTGAGTGCCTCAGAAAGACAGCACATAGGTAAGCTTCTTGGAAGAAAGGAACACGTGTTTCCTATTCAAGAGGAGATTAATTCCATCCCCCAAAGAGTGGGCTGAAATTAGTGATTCACCTCTAACAAACAGAATACAGCAGAATGGCAGAAGTGAAGGTGTACTGTATCCCCAGCCCTCCTTATTCTCAGGGATATTGTCGTGGTGCCCAGAGTTCCTGCTTGTCAGAGTGGTGTCTCACCAAAAGCAAAAGTCCTGGAAAGGGAATATACTAGGAAACCAGTATCTGCTGAACACAGCAGCAGATGTTAGATAGAACAGAGATAACATGCTGTGATCAGCAGGAATAATGGAGCCCCCAGACAATAGCCCCTGGTCACTCCACCCTAGTTTACATCCCCAATAACTGCTTCCCCCTACATACTTGCTCCGCCTTTGTACTTGATGCTAATAAATGAGACTGCCTTTGGATGGGGACTGCACATTACTTCCCAGTGTAGCCCCTCCATTATTCCACATGGACTTTGAGTAATCTCTTATCCCTTGCCACTCCCAACGCTGTAGCCCTGTAAGGGGAGAGTGTGTCATTTCTGAGATTGAGGTATACAAACACTGAGGCATCCATCTTGGGACATCATACCCACCACCACTGGCCTTCAGGAAAGCCAGTCGCCATGTTGTAAGCCGCAGTAGGGAGAGGGGGCTATGTGGCAAAGGAATGATGCCTCTGTCAGCAGTCAGAGAAAGATGAATCTTACAACCGCATGAGTGAGCTTAGAAGTGGATTCATCAGGCCCAGTAAAGCCTAGAGATGTCCACAGCCCTGTGTCAACAGCTTAACAGAAACCTCAAATGTCACCCTCAGCCAGACGCACCCAGCTAAGTTGCCCTGAAATCCTGACCATAAGAAACTTCACAACATAATAAATATTGCTTATGTTTAAACTATTACAATCTGGAGAAACTGGGGTGGGTAGACAATGAATAAATATTAAAATTTGGAGAAATTTTGCTATACTGCAATAGATAATAAATACAAATGTACCCTAGGATGTGCTTTGGAGTAATAAGCTATATTCCATTAAGTAACTAACACAAATAAAAGGAAATGCCATGATTTCCAAAGGTACTAGTGATCAAATATTATAGAGTAGATATCAAAATGTACTAAGAACCAAAAGACCTAGTAGGATACAGAAGCTCCTACTGCAGAAGTCTGTTAAGTCAAGATATTGCGTTACAGACTATAACAGGCCATACAAATGTATGGTAGATTCTTATCCTGAATGTTTTGCTTAGCACAAATACAATTAACATTATATAAGTGTCCTCTGTAGCTATAAAGGGGTAGCATGAGTTTCTTTGGGGTGATAAACAGTTCTTTATACTGTCTTAGTGGTTACATGCACCTAAGCAGGTGATATATATTCCATTAAGCTACACACACAAAAATTATAAGAACTGGTGAAATGCAAATGTGTATAAATAATAATACTGTACCAACATCAATTTCCTGTTTTTGATCATTGAGGTACAGTTTTGTAAGACCTCATCATTAGAGGAAGTCAGAGTAAGGGTACAATGGGAACTCTGTGTGATTTTCAAACTTACACATTCTAAAATTATTTTAAAATAAAAAGTATCTTTAAAGTGTTCTCATGCTTTATTTCTAGGGATGGTAAATTTCTTGATAGACTACAGAATTAGTTTAACAGTAAAAATGTTTAAAACCAAAATGTGTTCCCTAATTTTATGAAGTTCAAAAAGCTGGGGAATGATGTTAAAAGTCAGGGTAGTGTTTACCTTTAGAGAGAAGGATAGGGGTGTGACAGGCAGAAGGTCTGAGGGCTGATGACTTTTGACCTGGGTAGGCATTACACAGGTGGGTTCACCTTTTCATAATCCAAACTGTACATTTCTCTATATGCTTGCTATGTACTTCAACATGTGTATTTTTTTAAAAAAAAATGTGTTCCCCAAAACATATGTGGCAATTATGAGGAGTTAATAAAAATTAATTTTGAATTGATTTTCCTTCTTTCATTAACAAATGGTAAATACCGTATGACACTTCCTAGTAGTGTATAAACAAATATTTAATTTTGATACAACTGAGAGTCACTCTCTAGCCATCAACTTCCCAGAAAGTCATTATCAATTATCTACAAATGAAGTAACATTTCCCATTTGAAAGTTCTTACCAAAACCTGTAAGTACAAAAAATAAAGACAAATAATTTAGAAAAACCATTTAAAAAAAGAACTTACCAAGACTGCAGAGGACTTTTGCGCTGACCTTCAGACATCAATGTACGACTGTCAAGTTTACAGTGGCCTCCAATCTTACCACTCTGGAAAAAACTTTCCTTAAATCTGGTGGATAACAACAAATTAAGTTGAGTTCGAAATTTTTTTCCATGAAATATTGGATGGTTTCGCTTATAGGAGGAATATAGGGGAACAAAATAAGGAATCAGGGGAAAAATCATAACAAAAAACTAAACAAAACAAAAATAAACAGGCAACTATAAATCAGAGACATGCTGCAGGACAGGGGGAGAAGATCAAAACAGGGTGGGAAGGGCACAAGGGATTATGGTGATGGTGCACGGGTGAATGGGTGGTGGGAATTCTATGGGAACTACATCTGAGAGGAGAAAGCAAACATTGCACAAAAATGAACAATGATGTAAAATATATATAAATAAATAAAATTTTTCATGACTCAGGAACATGGGCTGTAACTAGTGATTTACTAATTTCTAAAATCAGTTTTTCACTAGAATTTAACTCTTTCTAGCAGAATATTTCAAATACATACAAAAGAGATAGAACAGTACAAGGAAACTGATGTCTCCAAACAAAACTTCAAAACAACTCGTGTCCTGTTTCCCAAATCCACCACCATATTGTTATGAGGAAAATCCAGGCATATACCCAGATCTGAAAATATTTCAGAATTTCCATTAGATTTCATCAATCACTTTAAGTACCTGTCATGATTCCTTTTGATGTTTCTTAAATCAAGGTAGAGACGGGCTGCTCTGCAGAACTGAAGATAACGGGAACACACCAGACTTGAGTCATTCTGCAACAAGATTAAGAAAAACGAAAGAAAGTAACTTGAGCATTAACATTAACTTGAGGACACACACAGACTTGCTAGACATGTTGAGCACATGCACAGCGTCAGGTCCAAACCACACAATATGAGAAGGAAAGCTTCCTGAAGACTGTTTCTGCTTAAGGATTTTTGTCCTTCCAGCAGACTTCAACCAAATATACTTTTGCTAATTATCCTATTTATAGCACCTCAAATTTTAAAGCCAGGAACTGTTTAAAAAAAAAAAAAAAGCACTCAGAACTATTATTACCCCATAGCTATGTAAGAAAGTATTTTCGAAAGAGAGCCAAATGAAACATAAGAGACATTAAAATGCAAGGCAGGAAGGGCATTTTGCCAATTTTACTAAGAGCTACTTTCTGCAAACCATAAAACTTGTGGGAGTCTGTCTCAACAGCAACAGGAGGGGAATGTTTTCTAAATCGGTGAAGCATCCACTCCCAGAGTCAGCTTCTGTTTCCACCAATCTGGTTGTGCTGAAAGAGGGTTAACTCCAAAAAAAAAAAGTTTATCTGGATTTTCCTTATAGATTCAAATGCCATTGTATTGTTTTTCCCATGACATCCAATGAACATGAGGCCTTAATCTTGTTGGTAAGTTATCCTACTCTAACTGTCCAAGCATATCAGGTTGATCCCCACCAGGAAAGCATTCTAAAGGCCACCTTGGTGGGCCTCCCCTGGTGGCGCAGGTGGTTGAGCGCCACTTGAAGCTGTCCGCAGCCTCTGCAGCGCCAATTCGATCCAGGCCGGCTGGCGAGGGTCCCACAAGGCAAGCAGACCTCTCCTGCCTAGCCCACTGCTCCCCTTAGCAGTGTATTTCGTCAGTCTGCCTGTTCTGTTCCCCACTCTGTCTCTAGTGAATCCTCTCACCATCCCGCACATCTGGCCTGTGCCCTGGTTCTTGTATAAATAAATAAGTAAATCTTAAAAAAAAAAAAAAAGTCATCTTGGGACAGGGTTGTGGCTCCTCCCTTTCCTTTCCACATGAAAAGTGCTTACAAGCCCATGGATGTTTAGAAATTAACATTGAGCCCTTTGCTGGAAATCAGGCCCTGTCTGGAGCATTTTTTAAAAAGATTTATTTTATTTATTTATGTATACAAGACCTGGGGTGTAGGCCAGAGGTGCGGGGTGGGGGGTTGGGGGTAGGGGTGGAGAGGATTCACCAGAGGCAGAGTAGGAAACAGAACAGGTGGATTGACTGAAATACACTGCTTAGAGGGGGCAGCAGGAGAGACAGCAGAGGTCTGCTGCGCCATGTGGGTAGATCGCTGGCCGGGGATCCAACTCATGCTGCAGTGGCTGCTGATAGCTTCATAGGCTGAAACTTAACCCCTTGTGCCACCAGAGAGGCCCCCTGTCTGGAGCATTTTTAATGGCAGAATTGCATTTCAATCTGACTACAAGCTATGAAATAGGCAGATTAAAAACAAAAGAAATTGAAACATGGAAAGTTTGGGCGCCCTGTCAGAGATTCAGGATTTGAAATCTGAAGCGTGGAACCTGTTCTACTCAATACTACCCTAAATTGCCTTTGACAATGTGTTACTTACCCATAGAGTACAACCTGGTATGAGTGAAAGTACACAGAAAGAGATCTGCATTTTAATTCTAGATGTACAATTCTACATTGTAGCTGTGAGGTCTTAGAGAAGTTACTTAACTTCTTTAAGGAACCTGTTTTCTCTGGCTAAATGGCAACAGGCTAATGCCTGCCCTGGCTAACTCTATAATGTTTGTGAAAATCAAACTAATACACAGAAAAACTTTTTGCAAACTAAAGTGCTAAACAAACAAAAGGCACATCAGTAGAGGCATGTTTGTAAAAATTTGTAAAGATGCAACTTACCAGTTTACCTTCTCTAGCATACGATGGAGGGAACAATTCTAACTCTAGAAGTAAATTAACTGCCTCCAAATATGGTGATCTGATAAATGTGTGAAAATGAGGACATGGTTTCCAAGTGAAACAGAACTGGTTTTTGGAAATTAAATAAAATTCTTAAATAAATAAAATTAAATAAGACAATAAATACATGGCAGGGAGGGATCCCTTTCATAGTGCAATCTATCTTGTTTTGACTTTGTGATCTAAACTCTGCAAGTATTTTAAAAGCCATGCTCACTTATTACCCACCATTTCCCGAGGGTGGCACAGCACATGCATCTCTTCTAGCCGCTCGCCTGCGTATCCAAAATCAGCTTGTCTCCAGAAGAGGTCCTGAGCTGACTCGAGGGTGTCGGTCCTGTTCACAAAAAAAAATAAAAATAAAAATTCTATTTTTAAATTTTATTTATTTATGCATACAAGAACCGGGGTATAGGCCAGAGGTGTGGGGGGGAGGGGTGAGAGGATTCACCAGAGAGAGTGGGGAGCAGAATAGGCAGATCTACTGAAATACTGCGCCATGTGGGCCAGCTCCCTGGCTGGCTAGGGATTGAATTCATGCTGCAATGGCTGGATACAGCTTGGTAGCACTGTGTCCTTAATCTCTGAGCCACCAGGCAAGTCCTCTTTTTATTTTTTTAACCCTGAATTTTTTCTAAAGGTTAAAATGCCAGAAACCTTTCATTTCTTTAATTTTTCCTAAAAGTATACATGTTACATGAGCTTATCAAAATAAGTTATTTATAGACATACTTTTTTTTTAAGATTTTATTTATTTATTTTTGCATAAACTCTGTTATAGACCAGAGTTGCGGAGGTAAGAGGATTCACCAGAGACAGAGTGGGGAGCAGAACAGGCAGAGCTACTGAAATACACTGCTGAGGGGAGTAGCGGGCAAGACAGGAGAGGTCTGCAGCACCATTGGGTTAGATCCCTGGCTGGGGATAGAACTCAGGCCTTAGCAGTGGTAGCACTGAGACTTAACCCCTAAGCCACCAGAAAGGTGCCCAGACATATTTCCTTACGATATAAAGACAATAGAAATATATGAAGTGAAGTTTATCATGGACTCAAGACAATGAAATGTTAATTAAAGTATTTTCTTTACCCCATTTACCCCACATATTTTGGAAATACTAATTATATTTAATCTTCCTTCCAGAATCAAGAAGAACCCATCAATATATCTATTAGAGTATACTGAGGAAAACATTTTCTGTGATCTAGACTGTCTTCTCCCTCTGGCAGAGGAAGTGAGAGGCATTCCTGTCCCAGTGGGAGATAATAAAGTTGAATTCATGAGGTATAAGCAAAACAATACCTAAAGGAATTACTAAAACCAAAAAGCTGAAATTGAGGCATCTGAATACAATGCAGAGAAAAAAAGATGACTTAAAAGCAAGAAGGTGTTCTCTGCAAACTTACCATCCCGTGTCCACGTAGCTGCAAACAGGGTAACCAAACCTGTACTCTGGTTTGCAGGATTTCTCATAACCCCAGCAGTACTTTAGATTTTCTAAGTGTTTCTGGAACATAACACAGGAATATAAGACATCTCTTCTGACAGAGAGGACACTTAGATTTGTCTATGATGAAAATAATTTTTTAAAAGATTTATTTATTTATGCATATGAGAGTTCGGGTGTAGGCCAGAGCTGGGGGGAGGGGTGAAAGGATTCATCAGAGACAGAGTGGGGAGCAGAACAGGTGGATCCACTGAAATATACTGCTGAGGGGAGCAGCTCGTGAGACAGGAGAGGTCTGTGCACCATGTAGGTCACCTCCCTGATGGGGGATTGAACTCATGCTGCAGTAGCTGCAGAGAGCTTCATAGTGCTGAGACTTAACCCCTTGGGCCACCAAAGAGGCCTGAAAATAATTTTTTATATAATTTAATTTTTATAATTTATGGTACTGTTTATGTAATAATAATGACTAAATTCTAAGAATAGCTGTCTGAAGGTTCCTAAGTTATCCTTAATCACACCCCCGATCACATCTGCCCTCAATCAACAGACCATTTGAATTGAAATTTCCTGAAGTAGCTTAATGAAACCTCCTTTTCCAGTGAACAAAGAAATTCTAGCATTAGTCCTTAGAGATACATAACCTGAAATTTCTGCCACCAAAAGAATCACAGTTAAATTGAATGGATCAGCAATTTTACTCATCAGTCTACTCAGCAGAGCCCCCACAAGACAGGGACAGCTCTGCAACCCTTGGGGGACAGCAACTATTGTTGGCCCCTGGGCTTAGAAGGCTCTTCTGCAAGGCCCCAGGAGCAATGCTGGTCTGATTCTCAGGTCTGCTTCTCCATATGCTTCCTGTGCCCACACCATGGGAAAGGAAGCCTCTCACAATGCCCAGCTTTGATCTGGAAGGTCTCCTGAGACATCTTAATGGGCTCCAATTTGAGGCCTTTCAACAGCTCTGTGAAGGAAGGCCACAAGAACGTCTTAATCATGTGGAGGCAAAGGCAGAGGTGTTATTACTGAAATTAAGTGCTAAGTAACCCTTTTAAGTGCAGTTTAAGAAAAGAGGGGCCAAAAAATCCTTTAGTTGCATTTAACTAGTTGTTTTCTGAATAAAATCTAGTTTGCTTCATTTACAGAAAATAAAAATACAGTTGACCACCAATTACTTTTACTAGTGATTTAGATTTTAAATCTCACTCTGGTTTGTGGGAAAAAAATTTAAACAAAGCTTAGTCACTTAGAAACACTAGATGAAATATAATGATTGATCGTAGTCACAAAGAAAGATTCAGGTTATGAAATGAAAGTAGTAAGCAAGCTGAAACTGGATCCTTTTAAAATATATAAGAGAAAAAATAATACCTGCCTTATAAGGACAGTGTGAGTCTTTCTTACAGATAGTGGCAATGTGTCTGTTATTGTGCAAAAAGAAGGGGATGTGTTCTTCTGGCAGGCGGATCCTGGCGTAGTCAAACAGAGGGGTGCCTGTCATGCTCTCAGTCTTGGAAGGAGACTCATCTTGGCTACTCAGTGAGACATCATGAAGTAATACTCCAAGGACAAGCAATGTTAACATAGCAACTTCCACACCTAGAGATCAAATTGAAAACATCTTCATTAAGACCTATCCTCTAAAAGTCAAAGGGCTAACTTTAGCTACAATGAATTTTGCCACATCACTGAATAACATTCCTTTATTTGGTACATATTATTGCAAACTGATTATGTGCCAGGTAATTTGGTTAGGAGCTAAGAAGTGAATAAACCAAAGAAGGTCCCTTCTACCATGGAGCATAAATCTAGTGCAAGAGACCTAAGTAATCAAATAAATAAACAAGTAACTTGGATGTTGAAAATATGCTGGGATTCAAATAAGCCAGGAGCCAGCAAACTTTTTCTGTAAGGGACCAAGCAGAAAATATTTTTGGGCATTGCAGGCTCATGTTTGTGGCAACTACTCAACAATACTACATGGAAAAAAAGCCATAGGCCATTAGCCTATGCTGAAGGAATGAGGGTGGCTATGTTCTAATAAAACTTTACAAAAATGAAGAGAGGGACTCAATATGACCCAGTTTGCTGATGCCTGAAATAAAGTAATAAGATAGACAACATAGCCTAGTGATGAAGAACATGGACTGTGACCTTGAGCAAGTTATTTAACCTTTCTGTGCCTCAGCATTTCCACCTACAAAATGCAAATCATGATAAAGTTTCCTCAAGACATGACTGTATGCTAAATATTGGTAAAGTATTTAGAGTACCTGCCACATTAAATGCTATGCTTTTTTTTTTTTTTTTTTTTTTTTTTTTTTGAGGCATGTTTTATTTATTTATTTATTTGTTTGTTTGTTTGTTTATACATGCACTGGGTACAGTCAGAAGCGCGGGAGGGTGAGAGAATTCACCAGAGCCAGAGCGGGGAGCAGAGCAGGCAGAAGGACCGAAGTACACTGCTGAGGGGAGCAGCGGGCGGCAGGAGAGGTCTGCGCGCCATGTGGGACCCTCCTCCAGTGGCCGGGGAGCAGCCGGGGATCGAACCGGCGCCGCAGAGGCCGCGGGCAGCTTCGCAACCCAGCGCTCAACCGCTGCGCCACAGGGGAGGCCCTAAATGCTATGCTTTTATTAAGGAAATGTTTAATGTCATGTGGCTATGGGGAGGGAAAAGGGTGTGCTAAATAACAGTTGAGCTGAGACCTGAATGACAAGAAGTGGGGGAAATATGCCAGAGAGAGGGGAGAAAATAAAGTGCAATGGTCCTGAGCAAGTATACAGGTGATGAATAAAAACTAATAATCACAATCAGTGTGTGAGAATATACTATCTGTTAGGTACACTTAAAAGTTACAAGGATGCGGCAATTCGAGGTCAAGAACTAAATTTCTAGGCTTGCGAAGCTCACATTCTAGTGTGTATAGTAACATCTCTAATAATAACTAAGCCTCTGTAAACTCCAGGAGTGAAATCCAGGCAGTCTACCTTAAACACGGTACTTAAGTCTCCCTGTCCAAGGTCACAGCCTTACTGCCATTTCTAAGTCATCCCATTAAAGATTAAATCTCTGGGGCCAGATTTCTCTTATATACTGTAGGTCATAATCATTACATTTTTGGTTCACTTTAGTGATAAATTTGTTCTATTTTAAAAAAAGAAAAAGGTGGCCTTTCTATTAGATGATAGAACATATTACTCATTAGCTGCTCCCCTCCAAAGGTAGTTTGGCACTGGGGCATAGCAGAAAACACAAATTTCAAATAGTTCTCATTGACTATGAATGTTAAGGTTAAGGAGCTTTAGAAACAGACCAATATGTTCAATCAAACCTTAATTTCCAAGGCCAAGGGATGGTAACTAACAGTGGGGACACCAAGGAGAAATCATTTTGTCCTCTGGAGTGGGAAATAGTATAGTTTTCCTGTTAGGTAGCTTTGAAAAGTATACTGTTATCTATTGTAAAGGTGATTTGAATTGATATTTTTAGGTAAGACTTTTATCCAACAGTAATTTGAAACCAATTTTAAAAAATTTAAAAATATATATTGATAAATAACAAGGATTCTACTTATAATGAAAATATTTACCTCTTTAATCCTCAGAACCACCCAGAAACTGTTGTCAAGTTTCACGTATCTAAATCTTGTCAGAATTGAAACATACTACTTTAAAAAGATGCCCAAATAGAATTTATCACCCAGGTGATATTCTGATTTAAATGAAATATTACAAGAAGAAATAATTGAATAAGGTAACCCGTAAGCAAAAGACCTGGCTCATGGGACTTCCACTTTAATGAAAATCTAAGTAAAGTTACAGAAAGACCCTCAACACAGTAACTTACCAGTCCAGATTCCAACCACCAGCAAGGAGATTGCCCGTTTTATATAGGCATCAACTGGTATCTGCCACAGGACAGTAGCAGAAAACCCTTTCCTAGGGGCAAGCAACTTGCCTATTTCTCACTGCAGTAGTTCTACTCACTGAAGCAGACCTGAGCCTCACTATTTCTTGAACCTTAAGGTTCAATAGTTAGGTCACCCTATCCTTTAACAGAACCTTCCCAGTAAAAACTCATTGCATTGACCAAGTCTAGACCTTTGGTTATCCAAGTCTGTTGTCTTCAATGGAGCGCTAGACCATTAAACTCACAGATCCATGAAGAGCAGGTCATGGGAAAAACGTAAAGACTCAGATCAAACTTGGCTTTTAGCAGAGGGCACGTACCCACTTGCACAAGCTAGAAAGTGGTGACTGCTGGTGCATGAAAGCACAACCCCGGGGCCTGGCAGAAAGCCTTCCTGGTGTAGAGTCCTTTTGCAAGGCCTCCCAGGGATGGATCAGCGCACTTCTTTGGCAGATGGAAACTTCAGTGGCTGAGAACCTTTTCCTGTAGCACAAAGCAACTGGCTCCCTCTACTTCAGTATCCCTTGAATGGATTTCCACAAGCCTAAAAAAAAAAAAAAAAAAAGAGGGGTGGGAGAAAACGCGAAAAGCCTGAAAAATAAGTGAAACCAGAATAGGGACCACAGTGGGTCAGATGGAGCGTGCATGTTCTGTGTAGAATTTGGGAACCTGTTAAGGGAGTGGGCCAAGGAAAAACTAAATGAATGCATTGAGACTCACGACTCCTAAGCAGCTGGCCCCACTTAAGAAATAAGTCTCTGGGTTGGCACAAAGGGCGTGGCTGCCTGCAATGCCCAGGTGGAGGCCCCCCCAGCAGTTTGCTAGAACGTCAACCCGAGAACCAGGACAGCTGGGTCGGCGGCGAGGGGCCACTCCAGGGGTTGCTTCGCCGCGCAGACCTCCGCGAGGACCTCCCACAACCCTGCACCGCACCCACACCAGCCAGCAACCCTGATGCCTGGAAGGAGCCGGAGGGAGCGGCTCCGCCCGGGCCAGGGAAACCCGGTCAACGGGACGCGGCCGAGGACCGAGCATCCTCCGCTGCGCCCCGCGGGCTCCCGGGGGCGCTCCGGGGAGCGGACTCTCGCCGGCGCTGTGAAGGGGCCGAGCGCTAGGGAGCTGGAGGGCCAGGATCTGCTTCCCCACGCGCGCCTCCCCGGGCCGCGGAGTCCGAGGGCGGGGGTTACAGCCAGGGAAGTCGCGGGGCTGGCTGGGGAGCGGGTGAAGCCTCGGTGGACGCGGGGTTAGTCCCACCTGAAGCCGCAGGAGCCGAGGAGCGGGAGACGGCCGGAGCCCCGGAGGAGGGAGTCGTCATAACCGGCTACCGCTGCTCACCGGAAACCTCAGGCTCAAGAGCCGGGCCAGGGGGCGCCAGGGAGCAGCCCCGACACCTTGGCCGGCCTGCGCCCGGGGGCGGGCCCGAGCTCCCCAAAGGGGGCGGCTCCTGCCGGGAACGCTCCTTGGGGCCGGGGCTCCGCGCGCGGCGCAGCGCGCAGGCTGCAAGGTGGCGGCTGGTGACACCTTGGGCTTTTGCAGGCGCGCTCCCGCTCGGCTGCGGAGCCAGCTTCCTAAACTGGGCTAGAAAGCGGGATTTAAGGAAGCTAGCCCCTCCTTGGGAGAGAGACAAAAAACAACTTTAAGGATGTTAGGATCAGATGGGCAGAAAAGCCGCTTCTTCATTCCGGTTGCTCTGCATTCAGCAGATTTCTGTTTTCTGAGTTAGGGCAGAAGTTGCCGCCCAGACTCTCGAATTTGGGGCCTGAACTAGTCTGGGGTTGTGGATTCTTTGGAATCCTCACACCTTATGTATTACATTTGCCACACTTCGTATGTGTCTGAAAACTCACCAAGTTCAAATGCTACTCTGTGGATTTTAATTTGACCGTCTTATGAAATAATTATTTTAATAATAATTTTTATTTTATCAATTATTTGAATGCCCATCTCCCAGATTTTTTTTTATTAGCACCCTTGGCTCTAGCATGCTGTCTGATATAAAGCATGGTAGAATCAGTCATTAAGTACAGATCCAAGTTGAACTGTCTAAATGAAGGTTGCTATCAAAATAAACTCATGCTCAGACACAAAATCACCAGTATTAAGTAAAGATTATAAGGAAACACTATAGTACGTTTCAAATGTCTACATACTTTTAAAATTGATTTTTTAGATGTTATGAGAATTGTTACAAGAATTGTTAGTAACCTCATATATCAGGGATATTATCTGAATTTTTTTTCCAAATAATAACAGTGCGAAAATAAATGTTATTTGATATGGGATAGGCATTATCCCATTCGTATTAACTCATTTAGTCCTTAGGTGAAAGATTTTGCTTCTAAGGGAAGTACTACTCTATTATTTTATACATTGCCAACCCCCAAAACAATAAGAATTTTCAAAAGTGTTTTCTTAGCCTACTTGCCACCATCCTATTTTTGCCATTACAGGAAACGTAGCTTTCCTGTTAGTTGATTTGAAAAGAATAGTACTTATTTAAAATTTTAAACAAGCTGATTTTTCGCTGAATGATATGCAGTAAAGATAAATGACATAGTACATGAGAAAGACTTATAAAAATAGTTTAGTCTCTTTACAAGGATATAAATGGCTACATATTAAGCTGTGGTCATTCAGACTCAGAGGAAACAAGATGTAATACAACTTTAAGAATCTGAGATCATTTTAGTTTACTGCAACAGCTCTTCTCAACATAGAATTTCTCCCCAAAAATCTATTAAGATTTAATTTTAAACTTTCTTCAAATTAACCTTATAATATTCTCAATGTCCATGACTAGAAGACCGATTAAATTATGGTATATCCACAGAATGTATAACCACAAGGTATATAAAAAGAATTGAGAAATATCTCTATACACTGCAGCATCTATTACTGCGTAGGAAAAGCATGGAGGACAGAGATGTGTAATATGCTATCATCCAGGAAAGTCTATATGTATATACACATATAAAGTATGTAAATAAGTATATATATACATATCACTTTAAAAATAAAAGTATAACATTTTAAATAATTGTCTATAGTGGAAAAAGTGAATAAGGGTGTAAGGGGACAAAGAAGATTACTTCTCTGTATAAATCAATACATTGTAAATATGTGACATTAGATCATGTAAATATTTTAATTATTAAGTAAAAGTAAAGTTTTAAAAGGTAATCCTTCAGTATTGAAAAATGAAATGAAATCAATCTAAATGTTTGCATATACAACAGAAAATCCCAAGTAACACTGAAACATAATTTTGAAACATAATAACCAACCTATCAGGATGTAACCTTAACAGAAGTTAAACAACAGAAGTTAAACAACAGAAGTATAACAAAACAATCACAAACTGTTTCAGTAGTCAAATTTGGTAGCAATGTTGGTTGGGATAAATCAAATAAAGAAGGTATGTTTGAAATTGAATTTTTTTTAAGTTGAAATTTTTGACATGTGTATAGATGCCAGCCTGATGAGACCATATAAAAATCTTGTAGTTCTGAATTTGAGTTGGAGGTAGCCATATGAATTAACAATATGTTTTATCTTTAAAAATAAATCTCTCCTCCATCACCCATTGAAAGGGCCTAGAAATAACCAACTAGGTAGTAAGAAGCATCCCTCGTGCCCAGACTGCTCTTTACAAGTGATTTCTCACTAAAAGGAACACAGTCTTTATAGGAAAAGGGATAATCATGGATTTTGATAGAAAATGAATAACCTTAAGTGTAAGTCAGGAAATGTACAAGATGAATGTGACCTGTCTTACAGAAGAAAGCAGGGAAGCAAAGGTTAGGAGGGTCATCTCGGGACTCAGGAACCAATTTGGAAAGACTTCCTCAGGGCAGGATTGGATAATTTAAGTCATCAATAAAAGTAACTGTAATGGATTGAAACATAAAATACATTTTAATATTATAATCAAAAGATCCAACCAATCACCAAATACAAAAGTCAAAAAACTCATTGTTTCTGTATGATGACAAAAGGGAACAAACTCTCATTGTGAAAACTTAAAAAAAGAACCAAGCACATTTTTTCCTGTCTCTCCTATATGAATTATGATAAGCAAATAACTGGTTACTTTCTGCAGAAACATTCCATACTTAAATGATAGTCAAACCATGTCTGAAATTTGCTTCAAAATAATCAGTGTCCATTGGGAGCCAGCACAAGTGAAACACATGAATGACACACAATGGGCCATGAACTGTTGGACACTGTTAGAGAATATGCTAATGAGCATGTGGGAATTCATAATCTGTTCCTTTAAATTTCAAATTTTTACATTGAATTACAAGTTTTCTAGATGTGTTGTAAGTTTTCTGTTCATATCCTGACATTTTGGATAACTCATCGCCAACAAAATGATGAACTAACAACAGAGTACATAGTACTAGTTCTCTGTAATATGCTATCAATTATCTAATAAAGAGAGATATAGGTATATTGATAATCCAACCCCTTAAAACATAATTCAAAGGTATTGAAGTTTTAAAGTGATCAGATTTTGACTAAAGTTGATTTACGCTACAGTTGATCTACATATGCTTATGATTTCATAGAAGAGCAGAAAGTGAGGTAGCACCATAGGTAATGATTCAGAACAGGAACTGGTTCTAGCCTACACAAACCATGATTTCAGCTTTGTCACTAACTTGCTATATGACCTTGACCAAGTTACATAACATTGCTTCATTTTAAAAATAAAGATAATAATGGCATCAATGCTGAGGTTGATTGAAGATAGTATGTGCATTTATATATATATATATATATAATCAATCCATTTATATATATAGTATGTGTATATATACACAAAAGATAGTATATATATACACACAAGATAGTATATATCAATATTATATAGTATATATATATATCAAAAATACATATTTATACACACAAGATAGTATCTGTGTGTGTCTGTATGTTTGTGTGTGTGAGCGCGCGCATGTATAGTTAAAATCCATTTTCCAAAATCTTTGGGCTTTAAGTGCTCTAAAATTTGTTTTATAGAACAGGGCGCACACATGATTTGTTACCAAACACCCTCATTGTACCCTGGGTTAGCACCCCATAATCTCACATATTTCTGCAGCAAATGTATTTGTACATTTATCTCAGTAGGAACTAAGTAAGATAAAGACTACAAATAGCCCAATGTCAGTGCAGGTCAGGCTTTACTAGCAAAGCACATTTGACAAGCAAACATTGAAAAAAAGACACTGGGTTTCAGATCTTTCTACATATATTTCAGAGCAGTCATTAAAGAATTATGATCTTATTATTAGAATTCCTTATACAGTACCTGGGACAAAGTAAGCATCTATTATCAACATAATTGCAAATTTTTGAACATAATGTGTTTTTAAAGCTGAGTTGGTAATTTCCAGAGCCATATGGGTAGGGCATTGTGCAAAACTGAAAGGAACACCTCTATACACATTGTTCCACCCTTACTACCTGCAAAACCAAGAAAGGAATTGAATATAGAATAACCCATTTAACCTTGTTGAGTACTATCTGAGAATACCGAATACTAAATTTAGCTCATTTGGGCCAGGGCAGTGCAGGTAATAAAACCTGAACAGCATCCAGAGTTAATTCTCTATATCACAATTGTGGTAAAATGGATATATATAAAGGTGATACCTTAAAATTACTTTAAAGCATCAAATTGCAAAGTTCAATGATACAGCAATATGAACTTAGGATTAGAGGATATTTATTTTATCTGTTATTATTTGAATATGGCAATGTGATAAGACTTTTACAAAAATATCTTTATACTTTTTAAGATTCTTAAAAGACACAAATTTCCCTTATAGTCAATACAATAAGTAAATTCTTAGAATTGTTTTCCAAAAACATTTTCCTTGGAAAAACTTTTGGCTATAACTAATATTACTTCTTATTACATAACCCAAAAAATCTGGGTTTATCCTCATTTTCTTAAAATGTGAATTTTAAAGTTACAAAAGACAATCTTTTATAATCTTCAAAAGAAAACACTGTCTTCATTGTTACTGATGACTCTAAATTATGTTAAAAATGAAATATTATTTTAAAATCTTTATTCAAATCAGATCCATGCTTATAATTTACATTATCTTTCACTGAGAATTAAAATATTAATCTATTGTTTGAATCATACTCTTAGCCCTTTATAAAATACAAAATTTAAGTTGTACAGTTTTAAATAGGGGAAATTAGGTTAACTTTTTAAAAATGAAAAAATTTGATATACTGGAACATAAATGTATACCTACTAAGCAAACAGTTATTTAAAAGGATCAAATATCACTTTTTCTTTTTTCTTGTGGCTATTTTCTAAATACTATTTATTTCATACTTTTAGTAAGTATTTGAGCAAAACATTCAATTAATCAAACATGAACTGAATGATCATGAGAAAAATAATTTCCTGAACATTCTTTTTACTTTTTTATTTTCTTGAAATTGGCAGGAATCGTTGTATCTGTTTTCTTTCAAGAATGGAAAACATTAAACTGCAAACTATTTTCTTATCTATTAAAAGATAATTTTTTTTTCTGGAATATGGATAGAAAATTTTCAATGACAAACAGCAAAATACAACAGATATTCAGTAGGTATTCTGCCACCTTGTGGATTTTCTCAAAAACTAATTTAGCATATTTACTTAACAAGAAATCACAAATGTACTGAGAATAAGTGTGTAATAATCAAATTAAGATCATGTGAAAATCAGTTATTAATTTGTGAATAAAGGACAATATATGGTGCAATACAAAGACTTGTATAGCTGCTTACCATTTTTAAAATAAATTGAAAACACTTAAACATTTAAACTTGAACTGATTTTATTTACTGCTAATAAGGATTAAGAAAAGAGAATGTTCAAAAAAAAAAAAAAGAGAATGTTCAATACTATAAAACTGAAAGTATAGGAGTTTTATTCAATCTTTTTCCACAACTGAAAGGGTTCTTTTCCTCATTGATGAATATACTGAAAGAACAATTTTATTATTTCTAAATTTCTATTTTCAAATGACTGACAGAATTTTGCAACTTAAGTTTCCTATATTTCTAATTCTATACATTTCTTATTGCTATTAGTCTTGTCATTCTGTTAGCCCCTGAATATTAAAAAGACAAAAAGCTATTACACTGCATTTTGCCACTATGATGTAGAAAATTAATTTTATTCATTTGGCTCATTTTGGAAGAATATTTATTAAGCTACAAATCAGAGATCTGATGACAGAAATACTATCTAAAAAAAAAAAAAAAAAAAAAAAAAAAAATGAGGTCACTTGAATAGCCCTGAAAAGCATTCCACGTTTTTCAGCATGGCTTACATGAGGCTATGCTCTTAAATTTTAATGTTTAAAATTAAAAAAAAAAAAATTAGACTTTTTATTTGCAAGTAAGGGCAACTTAATGACATTCAGAATTAAATGTATCAAAATATTTCACATGTCTAAAACAGCCTGGTTAACTTTTGAACAAAATAATATTTGGAAAACGGAATAGACACTTTTAAAGCTATTTCATACTATATTTATGTATAATGGTTCAAGGAAAAATTGACATTATACGGAATTACAAAAAAAGACAAACTTAAATTAACTCCTATAATTTCTCCATTTTGTTATGGATATTTTGTAATATCAAACATTCATTTTTTAATGTGCCCAAAATAAGACTTTAAAAAATGCTGACAATTTTAAAGAGAAAACTATGTTAATAATTTTATTACTTTTAATTGATTTTATAGAGTAGTAAAAAGTCAGCAAAATGTTACTGACAGTATCACAAAATCATTGTAAATAAATTTTTTCCACTACCCAATTCTGCCTGATAACTTCTAATAGCTACAGCTTTCTCTATGTAAATAACAAATTGGGCTCCATTGTGGAACCTGGGTGAAATAAATTTTTAGACCACAAAAATTTTCAAGTTCAAATTACTCATCCTTTAAATTTTAGACAGTGTTTCAGCATGACTTCTATTTAAAAAAAAAATTTAGTTTAAAATTTATCACAGGTTTAATAAGTTTTTTTACTTGAACATTTAACATTCATTTTCATGAGCAGTAACTAGATATTATGAAGACTTATGTGTGAAAGATTTCAAAGTTTTAATATGTTAATATCACTTGTTAAAGGTTTTCAATATATACAAACACATATAAATTATAGATACAATTAGTTATTTATCTACAATACATATATGAACACCATTCTCCACCCCTAACTATATTGACAACAGGATAAAGTAATAAATCTCTGTGCTATTAAAGACAAAAAACAAAAACAAATGCTTTAAAAAATAAATCTTTAAAGAATAGTTTCTAAAAATAAAATTGAAATATTGCACAAAATAATTTAACTGCAAATATTACTATACACTATAAAATTTTTTTCTTCAATTGTTGTTCTCTACAGTAAATTCTACTTTCTAATTCTATAAAAGAATTTATTGGAAGTCTACATGTAGATAGTAAATGTTTACATTCAGATTGATGGGAATGTAATTTCCAGAAGCTTAACTGAGCCTTTGTCTCAAAAGTTCATCTATTTGCGTCTTATACATATTCTTTACATCTTCAAGATCTAATCGAAGTTCTTCTGCCTCTTCTGCTTTTTCACCATACATCTGCAGAATAGTGTTGTATCTTTGATCCAAATCCTACAAAATATATGTTTGTAATTTTTTAAATAATTGTACAGAACATATTATTATATTGCCATAAATGAGTCACTGGGAAACACATTATAATTTAAAATAAGGTATGTAGTCATAAAAATTAAACTCAACACTCCTATTAGGATAAATAGCTAGTAAAGAAATTTCAAAAGAAAGAGAGAACACTGGGCCAGATGACTATCAATCTGACCATATCAACCCACTAAATCAACAATTATCCCCATTAATAGCTTAATGTATCTGCTGTCCTTCCATTATTTTAAGCACATTTAATGAAATTTTTGTCTCTGGTTCATTATGATTTACCTACACTTACCACGAACATATAGTTGCATTTATGTCTTAACAATGACTCACACACAGCATCATATATGCAATCATGAAGATGCATACAACATCCATGAACAAAATATTAGGTTGTTGGAAAAAGTAATGACATATTTTTTTCTGTTTTTCGAGAAAAATGCATCATGACTTTTCTGACAACCCAATATTACTAAGATCATGCAAACTGCAATGCTATAAATGAGCCCCCCAAAAAATTTATTTTTCTATATTAGGAATAAACATGATTGTGAAAAATAATCTGAATGTGTAATATGATAAGCAAGATAAAAGATTCATCTTTAAAGTTCTTTACTCAAATATTAACTCTTTAATTTTCAGAGAAATCCTTAAGATATACTTAGGCATTTTATATAAACTAAAAGTATGAGATTTTTTTTTTTTATTTTTTTTTTTTTTATTTTTTTTTTTTTTAAAGAGGCACGTATTTTATTCATTCATTTATTTGTTTGTTTGTTTTGTTTATACATGCACTGGGTACAGTCAGAAGCGCGGGAGGGTGAGAGGATTCACCAGAGCCAGAGCGGGGAGCAGAACAGGCAGAGTGAGGAAATGCACTGCTGAGGGGAGCAGTGGACGGCAGGAGAGGTCTGCGCGCCATGTGGGACCCTCCTCCGGTGGCCAGGGAGCAGCCGGGGATCGAACCGGCGCAGCAGAGGCTGCGGGCAGCTTCGCAACCCAGCGCTCAACCGCTGCGCCACCGGGGAGGCCCTAAAAGTATGAGATTGACTATAACAGGATTAAAATATCTTAGACTCATCCTTAACTGAAGAATACTTACTCTTAGCTGAGTTCGAAGTTTAGGTATCTCTTTCACCTTCTCTTCAAGTTCATCATTTTGATTTGTTAATTTAACAAGTTCTTCAGCCATTATTGAGCGAGTTTTTTCTAGATTGCTGATTTCTAGCTGAGAAACATTACCAAAAAGTAATTTAAATCAAAACATGCCTTGCTTAATACTCTCACTAATATAAAAATTTAATTTTTGAGGAAATTTTTAAGGAATTATTATTTTGAAGAAATTATTTTTAAAGAAATAGATACATCAATATATTACCATGAGCTAACTCTGTCTTAAGTAAAAGAAAATAACAGCAAAAAAAAAATCCAAAAAACAAAATAGGTCTCAAATTTCCTCAGAGGCATTCTATTTATAGGAGTTACTTATAAAAAAGATAAAGAAATAAAGAAAATCCAGTCATCTGTTTGAAATATACAGCCCTATATTTTTCCCTAAATTAAGGAAATAACACACATTTCAGTTATTCTGAATTACTACAAAAACCCAGAGAAAGAAAAACACTTTTATTTTTTTTTAAGATTTATTTATTTATACAAGCACTGGGGTACCGGGTGAGAGAATTCACCAGAGACAGAGCAGGGAGGGAGCAGAACAGGCAGGAGGACTGAAGTACTCTGCTGAGGGGAGCAGCAGATGAGGCAGGAGAGGTCTGCCATGCCATGTGGGAATCAAATCAGCGATGCAGAGGCTGTGGACAGCTTCACAGCGCTGCAGCTTCACAGCGCTGAACCCACTGTGCCACTGGTGAGACCTCTAAAAACACTTTAATGTAGTCCCAACTGTGTAGATTGCATTGGGAAATGTTACAGTTCTAACTGCTCTCATCACCTTAACTCATCCTCTCAAGGGAAGAAGCAGCAACTGACTTAAGTGCTAATTCTAAGAGAAGTAAAATGAGCATGCTCAGCTCAGTAACTTTTCTTTTTTTCAATTTGGAAAAACCTGCCAGCAAGGAGCTCGCTGGTCCTGGATGCCTACCATTCTTGCCTGGGCAGGCTACACTCACTTGGAAGCCAACTACAGGCCAGCATTTTCTGAGAGAGTAGGTAAATCTCCCTACTTCTGGCAGTTAACAGATTCATTTGGCTCTCATCCGAGGCTAATTTCCCCAACTACCCTTGACTGTTAATATATATAATATATTTTTGGGCTTCACATGTCACTATTTCATTTTATTTCTCTATTTGCTCAGAATTCAGGAGGAAATGAGGAATTCTATTTACTGGGCATCAAATTTTCACTTATTGGGCCTCCTTCGTGGCGCAAAGGGTTAAGACACAACCTATGAAGCTATTCACAGCACTGAAGCAGGGGTTCCATCCCCAGCCAGGGAGCAACCCACATGGCACAGCAGAGTTCTCCTGGCTCACCCACTGCTCCCCTCAGCAGTGTATTTCAGTCAATCTGCCTGTTCTGTTTCCCACTCTGTCTCTGGTGAATCCTTTCATCCCCACACCTCTGGCCTGTACCCCAGTTCTTGTATGTATAAATAAATTAATCTTTAAAGAAAATTTCATTTATTGCCATAGAACACTTAATTTTTTCAATACCTGTAAATGAGTAATTTCTCCTTCCTTTAGCTTTAGCTGAGACTGCAGATTTTCAATAATGCTTGATCCTGCTCCCATCCTTACAGCTTCATAAAGATTGCTGCCATTTGCTGATAGAGACATTGATCCAAATGAGTGATCATGAGGTTCATCCTATGTGAATAAAGCACATACAGTTATTATAGATTGTGTTCTATTTTAAGATTCTGTCAATTATTCCTTTAAAATATCTGTGACTTCCTCAGAAGCAGAAAAGTCTTCTCTATTTTCTTATTGCAATTATCTTTAACAAATATTTAATGAACTGGCTATAAAATGGAAGGTCATAGTGACAGTCAAACTGTTATCTGCATATTCCCCTTATCATTATTCAGTTTAGGAATTAAGCACATGTAAGAAATAAAATATTACCTGAGACAGGAAAGATGTTTGTAGCCCTGCCATGTCAACTCCACTTATTGAACTTGAGCGAGACATTGTGGGAGTGCTAGAAACAGAAAATGGCTTCCGATCCTTAGGAGGAAAAAATTCATAATACAGATGTCATTTCTGAAGTCTTATCAAAGGCACAATATTTGCTAATTTAAACACACAGATGTTGTCAAATTATCTGAGGACCCATTTATATTAAAATAACAATCTGGCTTATTTTTAATGGCATAAGAATGTTTTGTTTCACAACTATGTGAACTGCTTCATGTTATATAATATTCCACCAATTTAGCTTAGTTCCTTAGAGTAAGATTACATATGAGTTTTACAAAATATATAGTTTATATAGTTTCTGAAAATCCATTTAATTTTCATATATTTTTTAAAATTCCAAATAAATTCAAAAGGTAATTTAATTTACAAATAAGTGGTTTTAATATGTAATGCTAACTACCAAGTATAATCCAATTATTTAAATACAGAAAACTCACTTTAGAAAACTTACTTTCATTAATCGGGAAAAAAAAAGTGAACCAGATTTACTTCAAGGTGCATATTAGTCAATGAGGTGCGCGAGTTTTGCGAAAGACAATAAAATTCATCTAAAAAATGACAAACACTAGAAATCACAATCTCTTTGGGTAAGGCAGATTATTCTAGATCCACTCTGAGCAGGATGCTGTTAGAATTCATCATTCTATTGATATTAGACATCAGTAATGGTCTTTATAAAGCTGAGCTAAAATTACAAACCAATTAATGATTAATACAGTAGTTACTAAGTGCTTATACCAAAACCAAAACATTAAAAAAAAAAAAAAACTTAGAAAGTTCATTACCTTTTCTTTTATTGCTTCTTGAGTGAAAACGGCCTTCTTCCTTTCTTGTTCAACTTTCATTTTCTCCATTTCTAGCTGACTATTCAACATTATCTAATAGAAAGAGAGGTAGCTTTAGAAAACTTCCGTAACACCAGTGTACACTATCATAATAAGCCAATCTCAAAGTAAGGTGTATACTCCTCCTTGTTTTACTACTAAAGATCACAACCCAAAAGTAGCAACAAAACCCATTTTGTTTGTCATCTCTTTGTTCACGACCATCCCCAATCATTCCCGAATGGAAGCCCTACAAGAGAGTGAACACTAAGAGAAATACCTTTTCTTTCCTTGTCTCCTCAAGTGTTCTTACATATTCACCTTTTAGGGTTTCTAATTCAACCTGGTACCTATTAAGCCAGAAGGGATTACACAAATCAAAAAAGACAACAGTACACTATTAAAAATTCACTACTCTATTAACTCCAGTTACATATTTAGTGGTCATTTTTTACTACCAGCTTGATATCAGTGATTTTTCCACAGTATTTTCCAGATGTCTTGAGTTTTACTCATAAATTAACTACAAGTGAAGAAAGCTCTACTTTTGTGCATTTTATTTATTGGTGCTCTGAGTTAAGATTTCATTTTGAATTCAAAAATTCAAAAATAATTTTGAATACAATCATCCTATAATATATTCATACTCTACAAAGCCTTGTTAGGGAAGTCTATAAAAATGTCTGCAAAAGTTGATATATTTTACTTTACAAATCATTTTTACTTGACTACTTTTTTCAAAAGTAAAATTTTCAAGAAAGAACTCAGACACATAAATCACAACCTTAATATAATTTCAGATAGAGGGATTTTATAGCCTGTGATTTCCAAAGAATCCAAACTATTATTTAGAAAGATCAGAACACTGCTAAAACCCATGTAATACAAAAATAACTTCAATGTGTGGTCTTTAAGCTACTCTGTGATTACAGATTCTTGTAAAAAGCTAACTAAAGCTGGAAAATACAAATGTATACATAGTATGTCACACAATTTCAAGAGCCTATGTGAGGTTCAATGTATTCCAGTTATAATCTTGCTATAGCTTCTACTGCTAATGACTCTGACTTTAAACACTAAAAGCAATTACTTTCAGTTTTCAGTGCTATGAAGCTAAAAGCCAACATATTTTAAAATGTCATGAGACTGCCAAAAATAATATTCAAGAAACATACTCACCTATTATTTTCATCCTCCAGTTTTCTAAGCCTATTTTTCTCTGATTCTAATTGAGCCTGAAATCTACTGTTTTCCTGTCTTAAAAGAGAATTCTGTGACTCCATGGAAGACATCTGAATTTTGTTGGCAAGGAGTTCTTCTGTAGCTGCACGTTCTCTTTCAACTGCTGCTGCCAACAAGGTCTGGGATTCACCTGTTTGTACAATTAAAAAAGGAAAATTACAAGATACCAAATGTATTCTGACAAAAAAAATTTAATATCAAATTTTCTTGAGTTGCCATTTGTTTATAAAACTACATAATTTGGGGAATACTTCACACCTCAACCCTAGATCTAAAGTTATTTTTGTTGTTTTCCCGTTTGTTTTTTTTATCTGTATTTCATAAATGAGTAAAAGCATGTGGCAATTGTATTTTGCTTTCTGATTTACTTCACTAAGCATTGCCATCTCAAAATTCATTTATATTTGTCCCAAAAAAGGCACTATGTCATGTTTATAATACTGAGTAGTATTCCACTGAATCCATGTACCATAATTTCTTTATCCCTTTCTCCATTGTTGGGCATTTAGGCTGATTGCAAACCTTGCTATTATAAGTAATGCTGCTGTGAACATAGAGGTATATAAATTCTTTTGTATTTGTGTTTTCATATTCTTCAGATAAAAGTAGCAACACTTAAAACAGATGACTATTTATTGCCTAATGCAGGACTGCCTACAGAGACAGAAGAATCAATCTTAATTTATACCTGCTTTATTATTTCTCCCCCAAAGTATTTTAATTTGAAATTGGAGGCATGAATTAAGAGTAGTGGGTCAATAAATGGTGCTGGAGCACTTGGGCCTCCACAGACAAAACAGAAATCAAACATGAACCCCAAGTTAAACTTCACATCATACATGAAAATTAATTCAGAATGGATCATAAATTTAAGAGCAAAACAAAACTATATAGCATTTAGGAAAAAACACTGGAGAATATTCAGGATCTAGGGATAAGCAGAATAGTTAGGATTGACACTAAAAGCATGAGCCATAAAAAGAAAAATCAGTAAACTGAATTTATTCAAAACTTTAAATTTTCTATATGATAGAATAAAACACAAGCTATAGACTTGTGGAAATAAATGCAAACCACATACCTAAGATTATTGTCTAGAATATAGAAAGAACTTTCAAAATTCAACAGTAAAAATACAAACAACCCAATAGAAAAGCAACAAAAGACATTAATAGTTATTTCACCAAAGAAGATGTACAAATAGGATGTAAGTACATGAAATGATGTTTATGCAACATTGTTAATCATCGGGAAATGCAGATTAAACCCATAATGAAATATCACTATGCACTTGTCTGAATGACTAAAAAAAACCAACAAAACAAACAGACAACATCAAATGCTGGAAAAATTAGGTTGTTTTCATACATAGAGCCACTGTGGAAAAGCAGTTTACATTTTAAGAAACTGAATATGTAACTATCCAATAGCAAATTGCAAAGTTGGGCATTTATTCAAAGTAATGAAAACTATGTCCTCACTAAGACCTGTACATGAATGTTCATAGCTTGATGCATACAGCCAAAATCTAGAATTAGTCTAGACACACTTCATCAGGTAGATGGTGGTACCCTGTGGAACATACATACATGAGAAACCACTGACCAATAATAGCAAGACTATATCATTGATACATGTAATAACTTCCAGGGAATTATGCTGAACAACAGCAAAAATGTTGATCTCAAAATGTCACATACTATACAATCCTATTTATATGACATTTTAAAATGCCAAAACATTAGAAACAGGACATATTAGGGGTTGTCAAAGATCTGGAACAGAGGGGGAAGTCCGAGAGAGTGTTAAGTGTGGTTTTAAAAGGGCAAGAGGAGGGGCCTCCCCAGTGGCGCAGCGGTTGAGCGCTGGCTTGCGAAGCTGCCCGCAGCCACCGGAGGAGGGTCCCACATGGCGCGCAGACCTCTCCTGCTGTCCACTGCTCCCCTCAGCAGTGTATTTCCTCACTCTGCCTGTTCTGCTCCCCGCTCTGGCTCTGGTGAATCCTCTCACCCTCCCGCGCTTCTGACTGTACCCAGTGCATGTATAAACAAAACAAACAAACAAACAAATAAATTAAAAAAATGCCTCTAAAAAAAAAAAAAAGGGCAAGAGGAGGAATCTTTGTGGTGCTGGAACTTTTCATTATCTTGACTGTTGTGATAGATACAAGAAGCTTGACAAAAGATAAAGTTGCACAGAACATAATACATACAGCAAAGAAGTAGCAGTAATACTCGGGAAATCTGAATAGAATCAATAGATTATATCACTATAATAGATTATAACATTGCAAAATGTTAACATTTGGGGACATTGGCAAAGTGTGCTAGAGCTCTCTCTGCATCATTTCTTGTAACAATACAAAATTTTAATTTTTAATAAAAAGTAATGAATAAGATTCTAAGATATAAGCAAGGCAAGAAATCTCATATTTGTTGTCCCACTGAAGACCTAATAATACCTCTATTTTGCATTTTATATTCTGTTTGATACTGCATCTATGCTCCTATGAATAGCATCATATAGTATGTTTGTCCTGTGGCTTTGCCTATATTCCAGCATAATACTACATGTCCTGGAGGAGATGTAGACTCCATTTCAAAAAACCTATCACTATACCATGACGTCTCTCTAATTCTATTTAGCTTTAGGCAAAGAAGGGACACACAAATTTGCTGGCTTCTAGGACATCAGTATATACATACATATACTACCTGTCTGTGCTGTAATAAGCGTCTTAGAAGAATATTTTTTTATTAACAGCACAGAAGGGCAATCTAAGATATTTCTATAAAGAGGCAGAATATGAATATGAATTCTTAAGACTCTGTGGCATCTGTCTACTAGGTTCTGATCTTGATCTTCTTGAGACCTATCCTTGCTCCTGGAGTTCTGTCACTGACTAGAACAATATCTGTCTACCACCTACATTATCACAAGCAAGAAAAAGGTCAGATTTAGCAGTACATTAGTCTGTTAATATGGATGAATGACATGGACATATTTCAAACTGTGTCTGATACACTGTGTAAGGGAAAACAAATGGTTTGAAAGAGTGGATTTGATAATAGAAAACAAATGTAAAAGAGAAGAGCTAAAAATCTACAAGTTGGACATAAAATATAACCACCAGATCAAGTGAATTTCAATTTCATACCCTTATTCTAATTCCACAAACAAGATGGAAGGGCTTTTACAAAGAACATAAGAACTAAAGTAATTACCAAGCCTATCAGAAAGATTCTTCTCTAACTTCTCCCATGATGACGTCTGCGACCCTAGAGTTGCTTGCAAGTTTTCTATCTGTCGAAGCAATGGTCTTGTTGTTGTTGAAACATTTTGACTCAGTTCTTGGTTTCGATTCTCTGCTTCCTGGAGTCTCTGAATCAAGAATTTCTTAAGTCACTACAACTGACAGCAATAAAAACACTGAAACACTAACAAATTTTGAGATTTCTGGAAAAAATTATTTCTCCATTATAGAATTAAAAAAAAATATTTTCTAATTATTCAATCCTTAAATTGTATAATCAAATATCTAAATAAATGCTTCTAATCAATGCATTTCTAAGATTAAGATAGTCTTTGATTGCCTTCGGGTAAAAAAGAGTCTCATCTAAACCTCCCAGAAGTTGCCTACTCACACAAATATTTCTAAATATTTATAAAAACTGAAAGATCAATCTTCGTTACTTTTCTCTCCCTTTCCATGCATGTTCATTGATTCAAAATTAATAGAGTAGTGGCACAAAAACTGGACACTGATTATTTGTTCCACAGTAATCAAACACTGACAATAATTAATAAATCAGCTATTACAAATGAAAAAAACAATACTGAATGCACAATAAGTCCAGAATAATAAAATTGTTTTCTGTAAAACAAAATGAGGGGTTTTCATGTATTTTTAAATTCCTACTCTGATTTTATTTACATAAGCCACAAAAACAGCAAATGAAAAGTACGATAGAATCCTTCCAACCCCATGAACATTACCCCACTGAATCACCTTTTATTTTTAGGAAAACACATTTTGAATATGTGTTTAGGAAAACTGACAATACCTGCTGGAGTTCACTGATCTCATGGCGTAAATAATCCTCTTTCCTAGCAGCTGTTTGCTCTGCACGCTGCAGTGCCAATCTAAGGTCACCCACCTGCATGAGGAAAACCAACATACTTACGATCACCAATGATATCAAAACATTATCATTTTTATATAAAACATTTTTGTAGCAATTTTTCATAATATTTATTTCTTTTCCTTAAAGTGACATAAATCTTTATTGAATGGGTATGTTACCACACATTTTTAAGATACTAAAGTCCTTCCATTTTCTTTCAGGTTATTTACATATATTTATATATATGATGGCAATTTTGCATATCTTACTTTACTTGGAGGTATTTTGGTATACTGGAGCAACCTAGAAATATAAAGTCACAAGTCTCGTTTCTTTCTGCTATCTGTATTTGTAAAGATTCTCTTTTCCTTAAATTGAAGTAACACTAATTTACAATGCTGTATATGCTTCAGAAGTATAGGTTCACAGTTCTTCATATGTATATTACCACATGACACCCACCATGAAGGAACCCATAGTCCTGCATCAATGTGCACTGGGCCCCCTCTACACTCTGCTCTCCAGCCTTCCCTCCCACTCTGGTAAGCTGGATTCTATCATCAGGATTTTTTTTTTATTCATTTGAATCTGTCTGACCCTTTGTTTTGTTTCTCTATATTCCACAAGTGAAACCATCTGGGACACCTTTCTTTTGACTTATTTTGTTTAGCATTATCCCCTCCTGTTCCATTCTTCTTGCTAACTATAGATTTTGTGTTATGTTGATGTATAATACTCTTTATTAATGAGCGTTGACATATAATTATCTCATATTCCATCCATCAAGCAATTCCAAACTTTCCAATTCATACCTACTGAAGAAAGCACTATGTTAGGCAAAAACAACAACAAATAAACATGCACAAAGCACAGTCATTGCCATACAATATAGGAGAAGAGATGGTGCATCTATAAACGTTGGCTACATAGGGCTGAAAATGATAGGAGTTATTATGAGCTGTTTAAAACAAGATGCTATTCTCATATATAGCAACACATTTTGTAAACTGCTATAGAGACTTTCTGGAAAACATTAGGGAAATATGATTAAAAAATCATCGAATTTTTTGTATCCTTTTGCTCCTTGGTCACTCTAGTCCTGGGAATTTCCTCTATGGAAGCAGGTCTGTAAATATGCAATGTTCCTATACTGTTAGCTAGACTAGAAAAAACAACAGTAAATATTCTGAATAACCATAGTTGTAATTTATTTTTGCAAATGTTGGTAAAAAATGAATATATCTATTAAAAATTATGATGAATGTAAAAAGTGTAAAAATCTATTATTTAACTGTAAATGAAAAAACTATAAAAGAATATGTATATCAATTAAAAGAATATATACATGGAGATAAGAAGGTACTACACAAATTAATAGTACTGGTAAAAGGAGATGATTTTATGAATTGCGGCTTTATATAGTTCTCTACCACCCATTGTCCCAACCTTTGTTTATTATTGTTCTAATGTACTTTTAATTTAAAATATAAATATTTTGTCTATCCCAGTGATAGAAAGGTAGAATCAAAAAGGGTAAATGGGCCATGGCATTATTTTATAATATTGGATACAATCCAAACATCTATCATTAAGAACTGAGTGATTTAACAATGTCACACAATGACAAAATATAAAACTATGAAGAGGAATTTTTAAAAAGGTCTATGTTTATTATGGAGCAATGATCAGGATATTTTCTTAAGTAAGTAAAGCAACTTGTAAAATAGTGTAAAGAGTAAAATATTAATATGTAGTAAAATAGAGTAAACTATTTTATCTAATAAGGATAAGGAATGAAATACAAATAAATATGTGTAAAAGTATGCAAATAAATATATCACTATGCTTATTTTCTTGAATTTACAAGCAGAAACACTGAAAAAAAAAAAGAACACTAATAAAATGGTTATCCATAGGCAAAAAAAAGGAAATGGGAGGAGTAAATTGGAAGTAAATGTTGTCTTTATGTTTGTTATATAATTTTCACTTGGGAATCACATAAATTATTTACATACCCACGTAACATCAAATCAAAAGTACACTGCAACCAATGAGGACAGAACAATCTTTTCAACAAATGGTGCTGACACAATTAGATATTCACAGGCAAATGACTTAAATGTGAAGGAAACAGGCAAAAATCTGTGTGACTTGAATTAGGCAATGGTTTCTTAAATATGACACCCAAAGCATGACCAACTAAAGAAAAAAAGGGTAAGTTATGCTTCATCAAAATTAAAAGAACTTTTAAACATCAAATACACTGTCAATTACGTGAAAGGCAGTCTACAGAATAAGAGAAAATATTTGCAAATTTTATGTCTGATAAAAGTCTAGTATTCACAATATATAAAGAATGCCTATAAATCAACAATAAAAAGATAACCCAATTTAAAAATATGGAGAAAGGATTTGTATAAATTTTTCAAAAGATGATAAATTGCCAAAAAAAATCACTTGCTATAAAGGAAACATAAGTTAACAATACAATCAGATACTAAAAGTGCTATAATAAAACAAATCAGCAAAAATAAATATTGGCAAGAACGCAAAGAAATTAGAACTCTCATAGATTGTTGATGGGAATGTGAAATAGTCGAGCTGTAAAACAGTTGGACGTGTCCTCAAAAATTAAATATAGGGTTGCCACATGACTCAAAGGCATATATTTAAGAGAATTTAAAATACATGTTCACACAAAAACTTCTTAATGAATGTTTATAGCACATTATTCATAATAACAAAAAAGTAACAGTTATCCAAATATTCATCAACTGATGATTTAATAAAGCAAAGTATGACAAATTTTGGTTTTCCTCCTTCATGTGAAGGCTGTACACACTCCCACAAAGGTTACAAATAAGCTTAGGAGTTCAATGGATTCTTCTGAAATTATTTGCAGTATTTAGTATTTATCTGTATATGTGCATTTCTTTGGAAAAATGTTCTTAGCTTTCATAATAGTCTCAAATATGCCTGAAATTCACAAAAAATTAAGCAATTCTAGTATCATATAAGCATGATTTTAAGAACAGTTTAAAAAATGATTAAATTTATTTCCTTATAAAGGAAATAAAACACATGTACTACATTAGGTTTGATTCAACTAGCTTATGGATTCTTTTATTTGCAGAAACACAAAGATTTCAAAGATGAATTTAATTCATCACCCATAGCTTACCTGAATTGCTAATGTTTCTTGCTGCTGACGGGCTTCTTCTTGGGCCTTCTCTAATGCTGCAGAGAGTTCTTCTTTAGCTTTCATTTCACGACTTAGAGCAGCTTCCTGGACTTCACTATCCTTTGCAGCATTGGCTTTGTGGAGATCAGTAAGTTCTCTTAAAAAATTGGATTGACAATTTTTATTTAAAATAAAATACTTAATTACATGTCCAAGTTAATAAAGTTTCCATATAGACTTCCACGAGATCTACAGAATGAGAGGACACTATGACTAGGACTCTCTCTGTCGAACTTGCTTTGACCAGTCATATATAAGCTTGTAAAAGTTAGTAACCTAGTAACAGAATAAGTATTTTTTCAACATTCTGCTCTGATAATTGATTTTAAATTGGCTGCATATTTGTTCTCTTCCTTACTTGTATGCACTATCAAGAGCTGCTTGAACACTTCTGTTCTTTTCTTCAAGTTCATCCGTGTCTACTTGAAGTCGGCCAAGATCCTTTTCTTGGCGTTCTACCAGAGAATTTAGTTTTTTAATATTTTCTCTGTGTTGTTTCTCAACCTCTTCTTTGCCATCAAGAACCTATGTTATAAAAACAAACAAAAGTATTTTTCAATAAACTACACTACGGGCAATAATTGTGGTGGGAATCTCAACTGTTCTAATAATGAATAAAAATCTTAACATTCATCTATTAAATTGAAAAATTCTTCTTACATAATTTACCCCATTTAATCATTCCAAATGTTTTAATGACGATGGCTAACTATTCATGCAGGAAGCAACATTATACTTATATGAGGAATTGTCATTATTCACCTGTTTTAAATGCTGCAACTCCTCTTCTTGCTCTTTTACTTTTTTGTGCAGTTTTGCAATAGTGTTTTCACTTTCTTTGTCTTTAGCTCTTAATTTCTTAATGGTGTTAGAATTTTGTAGCTGCTGTTTTGAAAGTTTTTCTCCTGACAATAGCAAAAAAAGTACAAATTCAAAAAATGATTGTGAAAAAATCTGAACAGAATGTTTCATCTAACCAGTGACATAAAACGACAGAATATTTTAAAAATCACAGTAGTTGACCCTCAATGTTACAAATGATTTGGATGAGGATGACCAATGAATGCTAATCTTACTAGGTGGAAGGATGATGAGGAAAAGGATATTTAGATTCACTCCTACATAATATTTACGAGTTACATTGGGCAAAATGTGCTTTTACAATTGACCTATCTGGCACCCACCACCTTAACCATTTAGTCTTGGCATCATCAACTGTGGCACAGTTTGACATGTGATTACTGATCTAGTGTTGTGGCAGGTGCACAATACCACCTATAATTTTTCTTACTAGAAATTTGATCTAAATCTAATCATGAATAAGTTCCTGAACATGGTGTATCCTGTAGGACAATGGCCTGTAATCTATAAAGTCTTCAATGTCACATAAAAGAAAGAATTATCTTAGGACTGGTGGGAGACAAAAAGGACAAAAATGGCCAAATGTAATGTACACACTTACATTGGCTTTTTGGGCAGGATAAATGACCAGATAAACAACTTATTTTTATAGCCCACTAGGGTACATGATTACATATCTGCAGTATTACACTTCTGAATTAATGCTGACTTTCTTTTTTTTTTTTTTAAAGATTTATTTATTTATGTATATAAGAACTGGGGTGCAGGCCAGAGGTACAGGAAGTGAGAAAATTCACCAACAAAGTGGGGAACAGAACAGGCAGATTGACTGAAATACACTGTTGAGGGGAGCAGTGGGTAAGACAGGAGAGGTCTGCTGGGCCACATGGGTCAGCTCCCTGGCTGGGGATCAAACTCATGCTTCAGTAGCTGTGGGTAGCTTCATACTGCTGTGACTTAACCCCTTGTGTCACCAGGGAGACTCCCAATGTTCACTTTCTTAGGTATGATTATGATGTTGTGCTTATAAAGGAAAATGTACTAGCCTTGCGGAGATACAAACTGAAGAATTTAGGAGTGAATTACAGATTCAATGCAATCCTTATGAAAATTCCACTGACATTTTTCACATTTTTCCCCCCACAAAAATCCTAACATTCATATAGAACCACAAAAGATCTCAAATAGCTAAGGCAATCTTGAGCAAAAACAACAAAGCTCAAGGTTTCCATTTCCTAACTTCAAGTCATATTACAAAACTCCAGTCATCTATACAATATGGTATTGGCATAAAAAAAGAGCAATGAAACAAGATAGAGAGCCTAGCAATAAATCCATACATTTACAATCAAATGACATCAAACAAAGATGACAAGAACATACAACAGGGAAGATGGATTATCATTAATAAATGGTATTGGGGAGAGACAAAAAATAAACAAAGACACTAGAGCCCTAAACAAAGACATAGAACTCATGGACTTAACAGACATCTATAGACACTGCACCCAAAAAAATCTGAGTACACATTTTTCTCAAATGTGCATGGATCATTCTCCAGAATCGATCACATACTGGGCCACAAGACAAACATCAACAGATACATGAAAATCAAAATCATTCCAGCTATCCTCTCTGATCATAAAGGCATTAAGCTAGAAATAAATCATAAAAAGAAAACAAGGAACCTTCCCACTTCATGGAGATTGAAATCCACACTACTGGAAGACCACTAGACTACTGAGGAGATCAAAGAAGAAATTAAAAAACACTTTGAGTTGAATGACAAGGAGGACACCACTTTCAGAATGTATGGGATGCAGCAAAAGCAGTAATAAGAGGAAAATACATAGCAATACAGGCTCACATCAACAAATAAGAAAGAACTCAAAGAAACAACCTAACCTCACATCTCAAAGAACTAGAAAAAGAACAACAAAAAAACCCTAAAGCCAGTAGAAGAAAGGAAATAATAAAAATCAAAGCAGAAATAAATGAATTAGAAATTAAAAAAATAATCCAAAAGATCAATGAAACCAGAAGTTGGTTCTTTGAAAAAAATAAACAAAATAGACAAACCTCTAGCAAGGCTCACAAAGAAAAAATGGGAGAAAACACGTATAAATAGGATTATAATTGAAAGAGGAGAAATCACAACAGACTCAGTAGAAATCAAAAGAATAATAAGAGATTACTATGAACACCTATTGGCAAACAAATTTAAGAACCTAGAAGAGATGGGCAAATTCCTAGAATGATATAATCATCCAAAGCGGGATAAAGAAGAAATAGAACAACAGACCAATTGCAAGCAGCGAAATTGAAGCAGTAATCAAAGCACTCCCCAAAAACAAAAGCCCAGGCCCAGATGGCTTCACAAATGAATTCTACCAAACATTCAGCAGTGAATTAGTGCCCATCCTACACAAACTCTTTCAAAAAATTGAAAAAGAAGGAATACTACCAAATACATTCTACGAAGCCAACATTACACTGATAACAAAACCCAACAAAGACAGCACAAAAAAAGAAAATTACAACCAATCTCCCGAATGAACACTGATGCAAAAATCCTCAATAAAATCCTTGCCAACAGAATCCAACAATGCATCCATAAGATAATTCACCACAACCAAGTAGGATTTATTCCAGGGACACAAGGATGGTTCAACATCCAAAAATCAATCAATGTAATCCAACACATGAACAAAAAGAAATATAAAAACCATATGATAATATCCATAGATGCTGAGAAAGCATTCGACAAAGTACAACACCCATTTATGATAAAGGCCCTTGAAATTCTCGGGATACGAGGAACATACCTCAACATCATAAAGGCCATCTATGACAAACCCACAGCCAATATCATTCTCAATGGTGAAAAGCTGAAAGCATTTCCATTAAGATCTGGAACAAGACAAGGATGTCCACTCTCACCACTGCTTTTCAACATAATGCTGGAAGTCCTAGCCAGAGCAGTAAGACAAGAGAAAGACATACAAGGAATCCAAAAAGGCAAGAAAGAAGTCGAACTATCACTATTTGCAGATGATATGATACTATACACACAGAACCCCAAAAACTCCACAGAAAAACTGATTCAACTAATTAATCAGTTTAGTAAAGTGGCAGGATACAAAATCAACACACAAAAATCAGTAGCCTTCCTATACACAAACAATAAATCTGAAGAAGAAGAAATCAAGAAAACCATTCCTTTTATTATTGAAACAAAAAAAAAATCAAATACTTGGGAATAAATCTAACAAAAGAGGTAAAGGACCTATACAAAGAAAACTAGAAAACACTGTTAAAAGAAATAGAAGTAGACACAAAGAAATGGAAAGACATCCCTGCTCATGGATCGGAAGAATTAACATTATCAAAATGGCCATCCTACCAAAAGCAATTTACAGATTCAATGCTATTCCAATTAAAATTTCAATGTCATTCTTCAAAGAAATAGAAAAAAAATAATGATAAAATTCATATGGAGCCACCAAAAACCCCGAATAGCCAAAACCCTCTTGAAAAAAAAATGGGAATGGAGGCATCATTCTCCCAGATTTCAAACTATACTACAAAGCCATAATCATCAAAACTGCATGGTATTGGAACCAGAACAGACACATGGACCAATGGAACCAAATAGAAAACCCAGAAATAAACCCACAGATCTATGGTCAACTAATCTTTGACAAAGGAGCAAAGAATATGCACTGGAGCAAAGAAAGTTTGTTCAATAAATGGTGTGGGGAAAACTGGGTCACTACATGGAAAAGAATGAAGCTTGATTACTACCTCACACCATGCACAAAAACCAACTCAAAATGGATTAAAGAACTAGACATAAGACCTGAAACCATAAAATATATAGAAGGAGATTTAGGCGAAACACTACATGACATGCAGCTCAAAGACATCTTTAGAGACACATCACCCAAAGCAGTGATAGTGAAGGCAAAGATAAACAGCTGGGACTACATGAAATTAAAGAGCTTCTGCACAGCAAAGAGACAATAACCAAAACAAAGAGAAACCTCACCGACTGGGAGAACATTTTTGCACACAACACCAATGATAAAGGACTGATCACAAAAATCTACAAAGAGCTGACGAGACTTAACAAAAACAAAGAAAATAATCCAGTCAAAAAATGGGCAGAAGAGCTGAAAAGAAACTTCTCCAAAGAGGAAATATAAATGGCCAACAGGCATATGAAAAAATGTTCAACATCACTTGCAATCAGGGAAATGCAAATCAAAACTACAATGAGATACCATCTCACACTAGTGAGAATGGCAGATATTAAAAAACTAGCAACAACAAATGTTGGCGAGGTTGTGGAGAGAAAGGAACTCTCCTGCACTGTTGGTGGGAGTGCAAACTGGTCCAACCACTATGGAAAGCTGTGTGGAGATTCCTCAACCTACTAAAGATAGAGCTTCCATATGATCCAACAATTCCACTCCTAGGTATTTACCCAAAGGACACAGAAACATCAACTCCAAAGAGCACCTGCACCCCTATGTTTATAGCAGCACTGTTTACAATAGCTAAGCTTTGGAAACAACCCAAATGCCCAAAAATAGATGACTGGATCAAGAAGATGTGGTACCTATACACAATGGAATATTACTCAGCATTCAAAAAAGATAAACACATGCAATTTGCAGCAACATGGATGGAGCTGGAAGGGATCATGCTCAGCAAAATAAGCCAGAAAGAATAATACCGGATGGGCTCGCTCATAACAGGAATCTAGGAAATCTAAATAAGGGACCAGGAAAAAGAATAACTGTAAGAAAGAAAAAAATCAAAATCAACAAACAACTATGAACCAGAGACACACTTTGGGGGGGGGGGGCGGGGAAAAGAGGGGTTGGGGTCAAAATCAGGGGATTGCAATTGTATGGGGAATATAAAATAAATAAATAAATAAATGAATGAATGAATGAATGAATGAATAAATAAATAAATAAATAAATAAATGGTATTGGGGAAACTGGCTATCCATGTACAGAAAAATGAAGTTGGACCCTATCACAAATAAAAAAATTGGACTCAAAATACATTAAAGACTTAATGTAAAACTCCTAAAAGAAAACATAGGGAAAGAGATTTTTGATACTAGCTTATCAATGATTTTTGGATATGTTCCCAAAAGAATAGGCACCAAAAAAAAAAAAAAAAAAGAGACAAATGGGATTGAACCAAAATTTAAAAAACAAAACTATTGCATAGCAAAGGAAACAATGAACAGAGCGAAGAACCAATTGAATGGAAGATAATATTTGCAAACCATACATATGATAAGGGCTCAATATCCAAAATATATAAGGAACACATACAAATCAATATCAAAATAAATAAGCCAACTAAAATATATACAAAAGTTGTAAATAGACATTTTTCAAAAAAAGATAAGTGGCCAAATGGTCTATGGAAAAGTTGCTAAATAGTGCAAATCCAGGATTTCCCTAGTGGCCTAGGGGTTAAGTCTTAGTGCTATCTTAGCGAAGGCCTGAGTTTGATCCCCAGCCAGGGAGCATAACCCCACAAACTCCTGTCTTGCCTGCTGCTCCCCTTAGCACTGTATTTCAGCAAATCTGCCTGTTCTGTTCCCCACTCTGTCACTTGCGATCCTCTTACCAGCCCCCACCTCTGGCCTATACCCCAGTTCTTATAATAAAAATAAATATTTTTAAAAATCCCTATTCTTTAAAAAAAAAAAATAGTGCTAATCTATAGAGAAACACAAATCAAAACTACAGTATCTTTTCACACCTGTTATGATGGTTACTGTCAAAAACACAAAAGGTAAGTGTTTGCAAGAATGTGAAGAAAAGAGAATCCTTGTCTGCTGTTGGTGGGGATACAAATTGGTGCAGCCACCACAGAAAACAGTATGGAGCGAGTCCTCACAAAATTAAAAACAGAATTACCACATAATCTAGCAATCCCACTTTTACATAATCAAAGGAAATTAAATCAGTATCTCTAAGAGATATGTGCATTCTCACATTCATTCATAATAACCTGGATGCAGTAACATATCTAAGTGTCTCTCAATGGAATGGACAAAGAAAATGTGCTTTGTGTAAATAAGTTAGTCATGTAGCAAGTATTTTTCCTGTTCTTATAATAATTGTCATGGGGTCTTCTCAGTGTCCTAGGGATGTGTCTCAGCACTATCACCACCAAGGCCTAAGTTCGATCCCTGGCCAGGGAGCTAACCCACATATGGCACAGCAGACCTCTCCTATCTCGCCTGCTGCTCCCCTGAGCAGTGTATTTCAGTAGATCTGCCTGTTTTGCTCTCCACTCTGTCTCTGGTGAATCCTTGCAATCTCCCCTCCCCCACACCTCTAGCCTACACCCCAGTTCTTTTATGCATAAATAAATGCATCTTTAAAAAATAATAATAATAATTTTCATAGTCAACTAAATACGTACCTTCTTCCATTAATCCTCGGATCTGCTCATCCTTCTCTTTCAAAAGGTCGGCAGTTTCACTACTATTTAGTCTAGTAGCAAGTTCTTCTTTTATATTTTTGATTTCCTAATTAAAAGAAATTGTGAATACCATAAAGAATTATTTCATTCTAGTCATGTTTTACAATTTTTTCCATATTCAAAGAAATCATCCATAATTTTATTCTTGATGAGAATTTCCACGTCTGTTTAGTTAAACTGAGTTTATTACCTTGGTTAATTAATAGGTAAGTAGCTTTGAAAATGATATACAAAATATGATCAGATATAAACAGGTTTTAATATGAAACTATAAATATGAGAATAAGTTAACTTTCAATACCCTTCTTCAATATTTCTACAATATATTCTACAGGTTAATAATAATACATTATATTTGGAACATTACAAACAGTACTGCTCTCCATTTTTCACTGGAATTCTTTTCCTCATCTAAAACCCAATGTGTTGTGAAACAAAGTCTACTTTAATAACAGAGTCTCAATAGAAATTTGACTTTTCAAACAACCAGAGAGAGTATGATGTGAAAAGTGCTCTATAATTTAATTTGGTTTTAAGCAATGCTCAGAACGAAACAATATCTAAAAACAACTAACATTTATAATTTAAACCCAGAATATAGTTCAAACGTAGGTTGTGCATTACCACATAATCTTCACAATAATCTTATGAGGTAGAAACTTGTATTATTCAACTATGCTAATAAGAAAATGTAAGACTCAGTAAACTTTGAAGGTCAGAGAGCTAATGAGTGGTAAAGTTATAACTTGAACTCAGGTCTATGAATTCCCAATGCTCATGCTCTGAATCATCCATAACCTTGTTGAATACCTTGCAATACATACATATAGACAGACATATATATTTTTTATAAGCAGGTATTTTGATTTTTTACATTATCAAAATGTGCTTTTTTACAGTATCAAAAATCTAAAATTTAAAAGGTATTGAAAATCTACAATTCAAGTGCTACTCTACTATATGGTCTTCTTTTAATATCATTTCTATCCAATACCAAACTAATATTAATATATTCATCAATAATCTCTAAAGAGCTTAATTACCATTATTTTAAACTTCTATTACCTTTTTAGCAGCATCTCTTTCTTTGCAGGCTAGCTGAACTTTCTTTTCTGCTTCTGCAATTCTTTGAGTAAATTCATCTTTCAAGGAAGAAATGCTGCTGCTTTCTTCTTTCACTCTGAACATTTCACTAAATTTAAAATAATATTGAGACTGAGGATACTTATTTGTGTATTCTAAGGAAAATGAAAATGTCACCAATACTTGATTTGGAAAAATAAGAAAAAAGCAAAAGTATTTTTCAGTTTTGAATCTTTTTGTATCATATTTTACCAATCACCTATTTAAAGCAAACCAGTACTCAATATTTTTTTAACTGTGATATTATACTTTTTTAAAGTACATTTTAAATCCTTAATATTAAAAAGAATGAATGGCAACAGAGAAAAAAGGGTTTATTATGGAGCCTTTTTTTACATAGTGATTATCTTCAGTTCCAAAAGTAACATGGTAAAGAAATCTGAGAAAAGAGATCTGTTAGAATTGAAATGCTATTATTCAATTTTTGATAATGATAAATAAGTTAAATTATAAAAATTTTAATTTCAAAAACATTCTTAAATAAAAACAAAGTACATGGACTCTACAAAAGGTGCAAAATTATTCATATTCATAAAATACTTACTCTTTCAGATTATCATAAGCTTCTTCTAGAAGTGCTTTTTCTTTACTAAGAGATAGTAACTGAGCCTCCCTTTTATCTAGTTTCTCATTCAGAAATTCAACAGTCTGGAGAAGGAGAATATACAAATGTCAAACACATAACTTTTTAAAGACCATTTTTACATGCAAGTGATGAAATGCAAAGGAATCTAATCATTATAATAAATGAAAGAACATTATCTCATAATAAGAATTTAAAACAACCTTGGGAACACACTAGCTACAGAACAAGAACTCACACATAGCTGGAAGGAGAGTATAAATTAGCACAATCACAAAGTAGTGGATTATAACTTAGTAAACTGCTTAGGAAAAGAATTAGGGCATGTACAGTCGAAGATCTACATATCCTTTGACATACAAAGTTCCACTTTTTTTTTTTTTTAAGATTTTATTTATTTATACAAGCACTGGGTACAGTCAGAAGTGAGGGAGGGTGAGAAAATTCACCAGAGCAGGTAACAGAACAGGCACACTGATGAAGTACACTGCTGAGGGGAGCAGCAGTCATGGCAGAAGAGGTCTGCGCGCCATGTGGGACCCTCGCCGAAGGCCAGGGATAGAACTGGCACTGCAGAGGCTGCAGGCAGCTAAGCAGCCCAGCACTCAACCGCTGCGCCACCCAAAGTTCTTTTAAGCATACTTGAGAAGAGAAATCTCCCACAAAAGTGTACTGGGTAACATGTACAATAATCTGTAACAGCAAAGATCTAGGTACGTGTGCATTCTCCACAAAAAAAGAGGAGAGATAGCTATAATCAAAAAAGATCACAGAGGTGCTTCAAAGCCTCTGTGTTCTATATCTTAGCTGGGTAGCAGATCTACAAGTCTTCTTCTCCATACTACTCCTTAATCCAAACACATAAGGTGTGCTTTTTATGAGTATGCTACATTACATTTTAGAAATAAAAGTAATTTTAGAAACTCCATTGGGCATGTAATTTAAAAATCTTCAGAGCACAGCAGTATAATATTAAACAAAAATAAATGTTCAGAATATCTACTCCTTAGTTTTTGCTAAAACAGTGATAGTTATATATGAAGGAAGGAATGGTGACTTTGTACTAAAAAAAAAGTCTTACCTAAGTTAGGTCTAGATTAATTTAGAAATTATTTACTTTCTGAAAATAGTTTAAAAAAATCTTGTTGATAATAGGATTGAATTTTAGGAATTCAGACTGCTATTATGGCTATAGCAAGACAACTTATTGATAATGAATAACATTAAACCTAGCTAATAAAATCTGACACTTTTTTTAAACATTAAATAATTCAATCATTGCACTCATAGGACATTTCTTCAAGACATCCTATATCTCACAGAAGTTTTTAAAGATGCCAGATTCAACTCAATTTATGCATCTAAAATTGACAGGTAAAAACAAAACTGTAATTTAAAGAATTTATATCACTTTCCTTTTGTTTTAGGCAGAAGTAATTTCTCATTCACAAGCAATTCCTTAGACATTTCCCTTTCTTCTCATGTAAGATGGCTACCAATAGGCAATGTCAAAAATAACGTAAGAGAAAACTGAGCTAATAAAAATAGAAAAGCATCAATAATTAGACTAAAAATTTTACTTAAGATTTTGCGCCAATAACGAGAACATGCAAGAAAAAATATATTTAAGAAAACCATGTTTCAGCATCTCTATCTGCAAAGGAGTTGTTGTATATGTTAACATAGAAGAGAGTCCTTTGCAAAGTGACAAATTAATGAGCATGGCATAAGAGAATTTTAAAGTGACGAAGACTCAAAACCATAAAATGTTGCCATTTGATTATTACTGAAGTATCAACTTTTCTACCACAACTGCCTTGGAGAAATTTGAAGTAATTAAGTACTAATAATTCAACTTTAAATTCTTAATGCCACATTTAAAAGGCAAAAAGCCTGTCTTTTTATAAGTAAGTACAAATAAGTATGCATCATTGAATATTAAACAAATAATTTTATCTCTGAAAAAGGTCCAAAAATCCTCTTTTATTTTCTAGAGTTACCTTGGAAACATCTTCCTTCTCGGAAAGTACAGCAGGCTGACTCTCAGCAGCTTCATGCTGCTCAACCACTTTGTCTAACACAATATGTCCTTCATTTATTGGTGGAGAAGAAACCAGGATATCAGGCTGCTCACAGTTAACAGGAGTTGCACATCGACCACTTTCTTCCATTTCTGTTTCCTCAGTGGGTATAATTAATGTTTCATTTACTTCTTCAGATTTTCCTTCAACAGATTCAATGATTTTAGTCTTTGGAGTAGAAGGATTAACTATAATAGGTACTGAAGCATATCCTTTGCCTGGCAATTCATCATCTGAATTGATTTCACTTACACTTCGGCTATCTAATGACTGTACACTAAATGAGTCTATTCTTTCAAAAGCATCTGATGAACAGCAACTCTCAGTGAGTTTTTGGAAATCATCTAAACGATTATATTCAGGACAAGCAGATGCTGAGAGAAGTTGAAAAGATGTCTGCATCAAGTGAAGACTTGATTTTGAATCTGTAGTCTCTTGCCTCGAACTTGCTGAGCTCTCACTTATTACACTTTCATGATCTAAAACCTCAATATCACTGGTGGTAGAAGTACCTGATGAGAAGGTACTAACTGGAGGAGAGGGTGTGTTGCTCTGTCTGTCTTCATGTTTTTGTTCCTTGGGTTCCAAAGCCATGTCCTTTGTTTCTACTGTGAGAGACTGAGCAGACATATTAGATACATGTTCTCTGGTGGTTTTCACATCAGTTACACTTTCAGATACTTTCAAACTTACAGCTGACACCTTCAGATCAGATTCTTTATTAACAATTTTTTCATCGTTGCTTTCAGTCTTAGGTGACAGAGTCTCTACTCCCAGAGTTTCTCCAGGCACACATGAAGAGTCTTTGACTTTTGACTCTGTTGTTTCAGTTGTTCTTGACTGCTCAGTGTGCAAGGAGTCCTGTAAGGTGCTATTTACTTCTTCTTCTGGCCGTTGTGATTTGGCTGGTGGTTTTGATACCACTGGACTCTTCTGAATGGTCTGGGCATCCGTTGGGGAGAGAAAGGCACTGAAGAAATTTTCAGATTCATCTACCACAGTTCTCTGAACTGGCTTTGTAATTGCTTTAGGAGAAACTACTGGTTGACTCTGGGGTTCACTGTTTGATTTTAATCCCCATGTTGAAGTGTCCCATCCTCCACTGACAGGGGCACTTATTCCTTTGACAAAAAAATAAAAATAAATAAATATAAATAAATATATATATGAAAAATAACATATATTACATCAATACTTCAAACATATGTCAATATAATTTTTTAGAAGAAAAACATATGCAGTAAAAATCTATTATGTGTACATTAAGCTACACAATTAGTTATCAGAGTAATTTAGCCCTTAAAGAGAAAAACAGGTGGATCTTCCTGAGATGAACTAGGAGCAAAGAAAAAGAATAGACTGGGTCTATTCTTCTGGTCTCTCCGACCAGAAGCAAGTATGAAAGCAATGGTATATACGATATTACAAATTAAAAAAAAAATAGTATATATTATAGAAATCATGCTAAGTCCAAGGTATTATATGATGCATCTCCCAATAACAGGTAGTATCCTCAAAGTCATAAGCAGTCATGGCAAATTGACCCTACCTTCCATTCACTGAGTTCTGTATTACTTTTATTCTTGCAATATTAATAATAAAACATAGCTATGATATACACAGAGGGCCACACTCAAAAACTGAATGTCATTTTCCAAAGATCAAATCAAACTGATAGGAAGAGTAACTTCTACAGACAAATTCATTCTCATTCACTTTATGACAATCTCATTCCCCAAGTTCCATTCTCCAAACCACTCAATGGAAAGTTTTGTTATTTCTCGAAATTCCAAATTATATCAGCAATTAGTACAAGATCATTATGAATTTCCAAAATGTGCATTTTTAAAGAATCATTGCTTTTTTTTTACCAGAGATGGCAGCTTATTCTAGGGTGTTGTTGTTTTTTTTTTTTTTTAAATAAACAATGTTAACTTCTTTCTTTATTTATACAAGAACTGTGGTACAGGTCAGATGCGCAGGAGGGTGAAAGGATTCACCAGAGACAGAGCGGGGAACAGAACAGGCAGCTAACGAAATGCACTGCTGAGGGGAGCAGCAGGCAAGACAGGAGAGGTCTGCTGCGCCATGTGGGACCCTCGCCGGCGGGCAGGAATTGAACCAGTGCTCTGCAGGCTGCAGACAGCTTCATAGCACTGTGTTCAACTGCCTGTGCCACCAGGAGAGGTCCAATTCTAGGGTTTTTTAGAAACACTTAGAAAAAAACAATTATCTTCCTGCTTAAAAAATGTGATTATAACAGTCATAGAAATATGAACTACTAAAAATCCCAATGATAAAAACTGGCTTATTTACTAAAATTTTAAAACATTTAAAAAAATTACTTCCTTTTCTAAATTCAAAAATGACAGTGTTGGGGGGAAAGGATGTCCACACATTTGACTTTCATCACCATAGAAATGGTGACAAGAAGTGAAACGGGGGAATTGTTGGGGAGAAAGGAAGCCCTGAAGGAGCTCCACAAACACAGGTTTTATGGACCCCACCCTCATGCCAGACCAGAGATGCAAGACACCAAGAACTACAAATCTCATAATATTATCATAGCTGAAGGAGGGATTGCTAGGACCTGAGGGTGAAGTTAAGCAGTCAAGTTTGGCATACGACAAGACCTGTGGGCCTGGGGGTTGGCTCTAGGCTTTTCGCCTGTTCTCAGCGTGCTATTGGGATTCCAGCTCAGCGGAACTGGTAGGACATATTCACCAATTTATCTCCCTCTCTTTCTCCTAAGTTATTAATTTCTTCATTTCCCCTTCTTTTGTAAATAACCCCTTATTAACCTTTTTGTGTGTGCCTGCAGTTGGGTCTCATTATAAATCCCTTTTAAGCACATGGGTGAGGACCCACTGTCAGGCAACCCATTTCATATTGGAGTTGTGCTGTAACAGCAGAGCAGAATTATCACAAATCCTACTGTATTAGGTTGGTGGGGTGAGTAACTAATAGTTATTAGTAACTAATAAGTTTCTAAATAATATCAAGCTCTAAATGAGTCTATCCTTTAATATTACTTTTGAGGCATGCAGGAAACTTTAGTTTTGGGGACAGTTTTATATCCATTTGTTTAGCATATAAAAAAAGGAGACAGCCAAACTTAAAAGATGCAAATGAACAGGAAAGATTAGGTCTGATTAGTTGAATTTATTAAGTAATCCTGATGAATGACAAGTCACATCTGCCTCTTGGAAAATGTTTTCTATAAATTCAAAGGTTATCTGAGACTCAATTTACTGTACTCTGAAGACTTGTTATCTTTGAGTGATGGTAAGTAAAACACAGGTGGATCAAATCAATAAACATTTGCGGCATTTCACTAAAATCCGAGTGAATTATAACACAAGCCACGTCCCAGGTTTCCTAAAACAAGTATCCTGAAGTTTAAAACTTAAATTTTTGTCTCCTCTAAACTTGAGTAATTTAAATGCCAGGTAGTGTGAAAAAAGTAATAGGATCATGACATACATACTTAGGCCACAATATGTGAAAATGAGATACCTTAAATTTCGGTCCTACCTTTTCAAGGCGAAATTAAAAACAGAAACTAGAAAGTCGTGCTCAAGAATAACATCCTTTTTCACAGAGGTCCACACTACAAAATCCACAAATCTCTACCCCACACACCAAAAAACGCTAAATTGCCCCCTACAGTCAAAGAGCAACTGAAGCTCCCTGAAAGATTAAGCTCAAGGAATCTGACGAAGAGAGATGTAGCTATTAGGAAATGTGATGCAACCCAATAATTTTGGGCCAGTTTCCACGGTATTCTCTCCAGCAGATTTTGCCCCGCCCCCCCTTCAGAGTGCTCTACAAGAAGTTTCTTCGCCTTGCTATAAACTTCGTCCTCCTCTTCTGTAAAATATGGACAATAAGGAACCTAACTCAGGAGCTGTTCTGAAGACGAGGCTGCCTTAAAAAGCACATTACGTGGACCAAGCATGAAATGCCCTAAATGTTAGTGCTAGTTCTTCCTGTCCCTGTTAATTTACTTCGTTCAGATCTTGGCTCCAACAGTGTCCGGCCGGGGAAGGCTGCGCAGGTGCCGAGTGGAGGGCGGGCCCGGGGGCGAGACCCCGCGAGCCCGGGTCGCCCAAGGCCCGCAGAACCCGCACCGAGCGCCGGAGGCCAGGGGGAACCTGGGACTGGATTTCCCTTCAGGAAAACAGCGAAGACCAACTCAGAGACAAAATCAACATCTGAGGACGGGCTGGGGACAAATGACTTCCTCAGAATTCTCTCGGCGAGGAAGGCGCCCTCTCTCCACCCCTTCACCTGCTTTTGCCTCGGACGAGACGCCTGGGGGAGTCCAGGGACCCGCCTCCTGCCCCGCTTACCCGTCTCTCCGAATGGAATGGTCTCGGCCCAGGCGCTGGGCTCCTCCTCTTGGATGTCCAGGACCCTGTCGATGGACTTCTGGGCCTGGGAGAGGGCCTGCTTGGCGAAGCTGGAAAGCTGGGAGGCGTTGAACCAGCTCATCTCCCTTCCGCAGCCGGCAGTGGCCGGAGCACCAGGCGGAAGGCCGAGGGCCGGGTCGACTGGCCTCAGGTCCAGGGATGGTGCAACGGAGCGGCCCGCCTCCTTCTCCACTCGGAGGGCGCTGTCAGCGGGTGACCATGACCCCGACAGTCTCCCCCGAGCTCGGGAGGTACCCTCAGCCCTTCTCCCACAGCTGAGACGAAGAGCTCAGACTACGCATGCGCTGGCTTCTTCCACGTACACAACCACCAGATCCGAGTCGAGTTCCGTCCACAGACGGAACAGGCAAAAGGAACGCTGACGTCACATCCGGAAGCCCAGGGTTGCCAGTAGTTACCGGGAAACGCGGAACGATTTCCATTTATACGGTTTCCAGTAGTGCGAGAATTCTCAGACACCTGAGAACTCTGCTGACTCCTCTCAGAAGAGTATGTGAGTTTTCGTGCGGGCTCCTTCTTTGAAAAGATGTTCGCATACTAAAAGCTAGCGCTTTGCCAAAAAAAAATGCCAATAAAGGGTTTACCTTTTTTAAAAAGGTTTATTTATGCATACAAGAGCTGGGGTACAGGCCAGAGGTGTGGGGAGGTGAGAGGATTCACCAGAGACAGAGCGGGGAAACGCAACAGGCAGACTGACCGAAGCACACTGCTGAGGGGAGCAGCAGGCGTGACAGGGGAGGTCTGTCCCGCCATGTGGGTTGCTCCCTGGAGGGCCGGGGATCACACTTAGGCCTTAGAAGCTGAGTGTTGCTTCATAGTGCGGTGCTTAACCCATTTTGCCACCAGGGAAGCCCCAGGGTCCACCATTTTTTATGACTTCGTCTCAAATTATCAGTTGTGTTAATTGGCATTGAGGAACTCTGGCTTTGTTTGTCTCAGAATCCTGGTTATTGTATACAGACCTCATCAGCCCATTTGATGGATTTAAAAAAACTCTTCAAATTTTAAGTTAGAACAAGAATACAGAAAACAATTTTACCGCCCTTCTCCCCGACCCTCCCCTACCAAAACCAACCGGAGCACTGAAGCTATTACTGTTAATAGGCATTATTTAAAATCTAACTTTTTCCTGTATGGAGTCTTCAGATACTGGCTGCAAGAAGCCAATTTGGTGTTTTTCTAATGTAATCTGCAGCTAAGATTGATTTCATCTCCATGTTAAAAAAATTCTTCCAAAGTCAGATTTCATACAGATACCCAGATTTCCATCTAATTTTGAAAAATATGGCTATCAACATGGAAGAGTCAGCTGCAGTGGGTTGCCCATTTTGACAATTTTCACTCTAGTTTGCCGAAGATCCCACTAGTCTTATTACATCCTCTTATTAACCCTCCCTGCTGTGATTATTTGCCTTACTTGCCTAATCCCTTTTGAGTACTTTACCCACTGCAAAGAACAATACCATAAAGGAATTATTTTTCTTTGAAAATAATCAGATTTAAACTGTCCTTGGTAAGTTATCATCTTCAATTTTTATCTAGTCAGTAAAAATTTACATGTTAACACTCTTAGAATTTAATACTCTACACTAGCACCTAACTCAGTAACTTCAAACAGCTAAGTAGTCTGAGGTTTGAGGTAGATTAGGGTTGGAATCCCTTTTCCAAGACTTCTATGCCCAGTTTTGGGCAAATAACCTAAACTTTCTAAAACTATTTGTTAAGCTCTTCAGGATAATGTCACCTTCTCCAAAGGCTATTTCAAAAGTATTGTAAGTACCTAAGTAAAGGAGGGACTAAGTATTGGTTCTTCGATGTACAATAGTTTAAACAAAATCTGTAACTTATAAGTAAAGCATATAAATTTATGCCATGATTTTATAATGAAACAATTTGTCAATATAAAGCTTGAAAGGATAAATGAATATGTAACTGAGTAATCAAAAAGCTTTTAAATAGAAAATTGCCAGGTAAGTAAAAAACAGAGAATATGTACCACACATTCTGTTTTAAGCCTTAGTTTTTAGGGGGAGGGAAGACATTAAGGAAGAGGAATACTGTTAAATCCATTTCATTATATTAAATCAGATTAAATTGGTACTGTGGCAAAATATTAATTCAGGTGCCATAAAAATTTGTATATTACTCTACTACACATTTTTACCTATATTACAGGGAGCTATTTATAATCCTTAATACATTTAAAATTTTCATTGAGAAAAGTAGATAATATATGATTTTATTAATAAATAGTGCGAAAGCATCAGTGATAACTGTTTAAACATTAAATTCTTTTAAACATACATGTCTTTTAATGTTGTACATATCGGGCTCTATGGCACTGCAAGTAAACAGATGAAAATATTTCTCATTTCCATGCACAGGTTTTCAGCTAGCTACATCACCATTTACAAATTATTATGGACAAGGTAACCTTTGCAATAATTAATATTCAATTGGATAGATAAATGAATTAAAGGAATATTAAATCAAGTAGAAGTAGCCCATATTCAATATGCTCTAGATGTCAGGTTGTAATATTTTGTGTTATTTAAAAATTAATGTTATTTTCTTTAAAGGAACACCTTTGTATATGTGGGTGCTCAAATGAAAACTGAGGAATGTATTTTTCCATAACACAAAATGCACACAACAGAGGGTATTTGCCTCCTCCTTTAAAAGAAGCAATAAATTTCCTCATAATCTCTCTCTCCAGGCATCATTTCCCATTTTAACAAAATGTTTACAGTAACCAATCCCAAAAATTCTGTCTTTGAGGGATAGTTATAAAATTAAAAAAGAGTGGCTCATTATATATATATATAAAAAAAAGTCAAATCCTAGCAACACTAATACTAAAAATGACACCAATTAAATTTCTCAGCATCCATGAAGTTTATCTGTGTGTTCTAATATGTGTAAATTTATTTTCCTTAAGAAGTAAAATGAAGCTTGAATAGTACAGTCTGTGGTGTAGTGACATCAGCAACTGCCAGTTCCTGTCCATCAACGAGTCCCAATTCTAAAACAGAGAAAGTATAATTAACTTTGGAAAAATTCAATGAAGGATAAAAGAGACATATAGAGTATATAGAATAACACAGATATGGTCTTGATAAACATTAAACTTCACCCTTTAATCAAGGAAATAGTACATTTAATTTCTTAGGAGATTTCTGATTTGCTAAAAGAGCAATATTGTCTTTTTCTAAAGATTTAATTAGGATATCATTATTTAAATTTATAATAAGCATTTATTACTTTTACCAAAAAGAAAAGAAAGACGAAACTGATTAGTAAAAATACCCATTTAAAATACCTTTCAATGTCTTGGAGAGATTTGGCCTTGTTCGTTCCTCAATAGAGGTTACTGACTAGAAAACAAAATTATTTTAATGTAAAGCACACTGAATGAAAATAAGCTTTTAATGTGATTTTTGTAGGGTAGGAAATACAAAGCCAAATATACTTATCACCTGTAAGTAAAGTGTTCTATTTTTTCCCTCTAACGTGGCTGTGATGGCTGGAGATTTCATCTGCCTAAATATAATGACGAGAACAGAAAGTTAAATATCACTTTTTAGAAAACAATTCCAGTTTTTAGTTTTAAAATCACAAAAATTATTTCTACAACATAACAAAAGTCCAAGACACTTACAGAGAAGCACTATTAGTTAGATAATCCAAAACTTCCTGTAGTTTAGCTGATGGAGAAAACTGAATATTCTGAGGAAGTTGGCTACAAGCTGGACAGTTTTCCTACAGATACAAAACACAACAAGTATCAGTGGCACATGCACCAATTATAGGTTTTTTTTATAACAATGAAATGAAAATCTATTTTACAATCATGCTACTTACTATGAACACATTTTTATGCTTTAAAAACTGCTTTTCCTAATCTACCATTTTTTCCCTAAGTTATTTTGCTGTGTAGTATTTATTTCAGGCTAGAATATACAGGACATATTGTGAGAGTTCACGAAGTTCTGGACAAAATGCTTAAGGTGCAGGCAATTTCATTCATAGTTTTAACTAGTAATATGTAAAAATCAAAGTATACATGATTTAAAAAATTTTAATTAGTATATATTACTAACCTTTCTCTCTGCTTCAAATGTATATGTATACAGTCCATCTACGTCACTGAATACCAAGTAGTTATTAAGAGGAATATATGCACTGTAATGAAAAAAATGTTCACCTTTATATATCTGAGCCAGGCCAAAGCACATATTTACATATGTATTAAAAATGAAACCAATTACCTTGTGGCTATTTTGAAAACCTCAGTGGCACACACAGCTGAAGAGGGGAGAAAATAAAGATGTTTTAACTCAATGAAAATTAGACATTTAAAATTAAGTACTTTTTAAAAGTACTTTGCAACAGTTAAGTACAGTTAGAGCAGAACAGATACATTTATGATTTGTATAGATAAAATAGATTTTAATCTACTGACTAAAAATAAAACATGTATACTTTTACTTCAAATAGAGAAAGTAACAAATGCTTTGTTTTGTATAACATGAAAAGTTTGTCTTCCCCTTCTTCAGAGCAGCCTGTTCTGCATCCTTGAAAAAATGGCACTAAAATGTCCTCTCCCTGCAGATCACTTTATAATATGACATAATTATGGAAGACAAAATATACATACAAGGTCCAACAGCTTTTTTTTTGGTCAGCTTAATTATACCACTAACCCAAGAAGGTATTAAATTCCTAAAATACCAGCTCTCTGAGATGAAATAACTGCAGAAATGTCAATTTAGATACTGGATCAAAAACTAAAGGAATCAAACAAAATTAAGTAGTAGCCTTTTTTCCTCACCTGCAATGACTGCATTTGTGGAAGCGACTGCAGGAATGATTCGTTTTACTACCCCTAAAAAAATACATTGATTAAAATATGGTAATTTCATTTAAAAACAGATATTTTAAACAATATGATTATTAAATATCATTTCCTACAACTTGATTTTCCAGGCTTTGAAGTTAGAAAACAGGCTTAAGTTTAACCGTGAAACAATCTTCTTTCATACTGCTATCATTTTGTATTATGTTCAGAATCGTAAAGCAGTAGTAAAAAAGTTACCTCTTCACTAAGCTTCATTTAAAGACAGTAAAAAATGTAATAAAAAATTAACGGTTTGCTTTATTCCACATGCTGTGTGAAGATTAAATATTATTGAATTTTCATAACATCCTTAATCTTGTAACTCTGATTTTAATAAGAAAAATGATGTTGAGGGCCTCCCTTGGTAGCGCAGGCGGTTCAGCACAGTGCTGTGAAGCTGTCCGCAGCCTCTGTAGCACCACTTAAATCCTGGCCGGCTGGTGAGGGTCCCACATGGTGCTGCAGACCTCTCCTGTCACGCCCGCTGCTCCCCTCAGAAGTGCATTTCATCAGTCTGCCTGTTCTGTTCCCCACTCTGTCTCTAGTGAATCCTCTCACCCTCCCATGCATCTGGCCTGTACCCTGGTTCTTGTATAAATAAATAAATTTAAAAAGTTTTAAAAAAAAAATGATGTTGAGAGAATGTAAATTATACACTAGAAAGTGATGGGTTGGTTATGAACCCAGATCTGTCCTAAAACACATAGTATTAACTGATACATTTTTCTAAGCTGTATTATACATAGTAAGTAACCCCAGGACTTCAGGTGTAAACAGGTTTCAGAAACTTCAGAAAAAAGGGCAATTATCTAAGAAGACTAAAAAGGAAGGCAGTACAAAAGTTTGGAAGGCTATTTTAAAAAGTTAATTCTGACTATATAATTAACGTATAATTTTAGAGAAGAGGGAGCAGGGAGGGAGGAGACAACCTCATGATAATTAAACTGAAACTCCCCAGTGAATCACTTAGAGAGGATATACTGTAGTTACAGACAGTGAGGAGTATAAGAGATCTTATCCAACAGAAGTATTACCAAAATGATATACTCTCTCCATAAACACCCCCTTCAAAACAGTTGGACTTCCCTTCCAATTTTGTTTCTGTACCACCAGTCAAGGCCCTAATCATCAGGTTGAAAAGTACATACCAAGCCCTGCTAAAGAGTATGGAAGGATGAATGAAATTACATATTGAAATTAATTTTTGGTTGTTAATCACAATGAACTGAATTCATTTGCTAATTGAAACAATTACTAAATGTGTACTACATGCCATAGAAGTTTCATTTAATATGTGTTATGTTGGACTATTATCATTTAGTTACTCTGACCAGCTTGGCAACTCAGGGAAATATGGAAGATAATGTAACAAGGTTTCAGCAGAACATCTGGAAAGGTTTTTCATAACATCTTGTGAAAAAGACAAATATGAAGTGTTCAAGAAGCGCAACTCAACAGAATAAGATAAATCTAAAAAGATCTGATGAGAAGCATGACTAAGATGTCTTCAGTTTAGGCTTGCCGAAATTTTTAATTACTTGAAAAAGATATAAAGGATATAATTATCAAAGCAATAGGTGAAATGAACCTGGAAAGAATAAGGATAACTTGGCAGGCATAAAAGTGTGTGTATGTGTGTGTGTGTGTGTGTGTGTAAAGATGAGGCGTGCGGAAGGATAGGAGAGAGAAGACATCAATTCTTGAGTATTAAAAAAAAACCAACACACCGAAAAACCCCTGCCAACTCAATAATAGAAATATAGGGAGTGACTATGTATGTAGAGAAAACTTTCAGATTTTAGTAACCTCAAAGAAAAGCATAGCATCAATATAAACAAAAGCAAACAAAAGCCCTGCTTTCCTCTACTACTGTTTTAATTATCAGAAATCTATTATGAAAAACAAGATCAGCCCAACAATGGTCCATTCCAGCCTAAGCAGTTAGCATGAATAAATGGAATATGGTTAAAGAAAAACAACTTGATGAAGGAAAAAGTCATGCAATATGACAAAGGGTTAAAGAAACTAGGGGTCTTCATGGCAAGGATAAAGATCGGGGGTCTCTGATCATAGTCCTTAATATATTAATGGGCATGAATGACTTAAAAGGGAATGAAAATTATATATGGTATACTTGAGGGCAACCCTCAGATCAAACTAAAGATGGAGATATATGCTCAATTATAGAATTAGCCAATAAATATTCTCCAAATGTGAAGCAGATTGCCCTAGTAGGTGACAAATTCCTCTTCAGTGAAAGATAAAATGAATGGTTCAACTTGGATGACTTGTAAGATTCAATAATTTCATTAAGTTCCTCTTGGCTAAGAAGTACTATGGATTCTGCTAATCTCGATTCCCAGCTACCAAATTTGGGGCACGTGGATAGTATTATGTGAAATTACATGTCAACTATTTCCTCTAAAGCAACACTTACCCATAATTATGATCATCCAAAAATCATAATTTGTGACAAGTTACTAACTTACCTTGAGTGAGTCTATATGTAACACCCCTAATATTATATTGCGATGCTCTCTCCAGGGATTTTTGAAAAATCCACTGAATATGATCAGGATCATCTCCATCTAACTGAACCCCTTCTGTTGGGAGGGGGAGGGGGGCAGAGAAAGACATAAATATTAAACAAATCAATATGTTTTAAATGTAATTATCCAAATCAATAATAAAGGTATATTTCACATAAATTCTGAATCATGAAATTAGTTTCATTACCTCCAAAAGGCTGCTCCTTAGGCCACTGCAATATCCTTACATACTCAATACAGTGTTCTGGTAGCCGGGGCATAGATGCAATAGTGCACATGGGAAAATTAACCTAAAACCACAATTAGCCTTTTTTAGTGGACTATAATCAATACTTTAAAATTCAACTTCTAAGTTATGATCTAGTTGCAACAAGTTCTTAAAATTCATCTTAGTCTTTCACTAATATAAACAAAAACATTTTATTCCATAATGATGGTTTTAAATCTAGTTGCATTCTGAGTCATTTATTTAACTTTGGCCAACCTGCCTATAAAAACAGGTTTGCCTTACATTAAGAAGGTATACAAACGTAAGCTATGTTGGGCCATGGGAAGAGCTAAAACATTCCTAAATATGAGTACTTTGTTTACTTGATATTTAGATCTGATTATATAAAATAAACCAAGACAAAAGGAAATACACAAAGTTAAATCAATTCCAGTCAATACTCAACGACATTTACATTTATAAATCAAAATTCTGTCCTTGAAATTAGGGACCCATCTTTAAAAAGATCATTCTTAACACTGGTATCTTTATTTCTATGAAACAATCACAGGTTAAAACCGAACAAAATAGATTATAGCTCTAACCTAATATACAGCTTTGTAATTGAGTGATTTATCGCTACTCTCAAAATAAAAAATACAAATGAAAACAGAATAATTATCAAAACTGACATTCACTTCATATCCTCCCTCAGAATTTCATATTTTATCTTCTACTTAGGATGATTTTTTAAAAAATTATTAAATTGAAAATCCTAAATATTGAATATTTATTAATTCAACCCAAATTTTATTCCAGAATACTCTATAAACAAATGAAAGTTTATTCTCATTACCTGTGGTGGATACAGTTCCAGTGTGCATTCAATACAAGCAGTCATTCCAGGTAGAATTACTCGGGCATTTCCTTTAAAACCTTCTGTCCCCCCATCTATCAAAGGGACAATGGAGCTTGGATCTAAAACACCATCTTCATAATTTAGAAGGGATATCTAAGAAAATTATTTGAAAGTATTTAAATGTAGAGTGTGTAAGGATTCAATAAAAGGAACATGATATAAAGTAATTCTACAAGGCAACTGCATTACTGAGTACTAATATATCAAATCAAGGAATTATAGTATTAGTAATTTAAATTGTCACCTGAAAACGACTGGCAAGAAACAATGAAGAATAGCTACTTAACTGAAAATTAATTTTTCAAAAAATCATGGTCTATATGTAATTCTGACTTTCACTGAGTTAAGAATAGGATTGAGAACTTCAGACAACCACAGCACTAAGTGTTTACCAGCATGCCGTTTATCCATCTTCTGGCTATGATAGAGTCCAGTCCACATACAATTATATGAAATTCTACAAGAATAAAAAGCAAGTTTACTTTTTAAAGGAGCTGTTACACAACATAATTCACACTAAGAAACAAACAAAACCCAACTTTGTATTATACATACATAAACAGTTTCTAATCTTGAGTAATCTTTATTCAAGTTAGCAAAGAAAAATGCTGCCAGCAGTGCCAACTAAGAATTAAAATAGTGGCACTCTCTTTGCAATCAACAACCTTCTTAAGAAGGCAACACTAAGAGAAGAAAGCAACTGAAGTCTTCAAAATAGCTTACAATTAAAAACTGTGAATTTACAAAGAACTTACGTCGATAGAAAGTGTCATTAAAATCCTGAATCTTGTTGAAATGTCTGAATTTAAGTAAAGGAACTTAAGCTGCTAAGTTTGTAATTTGCAAAGTGAATTTTAATAGTCATAAAAAGCACATTATAAATATATAAACATCAACAAGCAACTATAAACCAGAGACACACTGGGGGGGAGGGGCAGGGAGAGGAAGGACTAGAGTCAAAATAAGGGGTGGGGGGGTGCAATTGTATGGGGAATATAACCAAAATGAAAATGCATACATTGTGCGAAGATGAAAAATGATGTAAGAATTATATAAAATATTACAAATAAATGTATAAACAAAAATGTCATAATGCTTAAAACAGTGGAATTCAAGGAATCTCATGAAAAGACCACCTATTTCCTGACCAAACCTTTTCTCTAATACTACTCTCCTAACCACTTAGTTTCTCTCATCCCTGAACCTTCATGTTATTATACTTGTCTGTAACACCTTCTACTCTGCTTAATTTTTTTAAATATTTATTTATTTATGCATACAAGAACTGTGGTACAGGCCAGAGGTGGGGGTGGGGAGTAAGAAGATTCACCAGAGAGTGGGGCGCTGTACAGGCAAATCTACTGAAATATACTGCTGAGGGGAGCAGTAAGGGAGACAGGAGAGGTCTGCTGCGCCATGTGGGTTAGCTCCCTGGCTGGGGATAGAACTTAAGCTGCAGTGGCTGCGGACAGAGTGATAGTGCTGAGACTTAACCCCTTGTGCCACCAGGGAGGCCCTATGCTTAATTTTTATATAAAATCATAAGACTTGTGAAAGCATAAAGTCAAGAAACAATAAATGTCGGTTTAGTGAAGGAAGCGCATTAGTTTTTATTTAGCCAGAAGAGTTACTGCAAAGCCAAAAAAGGTGTTTACAATAGTTTTACAGATGCTAATAATTTGTTGCTTTTTTTTTCCTACTGTAAAATTAGTAATTTTTTAGTAAAATTTCCTTCTCTCTTGTAATTCAGCTGAGTCTTTCTCTGAACACAACAAAACCATATCAGGAGTTTTCACCTGCCTGGAGACTATGGAAAGGGAATCCCACTTAAAATTAGCTGTGGGTGTGAATAAATATAGCACTTAATATATTCTAATTTATTTTGATATTGTTACCTTTTTTAATTTAAATTATCCTAATAGATATGGAGTGATCTCATTGTGGTCATAATTTGAATTCCTCTATAGCTAGTGCTGTTATGCATCTTTCTGTGTGCTTTTGCATGTTCTTTAGTGAAATGTCCCTTCACATTTCTTATCCATATTATAACTGCACTGTGTTTTTACTATTGAGCTTTGAGAGTCCTCTACATATTCTAGGTAAAAGTCCTTGCAAGTTACTTGCTTCACAATTATTATTCAGCCTGAAAACCCACAATGGTCAATCTATCTCACCTTTTCCTGTTTCAATGATTTCCCTTATTTCTGCTTACCTTGCAAGATCATCAAGGCTTGACCATTAAACTGTGTAACTATCAATAAAATGAATCTTGGAGCAAAAGCACCCAATCCCAATTTAAAAGGAGACGAAAAGGAGATTTTCCTAAATTGTGAAGTTGTGTTTTTGAGTGCAGGCCCAGAAGAACGTTCACTGTCCTCAATGCAACTTAACTGCCCAGAACAAATGCCATAGAAAAAAAGAACCAAGGTGCCCGGAGATGGCTAAATGGACATGTTTTGTTGTGGTTTCTGAATCCCAAACTGAGTTATGCCATGATTCATTCAGCAGCACATAAGCAATAGATTCTGTGAACTTGCATTTTTCTAAACTTTCTTGTTCATCAATCCCTTAATATTGTCCAAAGTCCCATCCTCAGGAAGACAGAATTGAGCCTTGCCTCCTGCCTTCCCGCCAGTCAACTGGCAGTAAAATTTTCAAAGTCAGTGTAATTATTGGCTTCTATACACATTAGGCAAGACCACTGCTAGGTAACATCTGAGGTAACATGTTCTCGTAACATGTCCTTCCTTCATAGAGCAAAAGTTTTTAACTTTGATAAGGTTCAATTTATCAATTTTTTTTCTTTTATGGACAAATTTCTGATGTTGTCTAAGGACTCTTCACACCCTGGATCCCAAGGATTTTCTCCTGTTATCCTTCAGAGTTCCAGAGTTTCACATTTTTATCTGTGATTCATTTTGAATTACTACATATAATTTTGAGATTTAAGTCAAGATTCACATTTTTGCCTTGTTTATCTAATAGCTCCATAACAGTTTGTTGAAAAATTAATCTTCTTCCACTGTACTGATATTGTGCCTTTGTCAAATAGCAATCGCCAGACTTGCTAGGGGTTATTTCTGGCTTCTCTATTTTGTTCTACAGATATGTGTCTCTCTGTGAAAATCCCACACTGTCTTGATTACTGTCACTATATAATAAGTATTGAAATTAGACATGTTTCCTCCCATTTTATTCTTTTTCAGAATTGTTTAGAAGAACATTTTTGTGGCTTTCTATATAAATATTTGAATATTATCTGTATCATCAAAAAATTTTGCTATGATTATAGAAATTGGTTACACTTGTATACAAAGTTGGAAAGAATGGACATCTTGACTATTTATCCAATTCTTGAACATTGGCTATCTCTCCTTTTATTAAGATGCTTGATTTCTTTCATCAACATTTTGTAGTTTTTAGCATACAAATTCCACTTATTTTCTCAGCTTTACACCAAAGTATTTCTCCCCTTTTTTGAGTGGCATAGACAATGTTATATATCCACTGTATTTAAATTTCACTGCTAGTATACAGAAATACATAATTTTTGTATGTTGATTTTATATCCTGTGGGATTTCCATCAGAGTAACCCTAACTCCTAAATTTCTATAAAATACTAAAGTACCCCAGATCTAATGGTACAAAAACCAAGAGTGTGAATATACATTTCTTGTAAAAATAAATTTACTCTGACACACTCCCCATTTGGCAACTTACTCTCTACTACTGTAAGAAGACACAAAGATTAATTGTATTATTCTAGGAATTTACCATCTGGGCGAGGAGATACGCAATTGTAACTAAAATTAAAGACAATAATGCAAAACAAATTATGACACCGGCTACATAAGTTTAATTTAAAAATTAGGGCAAAAAATTTTATATAACCTTAAGGAAAAAACCAGGAGGATATAAAGCAAACTGTTATCAGCAGATCTATGATCAGCAATAAGCTATTGCTGCTGATCTTTATTTCACCTTGTTTATCTGTATTACTTATGTTAACCATCTCTTAGAGACAAAAACTTGAAAAAATTAGGTTTTTTGTTAAAAGGATACGGAACTACATTGCAATTGGGAATTCTGTCATTTAAAAATTCTGCAGCAACTTCAGCTTTAGGTCTTCCGACATCTTTAGACCTACAGGAAAAATTATATTTGAATTATCATTCATGACATAATTTTAGATGATCCACATAGCTTATTTTCAAACTTAAAAATGTCCACAGTGACTATTCAGTGAATATTTAGAATATTTTTAACAAAGGATTTTTGGTGAATAATCAGTCATTCAGTCCTTCTAATGCTCAAATTCATTATTTATAGGTGGTAAGTATAATTAAGTATTTCCTAAATGAAAATATAAAGTGTTCTTTTTCTTCTAGGTAAAAAATATAATGACATGTTTCCCGGACACTTTTCACTGTGACTTTCTTCCTGGAAATTATTGCAGACCCAGATACTTTCAAGCATATGCCCTAAAACCAAGAACCTCAAGATGTTACTATGCTGGTCACAGCTGAAATACATACAATGTGATTCATTCTAGGGATGGAAGAACTTTAACTTATCTGCTTCTTCCCATGTATGCTGCTGATTAAGTAGTAAATTTTGCATCGCTTAAGAGGACATCCTACTGCTGCACTTAAAGAAGGAACAATTCCAAAGGCATTATCTAAAATTGCAAATGACAACAATATTTCGAGAAGCTAAATTATAAGGCCTCAAAAGGTCACTTCTAGCTAATAACTGTAGCTATAGACAGGAAAGGACATGAATTCTCTCTTGTAATCTCAATACAAATGGCATTTTCTTTCCTGACATTTCCCATTCTCCTCACAAAAATAAATCACTCCTGCATGTATACACAGTAAGTGTTTCATCACTACCTTTTTCACAACGTATTTTTTGTTATATACAAAGGCCTAAGATACCCACTAGCCTATGGACACCTGGAAGAAAGTGACCACATTCGTATCTCTTTATAATCCTTTATATCTGAGAACAGAGTTAACTTTTTAAAGAAATTAAAATAATCAATGGCCTAGAAATTAATTTAAAATTGGAAATTTGAAGAAAAATACTTTTACAGTTCAAGTTTGCCTCCAATAAAAGCAGTGGTCTTTTCTGATTAAAAACTTCTAATCAGGGTCTCCCCTGGTGGCGCAGGCAGTTGAGCACTGCGTTGTGAAGCTGTCCGCAGCCTCTGCAGCACCGGATCGGGTTCAATCCCTGCCGGCCGGCAAGGGTCCTACATGGCGTGGCAGACCTCTCCTGTCTCGCCCGCTGCTCCCCTCAGCAGTGCATTTCGTCAGTCTGCCTGTTCTGTTCCCCACTCTGTCTCTGGTGAATCCGCTCACCCTTATATGAATCTGGCCTGTACCCCAGTTCTTGTATAAATAAATAAATCTTAAAAAAAAACAAAAAACTTCTGATCAGTCTTATTCTGACTTTGTCTTAACTTGTAATAGAGAAGACCCTCATATAAGACAAGGAACATGATTTCAGTATTGAATTCAACTACTCTGGACAGTTTTTTTATATGTGAAGGGGATAAAGTAAACTTCCAAAATTCTTTTATGTTGTTGATTTTATATGCTTTCATATTATTTCACAAAACAAAATAACTCCTGGGCCTCCCCGGTGGCACAGTGGTTGAGCGCTGGGCTGCGAAGCTGCCTGCAGCCAATGCAGTGCCGGTTCGATCCCCAGCCGCAGGGCGAGGGTCCCACATGGCACGCAGACCTCTCCTGACGCCCACTGCTCCTCTCAGCAGTGTACTTCATCGGCCTGCCTGTTCTGCTTCCTGCTCTGGCTCTGGTGAATTATCTCACCCTCCCGCGCTTCTGACTGTACCCAGTGCTTGTATAAATAAATAAATAAATCTTAAAAAAAAAAAAAGTTAAAAAAAAAAAACAAACAAAATAACTCCTAGATGGTTTCTGTGGAAAAGTCTGCAAATTTACCATTCCATGATTAGGGGAATAGATAATTCCCTCCAAAATCTGTACCTTAAATAAAATGACCTTCCACATACATCATCCTTAAAGGACACCATGGCCTAATTACTTAATCTTACCCTGAGGATTCAACAAGGTGATATAGGCAAAGAGCTTGGATAGTGTATATCTTATCACCAATATACAACCAATTCAATGGTATCATTTTTAGGGCATTTTATTTTTATTTATTTATTTTTTTAAAATATTTATTTAGGGCCTCCCCGGTGGCGCAACGGTTGAGCACTGGGTTGCGAAGCTGCCCGCAGCCTCTGCAGCGCCAGTTCGATCCCCGGCTGCTCCCCAGCCACTGGAGGAGGGTCCCACATGGCGCGCAGACCTCTCCTGCCACCCGCTGCTCCCCTCAGCAGCGTACTTCATTCCTTCTGCCTGCTCTGCTCCCCGCTCTGGCTCTAGTGGGTTCTCTCACCCTCCCATGCTTCTGACTGTACCCAGTGCTTGTATAAATAAATAAATAAATCTTTAAAAAATTTTTATTTATTTTTATACAAGAACCGGGGTACAGGCTAGATACGCGGGAGGGTGAGAGGATTCACCAGAGAGAGAGAGAGTAGGGGAACAGAACAGGCAGACCGAAACACACTGCTGAGGGGAGCAGCGGGCGAGACAGGAGAGGTCTGCTATGCCATGTGGGTATCTCCGTAGCCAGCGGGATCGAACCAGCACTGTAGAGGCTGTGGACAGCTTCACAGCGCTGCGCTCAACCTCCTGCGCCACCAGGGAGGCCCTTTAGGGCATTTTTTTTTTTTTAAAGATTTATTTATTTATACAAGCACTGGGTACAGTTAGAAGCGCGGAAGGGTGAGAGAATTTACCAGAGTCAGAGCGGAGAGCAGAGCAGGCAGACTGACGAAGTACACTGCTGAGGGGAGCAGTGGGCGGCAGGAGAGGTCTGCGCGCCATGTGGGACCCTCGCCCAGGGATCAAACCGGCCAGCGCTCAACCTCTGCGCCACCAGGGGAGGCCCCCTTTAGGGCATTTTAAAAAATAAAACTTGAAAGTTAAATGTAGAGCTTACATTGCAATGACAACACTTCCTTAACTTAGTTTTACCCATCTCTCAATTTCTTTAAGATCTTCTACAAGACAGAGTTCTATCTCCAAATTTGATTTTATCTTTTCTACTAAGGTAACCTTAGCCTACATACGTAGGACTATTTGAGTTATATCACTATCTTACTCACTAGAGAGAGGGAAATAAAAAAAGGCCCATATCTCTCCATGTCAATAATTCCTGGATTAATACTTTCATATAAGTCACTCAAAACCTTACAAGCTAAATTAAAATTCACTAATGAACTTTTCACCAAATCTCCTATATGGTCTACTTCAAGCTTTTTAAAGTCACTTAAACATTCCTTGATGTTTTCTGTCGTTCATGTATTGCCATGGTAATTATTCCTCTTAGTTCTATTTCAATAGCTCCCGGGTTTACTCTCCTTAACTCTCCATTTGCTTTCCCCCCTCTAAGAAAAGTTTACACTCAATACCACATTATTGTCCCAGGATCACCACTTAAATACTGGCTCAGGAGCTTGCACCAATACATCTCACTAGGGCTCAATAATCCAGCTATTGTTTTCTTATGAAATCACCAGGAGGAAAAAAGCTGCATGCTAGAGCACAAAAGCAAATAAATGATTTGGAAATTTCTTAAAAAACAAAGCAGAACTACTTTCACTTAAATGCCCCAAATTTCCTTGTAAAATTTCACATAAAATGGGAGTGGTTATTACTTTTTTTGAATATATAAAATTAATGTTATCCTTTCAGTAGTTTTTAAAAATTACTACCTGCAGCGTTCTCAAGTTTAGCAATCATCAGATTTAAGGGGGAAAAAACTTAGATATTAAAACTTACCTAAATAAAAACTGTCTATTGAGATTAGAAACATCTATAGTATCCATGTCTATGACATGAATCTGTCTGAAACCAGACAATGCCTGTAGAAACAAACAAAAAACAATTAAGCAGAAATTTCCTCACATTTGAAATTTTAAGATTTGTTTTCAAGGTAGTCCTAAATCTACAAATTTTTAATAATAAACTCTGTATAATCTATTCAATGATTAAACCATCTTATAAGGTACATAAAACTCAGGGCTCCTACAAAGATGAAAAATCTTTAACTATTCAGTTTTAAACAGTGTATAACCAAAAGAGAACAACCCAAAATTTCTACAGTTTTGCATTTTCATAAACACATCTCAATACTTGTGGCTTTGCTATTACAAGATACTTTCATTTTACTAATATTTAATTTACTTTAATTTTACTATGAACAGTTTTTGCTATTATGTTTGCAAAATATTATTAAAAGCAATTCCTACAAGCTTTATCTCAGTTTACATGACATTAAGCATGCCACAATTCAGAAGTAAACTATTAAAGAGAAACTATATTATAAATACACACGTACACTGAATATACAAAAGAACTATTAAAAGTACTGAGTCAAGAACAAGCAGTCAAAAAAGCTAGAGAAAAGCAAAATACTGTTGTGTTTCAATGATAATGCCACACACTCTAAGAGCAAAACCACTATTCAAATTTATCAGCAGAATTAAGTCTCCATAATATGCTTTCTGGTCTGGATCCATTTATTTAAGTGATTACATTAAATCACTTGCTAATAATTTCCCCATTTTTCTGTCCCAATTTACAACAACTCTTATAAGAGTTGTCCATACTTGTTCTCTCAAACTGCTCTCTTGACCTTACTCTGTTTTTTGTTTTACCTTTAAAAGGACAGGTTTATTAGCAAAAGGAGTTAGCTGAAGGACTATGCACTTACATAGTCACAGAGGGGCAGGAAAGCTATTTTGCAAAGTGAAAAGGTTTGTGGAAAGAAATACCTGGGTAGTCACAGGTAGGCAGGAGAGCTGTCTTGAGCTTACTCTGAAAAAGCTTTTGCTCCCACCTCTCCACCAAAACTGCACTTGTCAATGTCACCAGTGATCTCCATGTTATTACCTCCAGTGATCAATTCTCACACCCTCTGACCTTACCTATCTGAAGTACTTGGCAGGGTATGGATCAATTCCTTAAACATGTTCCCTTGGTCACCACGTGCTTGAAAACTGGAATGCTTTTTTAAAATTAGTTTCTAGTTCACCACTCAGGAGTTTTCCTCCCACCTAACTAGAGAGAATTTGGACTATCCTTTCATTAGTTCTGGTGAACTCAGATAATCACATTAGATAAACAACATCTAAAAGACATAGTAATTTTCAAAACCAAACTCAATCATCCTAATTTGCTAACATAACCAAATATACTCATTTCCCATTCTTTCATTTCCAGTTAATGTTAACTCCATCTTTCCAGAGATCAGGGCTAAAACTTTGCTATGTCATCCTTAATGCCTTTCTCTCATGCACCACAAATCTGTTGCATGAGCTAAACCTGTTGACTTCATCTTTAAAACATTCATAATCTGACCTCCTCTTTCCACCTCCAAGTCTACCACCATGTTCCAGGTAACTATCACTTCCTGCCTCAATGATTGTAACAAACTTCTAACTAATCTCTGAGCTCCCTCCTGTTTTTCCTTTGATCCAGTCAGATCAAGTTAATTTGATCTGCTTAAATCTCTCCAAAGACTTCCTAATTCAGTAAAACTCAAATTTCTTACAACAGCCTTCAAAATCTTTTGTGATATTTACTGCAAGGCCCTATGTCTCTTATTATATCTCTGATAGCATTCTGAAAAATGCTTCCTCTTATCCACTTCTGCTTTAGCTATAACACCCTTGCTGTACTGGAATATATACGCCACGCTCCTACTTCACAACTTCTGCATTTGCACAGTCTACTGTCAGAAATATTCTTGCTCCTCTTGGCTCAAAGAGCACCTACCTTTTTGTAAGCCCTTCCCCTTCCTACCAGGCTACCTATTTTCTATCCTTCCTTTCTCCATAGCATTTATTACCACCTAATATAAGGTGTATTTGACTTGTTTTTTCCCATCACTAAAATATAAGTCAAAAAAAAAAAAAAACCACCTATCAATATTGTTCAATGCTTATTTTTAGCATCTAAAACAGTACATAGCTTATGGGGAAGGAGGGTCAATAAATATTTAATCAATATTAATGCCATATACTTTTTCTTAGAAAGAGCATTTGGGGGTATTACAATTAAAAAACATGCATACCCCTATGTACTTATGTCTGAAATAAGCAAAGTAAGTGGTAAAACTGAAAACCCTGAGTTTCCTTCTTTTGTCTAGGAGGTTATTACAATGCAATAAATAAATACCAAGGCTACTCCTAAAGTTGCTAAATGACTAATCCTCAGCTCTAATCTCCAATTACATTTAAAATTAGTATATAACACATTTAAAAATAACAATTTCCTAAATGGAAAGAGTTAAGGATTAGGAGATTTGTGTATAAAATGCCTACCAAAACCACTATCCATTCTCCAAAAATCCTTCCTTTCTAGAATTCTTTGGTTTATGTACTAAATGAGTATTTATGGCTGATAAAGTACTGTCATTTTGGCACCCCATCAAAGTAAACTGTACATATTGCTATTTCATGTGAAACTTGTCTCCCCAATGAAACTTCAAATTTATTAAGTATAGAGACCATGAATAGCTGCTACAATCCCTCGAAGAATCCATCACAGGTGATGAAGCAGTTTTGTAGGTTTTGTAGTTTCATTAGGAGTAAGATTAGTGTTCCCTAGCAGAATTAATGTGGTTGTTTATATTTAAATTATAGCCTCATGGCCAACTTTTTAGGTCCTTTAATTGGTTGTTACCTGCTTCATTTTCAAGTAAGTCTACTCTAGCATTTCCACTTTTTATATACCAAGGAGTACGATACCTGGAAGATAACGTCTCTAAATCAATCCTCCCCCTATCCATTTTTGTCAAATAAACTGACAAAGACTTATACAAAGCTACTCTGTGGTAACCAGAAGCCAATGAAAACAACTAATTAAATCACAAGTTAAGGATATCCAAGCAGTATATGAATATATTTCACTAAATAGGAACCTTGCTTAAAATGATATTCATTAAAAACAAACTGACCAAAAGGGAAAAAAAAAAAAAAAGAGGTTTAGCATTCCCAAATTTCATCAATCTACTACTATAAGATCCTCAAAAATTACTATCTGGTTAATGACCTAACAGTTCAGTGAAAAGAACACCCTAAGAATCAATGTCCTACATTAGATTCCAGGCACATCATTACAATCCAGAAAAACCTGAGCAAGTTATAATATAATTTTAAAACTTACTGTCTCCTTCTATATGAAAATACCTTATCCATGTAACAAGATGATTTTCAGGAGCAAAAGAAATAATAAATTCTTTAAAATTACATGTTAAAATATGAAATGCTAGTTTTTATAACTTACATCATTGAAACTAATGAGTGTTCTGCAAGAGGAAGCAGATTTGTTTGCTTAAAGAGCAGAGAAGAAAACAATTTCTAGTGACTTTATAGCTGAGAACATTAGTGTTTTAGAAGTCCCAAAGGTTATCTAACATTTTAATTACTGTCTGAAATATGTCATGCTAAAGTTAGCTAACAAAGGCTCAAGTAGCAAGGTCAACAGGCAAAATAAAAAAATTTATGACATAAAAGGGAAAATGGTTAATTATCACAAAGAAGAAAAAAATACATATTTTATATATAATTACCAGATTTTTCAGGAGCTCACATCCTAAGCCGCCAGCTCCAATCACTAGAACTTTACATGTATCTAACAAAAACTGAAGAGACTGTAAAGAATGAAAAGGCATATTAAAACTGGTTGACAAAACCCCAAAGTAACATCAATAAAGTAATAAGAGCCATAAAACAGTTTTTGATGTTTCCGTGAAAAATTCAATTTGGGATAAAGAGTACTTGGTATTTAATAAATTATTTCAAATTTAAGAACAAGGTAGAACCAGAAGTTCTATAACCCTATATTTATTTATAAATTATTTATAACCCTAAATTATTTATAATTTTTAATTTTTTAAATTAATTTTTATTGTACAAATTGCAAGGTTATTTGTAACAAGAAAAACTATGCCGGGCCTCCCCGGTGGCGCAGCGCTTGAGCGCTGGGCTGCGAAGCTACCCGCAGCCTCTGCAGCACCGGTTGGATCCCCGGTGGCAGCGCCAGTTCGATCCCCAGCCGCAGGGCAAGGGTCCCACATGGCGCGCAGACCTCTCCTGCCGCCCGCTGCTCCCCTCAGCAGTGTACTTCAGTCCTTCTGCCTGTTCTGCTCCCGGCTTTGGCTCTGATGAATTCTCTCACCCTCCCGTGCTTCTGACTGTACCCAGTGCTTGTATAAATAAATAAATAAATCTTTAAAAAAAAAGAAAAAAAAGGAAAAACTATGCCAAGTTAAACATTCTTTTTTTTTTCTTTAAAAGGGGAAAGTAGCAAATTCAATTATTTAAGTGATTTCCTAAAAAAAAAAAAAAAAAAGTGCAAAACACCTTTAGAACAGAGGATCAAGTACTATACAAGGTATTCAAAGGTCTAAATAAAATAAAAGTAGTTGTAACAGTAACAACTACTTTTGAATATAATGACTGAGACTTCCAAATCATTAGATCACAATAAGGAAAAAACTGATAAAACTCTTAGAAAATTACATATCAGCAGAAATATAATTTGAAACAATCATTCAACAGGAGCATCTTAAATTACCAGGGGAAAAAAATCAGAAGCATAAGAAAATATGGTAAAATTTATTCAAAGAATGGCAGAGTTAATTCTGTCCAAGATTCAAAAGAAAGGTTACTCAGATGAGACACTGGGTCAAACCCAAGAGCATGCATTTTAGAAGCAGCACGGTGTTTCTATTTCAAAACAACATCTCTTTATAAACACAAAGGTCATAAAATTTACTATAAAGAATACTTTTTCTGACTTTGTAGTGAAAAACAAGTTGTATCTAATTTAACATTTGCTTTAAGTCACACTATTAATGTAAAATTCTATTATACAGTAATCACATAACTTAAACATGCAATTATATTGGATTTAAATTACTTGTTTCAACTAAATTTCAAAAATTAAGCACATCTATATTCCTATCAAAATTAATTTCTCAAAGCAAGACTAAAAAGTATTGTCAGAAGTAATTTTAAACTGGAATTTAAAGTGAAGTATGACTTAGAATTTTAAATGAGGTTATAAAGTTTATGTGCCCTTGAAAAAATCTGTATTATATGAAAAATGTAAAAAAAGACTCATATTGAACATTTAAATAAAATCAATTGCAAATATTCAATTTAGCATTTCAAGATAACTTATACAATTTTATTAGTATTTTTATTATAAGAGCAAATTAAAAGGAAGCATTTTATTATTTTTGAAACATATAACTAAACTATTAGAAGATTTATTTAAAAATAAATGTTTCTCACTTCAGTGCTCGGTTCGAAATCAGGGTGTGTGAAGGGTCCAGATCGCTCGAGGAACTTCTTTACATGGTTCCAGCGACCTTCCCAGTCTCCAGTGTCCCCACACCCACCATCAACAGCCATTCTGCACAGAACACAGTAAATTCAGCTGCAAAGATCAGTATGAAAAAGCCACACTTACAAACATTAGGGGTTTCCCCAAATGAAAAGGTAATCACACCAAACCTGCTCAAATAAAAGGGAACAGTCAATGTGGTTTTCTTATGCTTTCATTTTCCCTTGGTGGCTATTATTATACGATTTAAAGCTAAGAACTGCACATTTGATTAAATATATCAGTCTACTTGTTTGGAATTCCTAAAGCAACCCAAGAAAAACTTGGGACAGCGGTCAATTAATGAGAAGTGGGCTTTTCTACACCTGGAAATTACAAAAGATCACTCTAAAGTCCAACCTGTTCCTTCAACACACTTGGATCAGGAAACATCAGTTACCAAAACCCCCCCCACAAAACTTCACTTTCAGAATTGTGAGGCTTCAAATCTAATACAACTCATGTTATTTCCATATTTGAAAAACAGGATTTGCGTATTTTTGATGAAAGGAACTTTCACGTATTCTTTTCCGAATGAGGTCCCAATTTTCAAAAAGAACTTCAAAACTATTAAGTGTTTTTTGTTGCAAATAAACAACACAAAGTTTTAGGTTCTAATTATGCCACAAATAGGCATTAACATCTGGAGACCCTAAGAACAATGAATAAGAAGGGACTCCTTAAACTGTATTTTCTTATTCACTGAGGGCAATATTCATATTTGGTTGTGCTTACTTTTAACTTTCAAGTTTCCTATAACCTCACAATTTCTACCTTCGAGTATATTAGTAACACCTAATTTTGTACAAAAAAGGATCAAGAAGTATTAGCAAAGCAAGCAATAAAAACAAGATAAATTTTGATGTCACAACTGGATTTGGTTCCACAATTAACAGCATTGTGACCTTGAGAAGATTACAGCCATAAACCTCATCTGTAGGCTGTTCATAGCTACTTGAGGTCAAAATGAGGATATAGAGATAATCCAGAGAGGCCCTAGTATGGTACTCGGCATATACTAAGCATTCAAATTTTAACTATCATTTTAAGCAAAAGTGAAAAGGAAATGAATAGTTGGGAAGGAATGTGAAATTTATTCTGTCTTTCTAGTTCTCTTGCAATATAACTTTCTGAGGGATGCCTACACACTCTGAAGTACTGTTCCTGGGAATTGGCACAGAAATTACTAACTCACCACACCCACTGCAGGAGTACCCCCGCCCCAGTAGGGAGGAAGAAAAATATGTGGCGTTGGCATGGTTATAAAACATTTAGTTTAAACCTGTTTCACCAGCACAAAACTAAGCATCTGATAAGAAGTAGGATGTGTAGTAAAGAGGAAAAATAAACTCTTTGGAGTCAACTCTCTGCTTTAAGAGCCAATTACTTTGATTTGAGTGCTTAGTACAACACCTGATATACAGTTCCCATAAAAATATCTGCAATTAATACTACTGTCTCAGTGTTTATGAAAGACCAAAAATAGGCTAATCTCCGTTTCGTGTTTAACATGTCTTTTCACAAGACTGCAGCTCTAACAATTTGGGATAGAGGAAGGAGGGCTCAGGGTCCTTCCGCAAGACCTTTGGCCCAAGCACCCTGGCCGGCCCCTGCAAAAATCTGCTGCGGTGCACCCGGGCCCGGAGCCCGCCCGAGGGAGAGAGGGCAGGAGCCGCCCGCCCGGCACCTGGGGCTGCGGGACGGGGGACCGGGGATGAGGCCGCGCGGCCTGCGCTCCGACTGCCCCACTCCCACCCCCCCGGTCCCGCTGCGGCTGGTCCCCTAGGCCTGGGGTCGGGGGAGGCGGGGGTCCCGGAGAGGGCCCCGGCCTCCCGGCAGCACTAACTTCTCAGCCAGCAGCTCCTCTATTCTCCTTCTTTTCTTCTCCCTAAAAGAAAGAGAGAATAAAAGAAGGGTCAGCATCACGCTACACACTGGGCGCCGCGAGGAGATGGGGGGCGAGGGGACGGGGCGGGGGTCGGGGGGACCCCGGGTGGCGGCGGCGACCGCCCACCGCCACGCTCTCTCACAGCCCAGCCCGGACCCGCGCGCCTGCAGAGCCCGGGTACTTACGGCTCCTCACCATCCGCCATATTGTTCTCCGCCTCCTCCCAGGTGCCCCCACGGCGGGCGGAGCCGGAGGGGCGGGGCCGGAGGGGCGGGGCGGGCGGGGCCGGAGGGGCGGGGCGGGCGGGGCCGGAGGGGCGGGGCCGACTTGGCTGAGGCTCTTCAGGGCATTACACCTTTCCTTGATTATAATCGTATAAATGTAATTATATATAGAATTATCTTGATTAATACACTTATTTAGATAAATCACATACAGTGTATAGTGGTGTTATGCTGAACGCAAATACAGCTATAATACATTATTTTTATACAATGTGTGTGTTAGTGGTTATATAAAATGACATGTTCTAGGAAAAATCTCCTGGAAGAGCTTAATATGCCAAAACTTCCCTCTGCGGAAAAACATGAGAGAATTCTCACTTTCTAATTTTCACAATTGATCCAACATCTTTGCATAAAGATACAAACTTTAAGAATAATTTTCTGAATCAGTTTATATAGGTGCTATGGAGAGATTATTGTTTTCTTTCCTTGTGAATATTAAGATTAGTATTTTATTTTATTTTTATCTATAGCAATTTTTTATTTATATATTTGACATCATTGTTTTAATTTTTAATGACACATCTGTTATGTCAGATAAGAAATTCAGTGGAAATAGAACCATTAATAAATTGAAAAAACATTCTTTTATGGGGAAAAGCATGTAAATAGATTAAAGTATAAAGAAAATTGCAAAATTCAAACAATAGTTTGGAACAACCATAATCTCATCACCTAAAGACAAATGGTGATAGAATTTTGAACTATTTTCTTTCAGAGTTGGATAAGTGTGTGTTTGTGTGTATGTGTGTGTGTGAGCGTGCATGTGCATACACACAATTGGATGGCTAAATACAAAAAAATCATGCTTTACGTGTACATATCCATATATAATATATATATATATATATATCCATGAGGGATACATATATCCTTTCTTAGAGCAGAACAAGAATGAGATTTAGAGTTAGAGTGAACGGTTTAAATCTTTAACTCTCCACTTACTGACTATAAGACTGTGGGCACTTCCGTGTCTTTATTTGTAAACTGGGGGTAATAGTAACACCTGTAACACTGACAACTAAGTGAAATCCATAATGGCTCTTAAAGTAATATTTCTGATCAGCCACATCAGCATCATTTGGGGAGGTGTTATAAATGTTCAGCCCCATGCCTGGCCTTCTGCAAAGCCTTGATGATTCTGTGTAAAATGAAGTTTGAGAACCACTAAAATGGACTATATGAAGCCTGATGAATACTTAGTAAATACAGGTGTTACTAATTGTAATATTTAATCTCTTTTTGTATTTTTTTTTTCATCCCTCAGTCAGGTTCAGTTCAGTAGCACTCGAGGAGCTGAAAGTCATTGTTGGGCAGAAAAGGGGGTTGGTGGGTGGGATTTGAAGTTCACAGTCCCCATTCCTGGCAGGACATACCAGCCTTTCTCCGGGTCACATGTTTCGGATTACTTTCATTTCAAATAGATATATCAGAAATTATTACACTATTTGCTATAACATATACAGACAAACGTTCAGGGTTGTCCTACGTAGAAGCACAAGTCTGGGTATAAGAGCCCCCTACAGCTAATCTAGCCCCCTGGAGGAAGAGTGACAAAGAGCTGCTACTACTACTATTTCAAATAGTGTCTGAGATAAAGCAAGGATTCCATATGCAGTCATGTTTATTTGAAATGCTTTATAACAAAGGTGAAAATATGTAGAGGAGGAAAAAAATCTGCCATAAGAGAAGCATGGAGGGAAAAGGGGAGAAAGGAATTATGCCATATGAAGTAATATCTGCCTTTAAAAAAAAAAACCTTTGGAGTTTTAAGCAAATAAGTAAAAATAGACTGAACAAATGTTTATTAGATTTTAATTGCCTATGATCAATAGTCATCATATTGTTACTAACACACATTTGACAGCTTATGGTCATATAGTATTGAGCAACAGGAAGGTCAAAGTTCTTAGTCATAGCTCTCTAATGCTCACTGATCTCTCCAACAGCTGTGGGTTCCTACTGGGGCTCCCACGCTGGTCTTGACCAAGGTCATTTACTCTGCCTACCCACAATGCTGCTTCTTGAAATTCTTGAGCCCAGGCGAATTATTCCACACCCTCTGACTTCCTGTAACTGAGCACCAAGGCCTGGCACATCTCTAGTGAGTGTCTCAATTTCATTTATTTATTATTTATTTATCTATTTAGTTATTTGAATTAAATGCTAGATATTTATTTTCTCACAGTTCTGGTCGGAGACTGAAAATGCAAGGTCAAGGTGTTGGTCCTCTCTTCTGAGGACAGTAAGGGAAGGAGATGATCCAGGTCTCTTTCTTTGGCTTGTTGGCTATCTTCCCCTCTGTTGTCATAGGTCATCCTTTGTCATCGTCTGTGTCTGAATTTCCTCTTCTTACAAGTAGACTAACTATACTGACCAGGGGCACTCAAGATTGGAGAAAATTAAGTTATTTCTTCACAGTCCCTAGCAGGAATGGGAGAGCTAAGACTGTAATTTTCCTCTGTCTGACTTATGACTCTCTCATTTTTCCAGACTCAAGAAAATGTGGGAACTCAGAAGCATTTTCATATATTTTTAAAAGATTTATTTATTTGCGCATACAAGAACTGGGTGCAGGCCAGAGGTGTGTGTGTGGGATGAGAGGATTCACCAGAGACAAAGTGGGGAACAGAACAGGCAGACTGATTGAAATACACTGCTGAGGGAAGCAGTGGGCAAGACAGGGTAACTCCCTGGCCAGGGATCAAACTCGTGCTTCAGTGGTTGAGGATAGCTTCCTAGGTTGCGTCTTATCCCCTTGAGCAACCAGGGAGGCCCGCATTTTCATATTTTAACTTTATTCAAAAAAAGTATCACCTATGCTATATTTAAGTACCTATTTGATTTAAAAACCAAATTTTCTGAATGGCAAGATAATCTAGAGTCATTGTAAGTTTTTTAACTGCCTTCTTTCTGAATCATCAGTGAAAATTAAATTATGTCTTCTAGACTTTGCATTAAGTATTTTATTGCTTTCTATTTTTTTTGAAAATTGATGGTCTGATGATTGTGTTTAGTTTCTTTTTTAAAAGCACCACTCTCGCGTTTAGAGATTCTGTTCATTATCTTAGACACAGCATTTTAGAATTGTGTCTACCAAATTATTGCTTTAAAATGTAAATAATATGCCCAACCCATAGCTGCAGTTCCCTGATTGTTTACTTTATCAGAATGAACCATAGTTTAATAATTTCCCCCAAGAGAATAGGAATAGAGAAGAGAGGTGAAATAACAACCAGCTCTTTCATGCTACATGTCCTTTCCATTTTTCCTATCTCATTTCATTCATAGTGACTCATAGTGAAACGGGAAAACACAGGCATTGCATTCAGATGTGCAGAGGTCATTAACTGCTTAGTTTTCAAAACCAGCTCATCCTCCAGTAACACTAGAATCATCTTCCATTCCATTTTTTAAAAAATATAATTTGGAATGTGAACAGCTGCCAGTATTTTCCCCAAAAGTCCAGCACACATCCCTAGGTTGAACACCCCAAAGAGATATGTCAAAGGAGACCGTTGGTATTCGGGCTGTTAGGGAAAACCTTGCCACCTCGCTTCAGACAAGGATTTCCTCGGGTCTCCTTCGGTCACTCACCACTATTCCGAGCTCCGTCCCTTACTCTGTCGCAGGCTCTGCTTAACCACTTAGAACCAATCACGCAGGAAAGAAGGAACAGAAAATCCGCCCTTCCGCTCCAGTTTCGTTTGCACTGCTGTGCGCCAACCGCAGAGCCAACGGAGGCCGAGCCACCAGAATCTCTATAACCCAGCTCAGCTGATCGGTTGCCGCTCCCGCCGCCTCCGGATTCCAGAGGCGAGGAACAAGAAGCTCGGCGACATGGACGTGAACATCGCTCCGCTCCGCGCCTGGGACGATTTCTTCCCGGGCTCTGACCGTTTCGCCCGACCGGACTTCAGGGACATTTCCAAATGGAACAACCGTGTGGTGAGCAACCTGCTCTATTATCAGACCAACTACCTGGTGGTGGCTGCCATGATGATTTCCGTTGTGGGGTAAGTGGGTTCCCCTCCCCGGCGCTGGTGGGGACAGCACGGAGGGGGCTCGGGGTGCAAGATCGGGGGATGCTGAGACTCTCCAAGCCCAGCGCCGCCCTGGCAGCTGCAATCGGCCAAGCCAGTGGAAACTTCTTCCCTGGGCCAGGCCGCAGCGATCTGGGGGGAGAGTCTTTTTTGCTTTCTGCTCCTCGGGCTGAGACAAGGGCCCTACCGCTGAGGACAAGTCGCCAACCCCGGGCGAAAGAAAAGAAAGACTTTTTTTTTTTCCGTGCCCGGTTAGGCACAGATTGATATTTACAGTGGTGCAGTTTAAAAAAAAACAAAAACAAAAAAACAAGAAAGAGGAAAGTGGTGTAATGCTATTCTGGGCTGGTTGGCTGGGTGGGGCTTGCGCCGGCTGCAGAGGCTTAGGGCGACTGGGTGTGGATCCGGACTGAGCCTCCCTCGGGGTGTTAGTAAAAGGGGCACTAAGTCGACGCGCTTTGTCGACTTCTCAGCGAAGTGCTTACCTCACCGTGCAGAAAGCTGAGCTAGGGAGCAAGACGGTGGATGTTCCCTGGTGGCGCTTCTCCCAGTGTAGGGTCAAGGCAGCTCTGACGCTAGGAACGGGGTCCTTTTGCAGTTTTTCCCTGGAGTTGCCAGGCGTGGTTACTTTGGCTGTTATCTTTGGACTCTGTCTGAAGGTGTTTTCATTATTTGATCGTAAACTAAAGAGCGCCTTGTGTTGTATGTGATTTCTGCATATGTGCACACGAACACCTGCTCTGCTAAGAAGCCACGTATCCTTATAGTTCATCCTTTAAGAAATGTTGCTCCCACTTTTGCAGAATGGGTGGTGATATTCTAGATCTTGCTGATGCTATATATCTGTAAAGAAAAAGCCACCCTCTACTTTGTAAAGGAACTCACCTGCTATTAAAGACGTGCCTGGCATTTGTT